GGTCTCTCCGGTCTTGCGCGCACCGCCGGCGCACGGCACCGGACGGCGCAATCATAGGCTGCGAAACTTGACGCACGCTGGAATGGCGGGACCGCTGAATGCCTGCCGTCAAAGGCCGATATTGGGCCGCAGCGCGAAAAAGCGGTGGCTGAGAAGGATCGCCGCGACCAGAAGGCCGAGCGCCATGCCGACCCAGACGCCGACGCCGCCGAACCCGAGCGGAAAGGCGAGCAGCCAGCCCAGGAACAGACCGACCGGCCAATAGGCGAAGACCGCGATGATCATCGGCACGCGCGTGTCCCTGAGCCCGCGCAGCAGCGCGGCGGCGATCGCCTGGGCGCTGTCGACAAGCTGGAAGCAGGCACCGACGAACAGAAGCGGCACCGCATAGGCCAGAACCGCCGCCGTGTCCGGATTGCTCTGGTCCAGAAACAGCGCGATCAGCGTTTCGGGAATGGTGAAGAACAGGAGCGCGCTGGTCGCGGCGAAGGCCAGGCACATTGCCATGACGGTCTTCGCCGCCCGGTCGAGCCCAAGCGCATCGCCACGGCCGTGATAGTGGCCGACGCGCGCGGTCGCCGCCTGCGCCATGCCCATCGGCACCATGAAGGCGAGCGAGGCAAGCTGCAGCGCGATGCCGTGCGCGGCGAGCGCGACGACGCTGATCCAGCCCATGAAGATCGACGAGAAGATGAACAGGCCCGTCTCGGCGGTGATCATCGTTCCGATCGGCAGGCCGATGCGGAACACTTCGCCGAAGGCCGGCCAGTCTGGCCGCCAGAACCGCACGAACAGTTCATAGGGCCGCGCCCGCTCGTTGAGCGCCGCGTAGGCGACCAGCAGCCCGAAGACGAGAAGATTGGTGCCCAGCGTCGCGATCGCCGCGCCGCGCATGCCCAGTTCCGGCGCGCCCCAATTGCCGAAGATGAACGCCCAGTTCAAAAGCGCGTTGAGCACGACGCCGGCCATCGTCGCCCAGAAGACGATCCGCGTGCGCTCGATCACCGTCAGAAAGCCGCGCAGCGTCCACCACAAAAGGAGCGGGAAGATCGACCATTGCGCGATGCGCATATAGACGCGCGACAGTTCGGCGACCGCCGTGTCCTGGCCGAGCGCCAGCATGATCGGCTCGATGAACCACAGGACCGGCATCACGGCCAGGCAATAGAGCGCGCCGACCCACAGCCCCATGCGCACCGAGCGGCGCACCTGGCGCTGATCGCCCTGCCCCTCGGCGGCAGCCGCCATGGGCAGCACCGCATAGGCAAAGCCGGCGCCGAACATCATGATGGTGAAGAGGATCTGCGTTGCGATCGAGCCGGCCGCCAGTTCGGTGACGCCGTACCAGCCCAGCATCACCGTGTCGGTGGTGTTCATCGCCATGCCGCCAAGCTGCGAACCCACCAGCGGCACGCCGAGCGCCAGCGTCGCCCGCGCGTGGGCGGACCAGCTCATCGGCGCGGGCGCCGAGCCGAGGCTGTGCGATGCTGTGCTCATCGCCCGCCTCTACGCCCGCCGCCGTGCCCTGCCAAGCCAATTGTTGTGACCGGGACAAAGATTGGCAGGGCCGCTCAAGCAAGAAAACCCCGCCGATGACGGGGCTTATTGTTGGTGCTTGGCGCTCTGATCGATCGATGCTTGAAGTCCGCAAGAACTTGCCCCGGTGGGCGTTCACTCCGCCGTCAGTTGGGCGACAACCGACGTCCAGTCTTCAAGATGATAGGTCAGAACAATGCGGCCATTTTCGACGGTCAGTATGTCGATTGACATGGCTTCGAAGCTCTTGCCCGTAGCCGGGTCAACACCGAAGAACGGACCTACAGGCGTCCCCCGGAACAGGCTGCGCACGACGAACCGCCCGTCATCGAGATCGATGATTTCCTGTGGTTCCCACACCAAATCCGGCACCACCTGGCCAAGAAAGGCGATGGTGTTCAGCATGCCCTGCGCGCCCTCGCCGCCGGGCGGTGCGGGAATTGAGACAACGTCGGGCGAGAACAGCTCGTAGTACCGCTCTTCCGTGGTCCCGGCCGGGTCGGTGAGCACATCGGTATAGAATGCGCGTACGGTTTCCTGGTCGGATGCCAGGGCCGGGCTGCCGAGGGCGGCGAAGACAAGGGCGGCAGCAAGAGTCTTTCTCATGGTAAAGGTCCTTTCAGATCGATTGGCTGGCCGAAATGTGGGCCGCGCCCGTGGTTAGACAATTTGTTACCAATAGGTACGAATAAGTGGCACACGACGTCAAGAAAAAAATACCGGATGGTATAAAAATGACTGGAGACGGTACGAAACGCGGCAGGGGCCGCCCAAAAAGTCTGAGCAGGCAAGAGGTGATTGACCTCGCCATGAACGCCTATTGGCGCGAGGGACCGGCAGAGGTTTCCCTTAACTCGATCTGCCAGCGCGCCGGCGTTGCGAAACCGTCGCTCTACCGTGAGTTTGGTGATGAGGATGGACTGACCGCTGCGGTCCTTCAGGCCTACGCGGACGCCGTGCTGAGCCAGGTGCTGAGGATCGTCACGGGCCCGGAAAGCTTCAACCAAAAAGTCGAGGATCTCATCCGTTACGCGAGCGAAGACGCACTCTCGGACAATGGCTGCCTCTATGTGAAGATGCAGGCCGCCACCCACCGCTTCGGGGAAAAAACGCAAGCGCTGATTGCCGCAATAGATGCCGGCGCCGAGGAAGCCTACGCTGCCCTTCTGACGGATGCCCGGCGCACGGGCCATGCACCCGAGTCGATCCCGACTCGGCTGGGTGCCCGCTACATGATGTCGCAAATCACCCTTGCACTCGTCTTGCGGGCGGCAGGCGAAGAGCCGCTGCTCGTCAGGGACCTGTTGACGCTTGCCCTGTCGGTTTTCCGGTCGGACAAACAAGACCGGCACTGACGGGCGCTCCGCCAAGGCAATCAACCGAAGGCCAAACTCGAGCCCCCCGGGGACCTGTCATTGGAAAGGTCGACAGGTCACGGCCGCAGCGCGCTGCGGTCGTGCCGTTCCTTGATGCCGGCGATCTCGCGCAGCATCACCGAAAGATCCTCGATCGCGTGGCGCTCATCCTCGGTCAGGTCCGCATCGGGCTTGAAATGCTTGAGCAGCACCATGAGCACATCGCCCATCCGCCCCAGCTGCTTGCCGTAGGAACCCACCTCGTCGAGCACCGCCTGTTCGACCTGCGGCGCGCTCGACCGGCCGAAATTGACATTGATCAGCCCTACCTGGCTGCCCGTCGCGGTGAACATGGAGTTCCACTGCTCGAACCATTGCGAGACGTCTCCGGACGGGAACTCGATCTTGATGGGACGATAGACTTGGTTCATGGTGCGCTTCCCTTGGCTATGCTTGCGATGCTGCATTGCAGCACAGAATAGCTTGGTGGGGAAGGTGAGGTGTATTGGATGATGGTTTGGGTCAAATACCGACCTACTGCTCGGACGATTGACCATCTAAAACACCATGGTTTGGGCTAGTCAAACCAAGCTGGCCCCCACATCAGGCGTCAAGATACCGGCGCACTTGCGCGAATCATAGATCAAAGCGAACATATTCAACAGCACGGAATTACATCTGAGTATCCACTGAAGGTTATAAACATGACGTTGAGACGTGGAAGATACGCCATATTTCTGGCATTGCTCGGCATTGCATTCTCCTTTTCTCTCCCATCATCGCTGAATGCACAGGCTTATTATGGCCAGTTTTTGGACGAGCTGGAAGTTCGATGGAACATGTCGGCAGATCGGGACTGGAACACGGTAACACTGCTCGATGACTTCCGTTTTGACGACCCCAATGGCCTGTTGTGGACTACGCCAAAAAACTACACCGTGAACGGAGCCTCCATTCCACGTTGGGCTTGGGTTGCGGTTGGCAGTCCTTACACAGGTCGATATCTTCCCGCCTCGGTCATTCACGACTATTACGTCGAAGTTAAAGAGCGAACGGCACACGACACACACCGAAATTTTTACTACGGAATGTTGGCAAATGGCGTACCGTGGGCGAAAGCCAGAACAATGTACTGGGCGGTTTCGGTTTACTCAGACTGGGAAATAACCGCACCCGGGTCAGCAAGAATATTGAAGCCAGCTAATCTTGAGGATGAACGCGAGCTTGTTGGAGTCGTTCAGGCGATGGAAAGAAAATTTCAGGATGAAGCCAACGGTTTGCGTATGGGCGAGTTCGGTGAGCCAATCTACGATCTTGCTGATATTGAACGCGACGCCACCGAGTTTCGAAAGGCATTAGTTGGTGAAATAGGTTCAGAAGACTATCAAAGTATCATTAGCGGGTCGGATTTTGACGAATTCATCCGAGACATTAATCGAGGAAGTCTTGAATTCGAGTACATCGCGCCTCGATATGGTGGTGAGCCGGCCGCGTTTCCTGTGTCTCCATTGGAAGAGACCAGAATACTACAGCCACTTGGCATCCCCTACAGCGTAACAATTTCGGGCAATTGGGATTTAGACTATCTCACCGAATTGGCGAATATCGTTGAATCTGGTCAACTGATCTACGTTGACGAAAGCAGCAGAGAACTCTCGGCTGTTGACCAATATCCGAACATCGTGGTTGGCCTTGAGCGCCTTGCAGATGGAATGAAGGAAACCCCGTTCAGCTATGATGCTAGTGTGCAGATAGTGCGAGAGCGACCGGACTCCAACGTTGATCTGCTAGCTACCGACGAAATCAAGAATTTGAGCGAAGCGATGCCAAACACCGTTTTTGTGTACGGAGATCAACTTATTGATGCCGTCCCACAAGCTCCTCTGGCCGAAAACACCAACGGCGGCGTTTTTCTTGACGGCGATTATACCAACGATGGGGAGATTAGATTTCAGAGCCAGATGGGAGTAAATATGTTCTCCGGTTTTGGCGGTGCCGGTCCTCGGTGATGAAGCCTCCAAGGCCAGTCCATGCCGAGTTCTAATCGTTCGTTGCCGAGAGCATTTGTGTATGGCAGAGGAGGCTCGAAGATGATCTTTGCACCCACCCCTACCCCAGCAACCTTTCCTCAAACGGATAATTCGACAAATTCTCGTACCCCGTCCCGGTGATCAGCACCTGGTCTTCGAGCTTCACCCCGCAGCTGCCGCCGACCTTGCCGGCATAGACATCGACGCACAGCGTCATGCCGGGCTCCAGCGGATAGTCGAACGCGCCCTCGACAAAGTCTTCGGGGTAGTAGATCGACGGAAACTCGTCGCACAGGCCCACCCCGTGCATGAAGACGCCATAGCGCTGCGCGCGATATTCCTCGGGCAGGTGCACGCATTGCGCGGTCAGCTCCGAAAAGGTCACGCCCGGTTTCAGCAGGTCCATGTTGGCGAACATGTGATCGTACGCGACGCGGTAGGCGTCGCGCTGCTCGGCATTCGGTTCGCCATCGCCGACGAACCAGGTCCGGCTCATGTCGCAGCACATGCCATAGGGGCCGATCAGGTCGGTGTCGAAGGCCAGAAGATCGCCCTCAAGCAGCCGGCGCGGCCCCGCCTCCTGAAACCAGGGATTGGTGCGCGGGCCTGAACTCAAAATCCGCGTTTCGATCCACTCGCCGCCGCGCTTGATGTTCTCGGCGTGCAGGATCGCCCAGAGTTCGGTCTCGGCAATTTCCGGTTCGCACGCCTTTTCCATCTCGGCCATGGCGATCTCGCAGGTGGCGATCGCACAGCGCATGGCGGCGATCTCGTCCTCGGACTTGATCAGCCGCGCATGCTCCATCACCTGCTGCCCCGAGCCGATCGCGAGCCCCCGCGCGGTCAGGGCGCGCGCGCCGTGCAGTTCCATCTTGTCGATGGCCAGCCGCCGCGAGCCATTGCCGTGAGCCCGCATCAGATCGTCGATCTGGGCGGCAAATTCGGCGGCGATCGCGTCCTCCTGGTCGCCGGCGACGAAATAGAACATGCCCGCGCCGACGCGCACCTCGTTGACCAGCGGCAGATGCGCCGACAGGTGCTCGCAGCGCTTGTAGTCCCAAACCACCATGTGGCCGTCGGCGCCGACAAAGCAGGCCCGCGCCCAATTGTGCAGGATCCACACATGCATGTTGGACGAGTCCGACGCATAGCGGATGTTCAGCGGATCGAACATCAGGCAGCCGCCATAGCCGCGCCTGTTGATCTCGGCGACGGTGCGGTCGAGCCGCACCTTGCGCATCCGCTCGACGTTCGGCGGCGTGATTCCCAGCGCCTCCCATTCGGCAAAGGCGACATCGGTCGGCCCGATTTCGAGCCGGTCGGGATCGAGCGGCGTGCCGTCCGGCTTGAACAATTGCGTCGCGCGCCGCCGCGACGGGTCGATCTTGCGGTTGGACGAAGAAAAGGGCTGTTCGACGTTCATGGGCCACCCGGAAGCACATGCGGGCAGAAGCATCCGCATCGGCCCATCAGGCTGCCGAATTGCGATTTTGTCGATTTCAGAAAGCGGCGTTCAAGGTCGCTTTTCGGGCAGGCTACAAAAGCCGCCCCAGGAACGGCTGCACGGGTTCTTCGCCATCGGCATATTCGCCGATCCGCTTGATCTCCCAGTCGAGCCGGATGCCGGAATGGTCGAGGACGCGCGTGCGCACCGTCTCGCCCAGCATCTCGAGGTCATGGCTGGACGCGCTGCCGGTGTTGATCATGAAGTTGCAGTGCATCGGCGACATCTGCGCGCCGCCGATGGTCAGCCCGCGGCAGCCGGCCTTGTCCACTTCCTTCCAGGCCGAACTGCCCGGCGGGTTCTTGAAGGTCGAGCCGCCGGTCTTTTCCCGGATCGGCTGGACGGTCTCGCGGTGCTCCTGCACCTCGTCCATCATCTTTGTGATGACCGCCTTGTCCTCGGCATAGCCCTGGAAGATCGCCTCGGTGAAGATCAAGTCCGCCGGCGCGGAGGAATGGCGATAGGCATAGCCCATATCGTCCTTGGTCAGAACGTGCCGCATCCCTTGCCGGTCGACCGCATGCACCTCAACGACCCGCTCCTGCGTTTCAACGCCATTGGCGCCCGCATTCATGCGCAGCGCTCCGCCAACCGAGCCGGGAATGCCGTGATAATGGTGAAACCCGCCAATGCCCGCATCGCGCGCGGCGGCGGCCAGCCTTTTGTCAGGCACCGCCGCACCGGCACGGATGCGGTGGCCGTCCAGCACGTCGATCCGGCCGAACCCCTTGGCCGAGAGGCGAATGACCACACCCCTGACCCCGCCGTCGCGCACCAGAAGGTTCGAGCCGACGCCGACCACAAGCACCGGGACATCGGCGGGCACCGCGGCCAGAAAGGCGGCCAGATCGTCCGCATCGGCTGGCTGGAACAGGAGTTCGACCGGCCCGCCGGTGCGGAACCAGGTGATCTCGCTCATCGGCGCGTTGGCCTTCAGCCGACCGCGCAGATCGGGCATCAGCGGATCGAGCCGCGCCAGCAGCGCCGCACCGTCGACCGTGCTCATGCGGCCGCCTCGCCGGCCAGTTCGCCGGGCAGCGCATGGGCCCATTGCGTGATGTTGCCGGCGCCCAGATAAAGCACATAGTCGCCATCCCTGGCCTCGGCGCGGACGATCGGCGCCACATCCTGGGGGCCGGCGATGGTGCGCGCATCGCGATGCCCGCCGGCCTTCATGCGGCTGACAAGCTCGTCGGAATCGACGCCTTCAATGGGCGTCTCGCCGGCCGGATAGACCGGTGCGACCAGCGCCGTGTCGGCCTGGTTGAAACAGGCGGCGAACTCGTCGAACAGGTCGCGAAGGCGCGTGTAGCGATGCGGCTGCATGACGGCGATGACGCGGCCCGTGCCGGCTGCCTGCCGCGCCGCCTCCAGCACCGCCTCGATTTCGACGGGGTGGTGGCCGTAGTCGTCGAAGATCCGCACGCCGTTCCAGTCGCCCGTATGGGTGAAGCGGCGCCTGACGCCGCCGAACGCCAAAAGCCCCTCCTTGATCGCCGCCGGCGTCAGGCCGAGCTCATGGGCGACCGCGATGGCTGCCGTGGCGTTGGAGACATTGTGCGCGCCCGGCATGGGCAGGCGCAGCCCGTCGAGCGCGATCGTCCTGCCGCTCTTGCGGTCGCGGATCTCGACGTCGAACAGCGAGGTCGCGCCATCCATGCCGCGCGGCGTAAAGCGCACATCGGCCTGCGGATTGCGGCCATAGGTGACGAGCCGCCGGTCGGTGACACGGGAGACCAGCGCCTGGACCTCGGGATGGTCGATGCAGCAGACGCCGAAACCATAGAACGGGACGTTCTCGACGAACTGCCGGAAGGCCGCGCGCGCCGCATCGAATGTGCCGTAGAAATCCAGATGTTCCGGATCGATGTTGGTGATCACGGCGACATCGGCCGGCAGCTTCAGGAACGTGCCGTCGCTTTCGTCCGCCTCGACGACCATCCAGTCACCCTCGCCCATGCGGGCGTTGGTGCCATAGGCGTTGATGATGCCGCCATTGATGACGGTCGGATCGAGCCCGCCCGCGTCGAGAAGCGTCGCGACCATGGAGGTGGTCGTCGTCTTGCCGTGCGTTCCGCCGATGGCGATCGCGTTGCGGAACCGCATGATCTCGGCCAGCATCTCGGCGCGGCGCACGATCGGCAGCAGCGTTTCGCGGGCGGCGATGAGTTCGGGATTGTCGGGCTTGATGGCGGTGGACACGACCACGACTTCGGCATCGCCCAGATTGGCCGCGTCATGGCCGACAAAGACCTTTATCCCCTTGTCGCGCAGGCGCTGCTGGTTGGCACCATCGGCCTGGTCGGAGCCCTGGACCGAATAGCCCAGATTGTGCAGCACCTCTGCGATGCCGCTCATGCCGATACCGCCAATGCCGACAAAGTGCACCGTTCCGATGTTTTGCGGCATTTTCATCAGCGTTGTTCCTGTCGTGTTTCACCCGTGCCGGGCTCGAAAGTCGGCCGGCGACTGACCTTCCGCAATAGCCTCGGTCAGATCGGCAAGCAAGGCGGCCGCATCGGCGTGCCCCGCCGCTTTCGCCCTGGCCGCCATCTCCGAAAGTCCCGGCGGATCGCCCAGAAGCTCTGCGAAAAGGTCTGCGATGACCTGCGGCGTCAGCTCCGACTGGCGCCGGACCAGCGCGCCGCCGGCATCGGCCAGGGCCTCGGCATTGGCCGCCTGATCGTGATCGAGCGCGTAAGGATAGGGCACGAAGATCGCCGGCCGGCCGATGGCGGCGATCTCGGAGACGGTCGAGGCGCCCGAACGCGCCATCACCAGATGCGCGGCGCCGATCCGCGCCGGCAGATCGGCAAAGAACGGCGACACATCGGCCTTCACGCCGAGCGCCTCATAGGCGGACATGGCGTCGCGCTCATCCTCGGGCCGTGCCTGCTGGGTGATCTCGATGCGAGCGCGCAGCTCTTCGGGCAAAAGGGCAAGCGCGGCGGGAATCGCCTCGGAGAAAAAGCGCGCGCCCTGGCTGCCGCCGAAGATGACGAGCCGGACCGGACCATCCGCGTCCGGTGCATCATAGGGCATTGCGGCCGCCTCGATCACCGGCGGGCGGACCGGATTGCCGGTCACGACGATCTTGTCGGCCATCGGGCCATCGGCCTTCAAAAACCCGCCGGCGATGGCCGTCACCCGGCCGGCCAGCATCCTGTTGGCCCGGCCCATCACCGCGTTCTGCTCGTGGATCATCGTCGGGAATGTCCCGGCAGCCACGAATACGGGCGGCACCGTGGGATAACCGCCAAAGCCGACCACCGCGCCGGGCTTGAGTTCGGCCAGCAGGCGGCGCGACTGCCGCATGCCGGCAAAAAGCGAGAGCCCCGCGCCGATCAGCCTGAGCGGGTTCTTGCCCGAAGGCGTGTCGGAACGGATGACGTGCATCGGGCCCGGGAAACGGCCGGCATATTTCTCGGCGCGGGCGTCGGTCGCAAGATGGACGGACCAGCCGCGCGCGATCAACTCGTGCGCCAGCGCTTCGGCGGGAAACAGATGCCCACCCGTGCCGCCCGCCGACAGAAGGACCGTGCCGCCGACCACCGCCATCTATTCGGCGGCCTGCATCGCGGTATCGCCGGAAAAGCGCACGTGGCCGAACCGGGTCGCCGGCCGGCGCCGTGTCAGCGCGAGCACGAAGCCCGCGGTGATCGCCACCGCCAGCATGGACGACCCGCCATAGGACACGAACGGCAGCGTCATGCCCTTGGCCGGCAGCAGTTGCAGGTTGACCATGATGTTGATCATTGATTGCAGGCCGATCAGCGTGACGAGACCGGCAACGGCAAGCCGCCGGAAATGGTCGTCCTCGCGGAAGGAGCGTGTCAGGCCGCGCAGGACAATCAGCGCGAACACGGCCACCAGAACCATGCACAAGAGGATGCCGAATTCCTCGGCCAGAACTGCGAAGACGAAATCGGTGTGGCTGTCGGGCAGGACCCGCTTGATCGTGCCCTCGCCCGGCCCCTGGCCGAACCAGCCGCCGCGCACGATCGCCTCGCGCCCGGTGTCCACCTGGAACGTGTCGCCGGCGCCGGACAGGAACCCGTCGATCCGGCTGGCCACGTGGGGCAGCGTCAGATAGGCGCCGGCGAGGCCCAGTATGCCGATGCTGCCAAGGACGACGATCCACAGCCAGCTCATGCCGGCCATGAAGAACATCGCTCCCCAGGTGGCGGCGACCAGAACGGTCTGACCCAGATCGGGCTGCGCGACCAGCAGCGCCGCGATCGCCGCGAACAGAACGCCGGCAAGCAGGTTTCCGGGTATGTCGGGGCGCCGCAAATGCTCCGAGAACAGCCAGGCACAGATGATCACGAAGGCCGGCTTCATGAATTCCGACGGCTGGATGGAGACGCCGGCCAGACGGACCCAGCGGCGCGATCCCTTCACCTCGACGCCAAAGAACAGCGTCGCCACCATCAGCGCCATCGATCCCAGGAGCACGACCAAGGCCACACGGCGCACCTGCCGGTCTTCGAGAAAGGAAATTCCGATCATCACCGCGATCGCCGGTATGATGAACATGGCGTGCCGCTCGACGAAGTGGAACGTGTCCAGACCGATGCGCTGGGCGACATCGGGGCTGGCCGCGAACGACAGGACGATGCCGAAAGCGATCAGCGCGAAAAACGAGAACAGGAACCAGCGGTCCACCGTGCGCCACCATTCCGTGACCGGCCGTCTGTCGCTGCGTCGGTGCATCACTGTCCTCCCTGCGCGGCACGCGCCGGCGCGGCATCGGTTTCAAGCGCTTCGACCGCCACGGTGAACGCAGCGCCGCGCTTTTCGAAATTGGCGAACTGGTCGAAACTGGCGGCCGCAGGCGCCAGCAGCACGACCGGTTCGGGTGCCTTGCTTTGCGCCGCATCGGCAGCGGCATGACGCACGGCGACATCGATGGTCGCGGCGATCTCGAACGGCACATGGCTGCCGAGCGTGGCGGCGAAAGCGGGCGCCGCCTCGCCGATCAGATAAGCCTTTGCGATCCGGCCAAACAGCGGCGCAAGCGGCGCGATGCCGCCTTCCTTGGCCAGGCCGCCGGCAATCCAGTGGATCGCATCGAAGCTGGCGAGCGACCGCGCCGCCGCGTCGGCATTGGTGGCCTTTGAATCGTTGACGAACAGCACCTTGCCCTTTTGCGCGACGATCTGCATCCGGTGCGCGAGCCCGCCGAACGAGGTCATCCCGGCCATGATCTCTTCATCATCGAGACCGAGCATGCGGCAGGCGTGCAACGCGGCCAGCGCGTTTTGCAGATTGTGGTCGCCGCGCAGCGCCGGCGCGCCGGACAGATCGACCGCATCGCGATCCGTCGCGACACTGATCCGCGTCACGTCCCGGCCGTCCTTTTCCAGAAGGTTGGCGATCGACGCGCACCAGACATCGTCCGTGCCGATGATCGCCGTGTCGGCGCGCTTGACGAGCTGCTTCTTGACCAGCGCGTAGTTCTCCATCGACCCGTGCCGGTCCAGATGGTCGGGCGACAGGTTCAAAAGGATGCCGATGCCGGGATCGAGACCCGGCGCCAGATCGATCTGGTAGGACGACACCTCGACGATATGGATGCGGGTCGCGGCGGGCGGTTCGAGTTCGAGCACCGGCACGCCGATATTGCCGCCCATCTGCACATCGCGGCCCGCTTCGCGCAATATGTGCGCGATCAGCGCCGTGGTCGTCGATTTGCCGTTGGTGCCGGTGATCGCAACGAACGGGGCGCCGGGCGCGATCCGGTCGCGCTGCCGGCAGAACAGTTCGATGTCGCCGATCACCGGGACCGCATGGGCCCTGGCCTTGTGCACGGTCCAGTGCGGCTCGGGATGGGTCAGCGGCACGCCCGGCGCCAGCACCAGCGCGTCGAACGCCGCCCAGTCGGCCGTTGCGAGGTCGCCTGTTTCAATGCCCGCATCCGCCGCCTTGGCGACCGTGTCGGGATTGTCGTCCCATGCGGTGACCCGCGCCCCGCCCGCCACCAGCGCGCGCGCGGTCGCCATGCCGGAGCCGCCGAGCCCGAACAGCGCGCAGTGCATGCCCTCAAATGCGGTCACGGGGATCATCGGCCTACCTGAGCTTCAGCGTCGACAGGCCGACCAGCGCCAGGATGACGGCGATGATCCAGAAGCGGATCACCACCTGGCTTTCGGTCCAGCCGAGCTTTTCGAAATGGTGGTGAATGGGCGCCATCAGGAAGACGCGGCGCCCCGTCATCTTGAAATAGGCGACCTGGATGATCACCGACATGGCTTCCAGGACGAACAGCCCGCCAATGATGATCATGACGATCTCGTGCTTGGTGGCGACCGCGACCGCGCCGATCAGCCCGCCCAGCGCCAGCGAGCCGGTGTCGCCCATGAATATCGCCGCCGGCGGCGCGTTGAACCACAAAAAGCCGAGCCCGGCGCCGATCACCGCGCCCAGAACCACCGCAAGTTCGCCGGTGCCGGGCACGAAATGGATCTGCAGATAGTCGGCGAAGATCGCATTGCCCGACAGGTAGGCGATGACGCCGAACGATGAGGCCGCGATCATGATCGGAACGATCGCCAGCCCGTCCAGCCCGTCGGTCAGGTTCACCGCATTGCCCGCCGATACCATCACGAAGGCGGCGAACGGGATGAAGAAGATGCCCAGATTGATCAGGAAATCCTTGAAGAAGGGAAAGGCCAGCGACGAGGAAAACGGCGTCGCGCCCGCCCGCATGATCACATAGGCCGCAAGCCCCGCGATCACGAACTCGATCGCCAGCCGGGCGCGGCCGGAAAAGCCCTTGTCGGTCTGCTTGGTGACCTTCAGATAATCGTCGTAAAAGCCGATCGCGCCAAAACCGAGCGTCACCGCGACCACCACCCATACGTAAGGGTTGGTCAGATTGCCCCACAGGAGCGTCGCGCCGATGATGCCGAACAGCATCATCAGCCCGCCCATCGTCGGTGTTCCGGCCTTCTTGAAATGGGTCTGCGGCCCGTCGGCGCGGATCGGCTGTCCCTTGCCCTGGCGCAGGCGCAGCGCATCGATGATGCGCGGTCCGGCCAGGAAGACGATGAAGGCCGAGGTCAGAAGCGCCCCGCCCGTCCGGAACGTGATGTAGCGGAACAGATTGAAGAACTGGACCTGATCGGAAAATTGCGTCAGCCAGTGAAGCATATGGTCGGTTCCCTCAGGTCGGGCCGCTCAGGCGCGCGGCTTGGCGTTCTCGAACATCGACACCAGCCGCGAAAAGCCGATCCCGTTGGATGATTTGATCATGACGACATCGCCGGCCGATACGTCGCTCCGCAGCGCTGCGGCAAGCGCGTCGACATCGTCGAAATGGTCGGTGACCGGCCCGTCCTGGCCGATTGCGGCGGCCAGCGCGCGCATTTCCTCGCCCGCCAGATAGAGCCGGTCGATCCCGGCCTTGCCGACCGGTTCGGCAAGCCCTTCATGCAGACGCGCCGAATGGCTGCCCAGCTCCAGCATGTCGCCCAGAACGGCGATCCGCCGCCCGCCCGACTTGGGTTCCAGCGCGGCCAGAAGTTCGAGCGCGGCGGCAACCGACGCCGGATTGGCGTTGTAGCTCTCGTCGATCAGCGTGAACGGCCCGTCGCCCGCCTCGAACGCATACTGCCGGCCGCGGCCGTCCGGCGCCTGCAAGTCCGCCAGCGCATGGGCAACCGTGGTCATGTCCGCGCCCATCAGATGGCAGGCGGCGAGGACGCCCATCATGTTCTGCACCACGTGGCGTCCCGGAAGGCCGACCTTGAAGGCGACTTCCTCGCCGAAGACCCTGGCCGTTACGGTCGAACAGTCGGCGTGATATTTGGCGTTGACCAGCCGCGCATCGGCCTTCTTGTCGGCGCCATAGCCGATGATCTTGTTGACGCCGGCCTGCCCGGCAAGGTCGGCAAGCAGCTTGAACCGCTTGTCGTCGCGGTTGATCAGCGCCGTGCCGCCGCGCACCACGCCGGCAAAGATTTCCGCCTTGGCGTGCGCGATGCCGTCCAGATTCTTGAAATTGCCCAGATGGGCGGCGGCGATCAGCGTGATCATGCCGATATGCGGCCGCACCAGCTTGACCAGCGGCGTGATCTCGCCGGCATGGTTCATGCCGATCTCGAAGACGCCATAATCGGTGTCGGCTGGCATCCGGGCCAGTGTCAGCGGCACGCCCCAATGATTGTTGTAGGAGGCGACAGAGGCATGCACCTTGCCGCAGCGGCCGAGCACATGGCGCAGCGCATCCTTGGTGGTCGTCTTTCCGGCCGATCCCGTCACTGCGATGATCTGCGCCTTGGTGCGCGCGCGCCGCCCGGCCAAGCTGGCGCAAGCCTTCCAGAACGTCCGGCACGACCAGCAGCGGCACCGTCAGCCCGCCCAGCGCGGCCAGCTTGCCCTCCTGCACGACAAGGCACGATGCGCCGGCCGCCACCGCCTTGGATGCAAAGGCATGGCCGTCATGCACATCGCCCTTAATGGCGAAGAACGCGTCGCCCGGCTGGAGCGTGCGCGTGTCGATGGAGATGCCTGTGACGGCATCGGCAACACCGCCGACCGGCCGGCCGTCCATCGCGTCCAGCATGTCCTGGCCGGTCCACAGCGGGGTTGGTTCTATCTCCGCGCTCATGCGGCCACCTCGGACAGGGCCGCCCGCGCCTCTTCATGGTCGGAGAAGTGCCGTGTGACGCCGCCCGTGGTCTGGCCGGTCTCGTGGCCCTTGCCGGCGATCACCAGCGTGTCGCCGGTCGAAAGCGCCGCCACCGCCGTGCGGATCGCCGCGCGCCGGTCGCCGATCTCGGTGGCGCCGGGCACGGCTGCCATGATCGCCGCGCGGATCGCCGCCGGATCTTCAGAGCGCGGATTGTCGTCGGTGACATAGACGAGATCGGCCAGCCGGGAGGCGATCTCACCCATGATCGGCCGTTTGCCGGGATCGCGGTCGCCGCCGCAGCCGAAAACGACGGCGACCTTGCCGGTCGTAAAGGGCCGCACGGCCTCGAGCACCTGTTCGAGCGCTTCGGGCTTGTGCGCATAGTCGACATAGACCACCGCGCCGTTCCTTGCGGTGCCGATCAGGTCGAGCCGGCCCGGCGCGCCCTCGATGTGCTCGAGCGCGCCGAAAGCGGTCTTCGGCGCGACGCCGGCGGCGATCGCCAGCCCCGCCGAGACCAGCGCGTTGGCGACCTGGAAGTCGCCGGCGAGCGGCAGCACGATGCGGTGGGTTTCGCCGTCATGGGTCAGTTCGACCACCTGCTTGTGCTGTTCGTGTTCGACACGCTTGAGCGTGATGAACGCGCCCTTGCGGCCGACCGTGAGAACGTCGCAGCCGGCGGCCTGCGCGGCGTCGATGGCACGCGCCGACCAGGCATCGTCGGCGAAGATGACGGCCGGTTTGCCGGCGCCGAGCAGCGTGTCGAACAGGCGCATCTTGGAGGCGAAATAGCTCTCCATGTCCGGATGGTAGTCGAGATGGTCGCGGCCCAGATTGGTGAAACCGGCTGCCGCGAGTTCGACGCCGTCGAGGCGCCGCTGGTCGAGCCCGTGGCTGGATGCTTCCATCGCGCCGTGGGTGATGCCCGCTACCGACAGGTCGGCGAGAATGCGGTGCAGCTTGACCGGGTCGGGGGTCGTCAGCGCGCCCTCGATGGAAACGCCCGGTGCGATGACGCCGGTCGTGCCGATCGCGGCGGCCTTCAGGCCCGCTTGTGCGAAGATCTGCCGCGTGAAGGCGGCGACCGAGGTCTTGCCGGCGGTGCCCGTCACCGCGACCATGGTTTCGGGCTGCGGGCCGTACAGCTTCGCCGCGATCAGCGCCAGCGCGCGGCGCGGGTCTAAGGTTCGGATTACCGGCACATCGACCGAAACCGCCGCATCGGGGCCGCACAGGACGGCGACCGCGCCCTTGGCGGCGGCATCGGCGGCAAAGGCGGCGCCATCGGTCGTCGACCCGGGCAGCGCCACGAACAGGTCGCCTGCCGCCACGAGCCGCGAATCCGCCGTCACGCCGGAAAACCCGCCTTCGGGCAGGGCATCCGGTGCAAGGCCGGCGACGGCGGTCAAATCGGAGAATCTCATATGCCGTTCCGTCAGAATCGGGCTCCTTGTTAGCGCCTAATACGACACAAGCAAGGCGTCACGGTCCGCCTCGTAACGCGGCGTCAGCCCCAGAAGCGGCACCGCGCGGCGGATCACCCGGCCGACCGTGGGCGCCGCGTTGAGGCCGGCCGTCGCGCTTTGCTGGCCCTCCTCGGGCTTGGGCTCGTCGATGATCACCAGCACCACATATTGCGGGTCGTCCATCGGAACGGCGCCGAGAAACGCGTTGAACCGGTGATCGCTCGAATAGCGGCCATTGATCACCTTTTCGGCGGTGCCGGTCTTGCCGCCGACGAAGAAGCCGTCCACCTCGGCGCGCCGGCCAGACCCGTTTTCGACATTGAGCCGGAACAGATAGCGCATCATCGCGCTGGTCTCGGGCTTGATCACCTGGGCGGCGACGGCGTTGGCCTGCGCCTGGGACCTTGGCAGGAAGCTCGGCGGGATCAGCTTGCCGCCATTGACGAGCGCGGCGGCGGCGACGGCGGTCTGCAGCGGCGTCGTCGAAACGCCATGGCCGAAAGAGATGGTGATCGAGTTGAGCTGCTTCCATTCGGACGGCTCGGTCGGCCGCGCCACCTCGGGCAATTGCGTGTCCATCCGGTCCAGAAGGCCGAGCCGGGCAAGGAACTCCCGGTGCCCCTCAATGCCCACCACCTCGGCCATCTTCGCCGTGGCGATGTTGGACGAGTAGATGAAGGTTTCCGGCACCGACAGGATGCGCCGCTTGGCGTGGAAATCATCGATCGTGAAGCGGCCGTATCGGATCGGATTGCGCGCGTCGAACCGGCTTTGAAGATTGACCCGGCCGCTGTCGAGCGCCATCGCGGTGGTGAACGCCTTGAAGGTCGAGCCCATCTCGAACGTGCCCGCCGACATGCGGTTGAGCCGGTCCTTGTCGTGCGCGTTGAACGGATTGTTGGGATCGTAATCGGGCAGCGAGACCATGGCGACGACTTCGCCCGTCTTTGCATTGAGGATCACCCCGCCCGCCGCGATCGCCTGGTAGCGCTGCATCGCCTGCACCAGTTCGTCGCGCAGGACATGCTGGACGCCCGTGTCGATGGAAAGCCGCACCGGTTCCAGGGCGTCGGACTGGTCGAGACCCAGATCCTGCAGCGTGCCCAGCCCCTGATCGTCGACATATTTCTCGATGCCCGCCGTGCCGGCATTGTCGACATTGACCAGACCGACAATGTGCGAGGCGGTTGCCCCGCCGGGGTAAAAGCGCCGCGTCTCGTTGCGGAAGCCGATGCCCGGAATGCCGAGCGCCATCACGTCGGCCTGCTGTTTGGGCGTGATCTCGCGCCGCAGCCAGACGAAGCCCGCGCCCGAGGACAGTTTGCGGTGCCAGTCCTGATAGTCGACATCCGGCAGGACGCTGGCAAGCGCCTCGACGGCCTCGTCGGGATCGATGACGCGGCGCGGTTCGCCGTAAAGCGCGGGCACGCGAATATCGGTCGCCATCAGCTTGCCGCGCCTGTCGATCAGGTCGGGCCGCGCGGCGAGGATACGGTCGTTGACGCCATAGTTTCGGGCGTGGTCCAGATCGGTCAGCCCATACTGGACGAGCCGGCCGCCGATCAGCGCATAGACGGCGACGAAACAGACAATCGCGATGCCGAGCCGGCCGCGCCCCATGCGCAAAAGCGCATCGCTGCGCCGCAGAGGCGGCCGTGCCGGGCCACCGCCGAAACCGCCGAACCGCAAACGGGGAAGCGTCAGCGCCATTCTCACCGCTCCCCGCCGATCGAGCCGGTCGTCAGCGCGTCATCCGGTTCACCGGCAATGATGTCGCCGACCGCGTCGCCGGGATCGAATTGCGGCGGACCGGGCAGTTCGCTGGCCGTGATGAACTGGCTGGCATCCGGCGTTTCGAGGCCGAGCTCTTCGGAGTAGCGCTCGGCCAGCGCCTGCAGGCGCTGCGGGTGGCTCAGATGCGCCCAGTCGGCGCGCAACAGGTCGATCGTCTCATGTTCCAGCGCGATCAGCCGTTCGAGCTTGCGGATTTCGGCCAGCCGCTGCTCGGATTCGTGCTTGACCGAATAGGTCCAGGTGGCGGTCGCGATCACCAGCGCGATGAGCGCGATGTTGACAAGACGCATCATGCGGTCGGCTTTCCCTGTTCGCCATCGCCCGGCCAGGGCAGGTCGGGCAGGCCGAAGATCGCCATGTCGGCGTCGCGGGCCGGCGCTTCGGTGCGGGTGGCCGCGCGCAACTTGGCCGAGCGCGCGCGGGGATTGACCTCGACCTCCGCGGGCCCCGCCGCCACCATCGCCTTGCCCCTGACCTCGAATGTCAGAGCACGCGGCTCCGCCGCCGGCAGATGGCGCGAGCCCGATGCCTGGCTGGTCCGGTCGGCGATGAAGCGCTTGACGATCCGGTCTTCCAGCGAATGGAAGGTGACCACGACGAGCCTCCCGCCCGGTTTCAGGCAGGTCTCGGCGGCAAACAGCGCCCGGGCCAGCTCCCGCAGTTCGTCATTGACGAAGATGCGCAGGCCCTGGAACGTCCGCGTCGCCGGATGGATGGTGTCTTTCGCCTTGCGCGGCTGCGCCTTTTCGATGAGCGCGGCGAGCTGGCCGGTCGTCTCGAAGGGCGCTTCCTCTCGTGCGCGGACGATGGCGTGGGCGATCCTCGGCGCGTTGCGCTCCTCGCCCAGAATGCCGATGATCCGGATCAGATCCTTGACGCCGAAATTGTTGACGATGTCGGCAGCGCTCGGCCCGGACTGCGCCATGCGCATGTCGAGCGGACCGTCCTGGCGGAACGAAAAGCCGCGCCCGGCCTGATCGAGTTGCATGGACGAGACGCCGATATCGAGCACCAGCCCGTCGAGCGAGGCCGGCGCGACATGATCGGCAATGGTGGAAAACGGCGCTTCGACCAGCCGCAGCCGGCCGTCGCTGGCGTCAACGAGCGCATGTCCGGCGGCAATGGCATCGGGATCGCGGTCGAACGCGACAACGTCGGCCCCGGCATCGACAATGGCCCGCGTGTAGCCGCCCGCGCCGAACGTGCCGTCGGCCATGGTCTCGCCGTGCGCCGGATTGAGCGCGGCCAGAACCTCGGCCAGCATGACGGGAATGTGCGGCGCGTCGGCGCTCACGGCGATTGCGTCCCGGCCTGCGCCTCGCGTTGAGCCAGAAGCCGCGCCCGCACCGTTTTTCGATGCTCGGCAAAGCGCTCGGGCGACCACATCTGAAAGAACTGGCCGCGCCCGACGAAATGGACCTCGTCCGAAATGCCGGTGTGCTCGCGGATGAAATCGGTGACCGTGATCCGGCCGGTGCCGTCCAGTTTCAGGAACGCGCCATCCCCGTGACAGTAAAAGGACATGTCGTCGGAGGCGCGCATGAACGGATCGTCGTCCGCCAGCCGCTGCTCGAACCGTTCCAGAAGGTCCATGCCGCCCGCATCGATCGCCGCCATGTCGATCGATTGCAGTGCGTACAGATCCGTCAGCCCCCTGGCCTGCAGCACGGAGCGGAAATGCGCCGGAACGGACACCCGCCCCTTCGCATCGATCCGGTTCACCGCATTCGACAGAAACCGCTCCACGCACGACACCCGCTGTTTCCGTCCGGCCAAGAGCCCTGCCACGAGCCATTGCCAAACCTGTCCCCTTCACCGCGGATCCCGATCCGCCGGCGGCCCCGCCGGCCGCTGCAACGGCATCGTTCCGTTGCGCCTTTTGCTGTGATGCACCTGCGCGTTCGCGCACGCCCGGGGTCTCCGGACATGGGCTGCATGCCGCATCACAAAACGCTGAAAGAACGAATACGCCGTTGCTGTTTGGGGTAACATGGGCTGGCATGGGCGTCAACGGGATCAAGCAACCCGGAAGCGGGTACGAGCCGCGCGAACGGGCGCTTCGGCGCAACCGCACCGTTTATCCACGGTTAACCTTAAGGAATGGTTGAAGTGCGGACGGCGGCCCGCGCCAGAGCCGAATATTGCCAGCCGGCCTGTAAGCCGGGTTCTGTGAGCCGCAAAGCGGCCCGGCAGCCATTCATCTGGGACGGCCATCGCTGACCGCCTCATGCAACCCACCCGGACGACTGGTGCGGAGCCACCGGGCCAAGGCCCGCGCCGTCCCTATTCGGTCTTGCTCCCGGTGGGGTTTACCCTGCCATGACCGTTACCGGCCACGCGGTGGGCTCTTACCCCACCCTTTCACCCTTACCTCAGCAATTTGCGCAGCAAATGCGAAGGCGGTTTGCTTTCTGTGGCACTTTCCCTGGGGTCGCCCCCGCCGGACGTTATCCGGCACCGTTGCTCCCTGGAGCCCGGACTTTCCTCGACGCCCGCCTTTCGGCATTGGAACGCCGCGGCTGCCCGGCCGACTGGCAATGATCGTATGTAGTTGAACCAACGCCCGACCGCAACGCGCCCGAACGGTCAGAGCGCGCTCTGCATCGCATAGCGCCCGCCATGGTCGGCAAGGCGGTTGAGCGCGAGCGCGGCCTCGGTGACATGCAGCGCCTCGGCGGCAAGCCGCGTGCGCCCTTCCCCGCCGGCCGCGATGCAATCGGCGATCGCGGCGATCCCCGCACAAAAGTCGATCTGCGACGGATAGGCCGGAAGATGGGATCGGTTTGCTGGCGCGCGATAGGCCAGCCTGCGGCCGGCCGCCAGCCGGAGCGGCAGCGGCCGCCCCAATTGCCGTTCGAGCCGCCGGACGATACGATGGCCGAACGCGGCCTTCTTTCCGGCCGCCTCGAGATGGATCGCCGCGCGATTGTCCCACAGATCGGCGACGGTCAGCGTACCGGTTTCGCCCATCACGGTCAGCGCCCGGTCGCGCGGCGCGGCAAGGCCCGAGGTCAGCCGTGCCATCACGCCATTGTCGAACTCCAGCAGCGCGCAGGAGAAATCCGGCGCCATCTCATTGGCCGGAATGCCGGCGCCCTTGTCGAAGAAGAACGTGCCGGACTGGCCCGTGATGCGCCGCACCGGGCCGAACAGGCCGATCAGCCAGGTCAGCGCGTAGCCCGCATGTTCGAGCGTGCAGCCGATGCGGAACTCGTGCGCGCCCGGCCATGGCGCGCCGGAGACCGAACGCCAGTCGCGCCAGTTGAGGCGGAACACCGGCCCGTCCTCCATCTCGGCATAGACGAGCTTGGGCGCACCGATTGCACCAGCGTTCAGTGTCGATTGCATCAGCGCGAACGCGTCCGACCGTGCATTGGCCGGCGCGCCGGCCAGAACGAGCCCGGCCTTTCCGGCCATCCCGGCCAGTGTCCGCGCATCGTCGAAGGACATCGCCAACGGCTTTTCGCAGTAAAGATGCTTGCCGGCGCCGAGCACGGCCATGCCGATCTCGAAATGGCTTTCGGGATTGGTCAGGACCGCGACCGTTTCGACCGTTTCGTCCGCCAGAAGCGCGGCCTGCGACCCAAACGCCGGTACATTCCAGTGGGCGCAGAACTGCGCCAGCCGCGCATCGTCGCGGTCCCACACGCCGGCCAGGTCGAGGCCGGGATGGTTGGCGAGCGTCGTCATGTAATAGTCGGCGACGAACCCCGTGCCGATGATCGCAAAGCGCATGAACCGGTCCCCAGATCAGGACCGAAGGCTAGCGCCGATCAGCGAAAAAACCGTTTACGGCTGCGGATCGGCCGAGCCGGACGGCACGTCCTCGTCCTCATCGTCGCGCGCCGGGATCACATAGGCCCCCGACAGCCAGCGGTTGAGGTCGACATTCTTGCAGCGCGTCGAGCAGAACGGATAGGTCTCGCGCGACGAGGGTTGGCCGCATTCGGGGCATTTGCGCTTCGGGCGCAGCGGTTCGACGGTGGCGGACATGGCTCAAACGCCCCCCGACAGCCAGTTGAAATGCACCCGGTAGCCCTCGCCTGTCAGAAGCGCGACGGTCTCGGCCAGCGGCAGTCCGACGACATTGGTGTAGGAGCCGACCAGCTTGACGACGAACGTGCCGGCAAAGCCCTGAATGGCATAGCCGCCCGCCTTGCCCTTCCATTCGCCCGACGCCAGATAGCTCTCCAGTTCCTCGCGGGTCAGCCGCTTGAAGCGGACCCGCGTCTCGACGACGCGCTGGCGCATCTGGCCCCTGGGCGTGACCAGCGCCAGCCCGGTATAGACGCGGTGCGCCCGGCCCGACAGCATGCGCAGGCATTGCGAGGCTTCGTCCAGAAGTTCGGCCTTCGGCATGATGTTGCTGCCGACGGCGACCACCGTGTCGGCGGCCAGCACATAGGGCGCAGCACCGCGCTCGTCTTCGGGCAGCGCCTTGCGCTCTTCGTCGATCAGCGCGCGCGCCTTGTGCGCCTTCTCGCCGGAAAGCCGGCGCGCCAGCGAGCGCGGATGCTCCGATTTGAAGGGCGTTTCGTCGATGTTGGCGGGCAAAAGCCGCTCGGGCTCGATGCCGGCCTGTGCCAGAAGTTCCACGCGCCGCGGCGAGCCCGAGGCCAGAACCAGTGTCTGCGGCGCATCCATGGCGGGTCTGGTTACTTGAAGCGGTAGGTGATGCGGCCCTTGGTCAGGTCATAGGGCGTCATTTCGACCAGCACCTTGTCGCCGGTCAGCACGCGAATGCGGTTCTTGCGCATCTTGCCGGCGGTGTGGGCGATGATTTCGTGCTCGTTTTCCAACTGTACGCGGAAGGTGGCGTTGGGCAAAAGCTCCGTAACGACACCGGGAAACTCCAAAAGTTCTTCTTTCGCCATGCGATCCTGTTCGATCCCTGTTCATGTGGCTGGAGGGGAATGCCCGGCGGCGGCCGGACCCCGCCGCCCGGATGGGCGGGTCTTTAGCGCAAAGATGGTGATTTGAACAGCGGCTTTGAAGGGGCGGCGCAATCGGGCTTTCCGGGGCTGGCGCGTTGCCCGGCCATCAGTACGGCACGCCCGCATCGGACCGCGCCAGAAGCCGCGGCAAGGCCGGGTGGGGATATTTGCGCGGCGCGGTGACCGCATAGAACGGCTCGACGATGTCGAGCGCGAACGGCGCGGTCTTCACGCGGCCCGTCCGGATCTCGTCGGCCAGCACGACCGAGGGCGCCACCGCAAGGCCCGCATCCTCGCGCGCCAGCAGGCGGACCATCGCCATGTCGTCGACAAGGGCGGCGATGCGCGGCGTCACGCCGTGCCGTGCGAACAGCCCTTCGAGCTGCTGGCGGATGTCGCCGCCCGTCGGCACGATGAGCGGTTCGTTGGCCAGAAGGTCGGTCAGCGTGGCATGCCGGTCGACACGGGCCGGCGCGCCGTGCACGCGCACAGGCTGCTCGTCGAGCCGCTGCACGGCGAACCCGGCATCGTCGTCGCCGACCGGCGCCTGGGTGGTCAGAACGACGTCGAGCGACAATGTCTTCAACCCATCCAGCAGCACCGGCAGGCTGCCCGACCGCAGGACGATATCGACGCCGCCCTGCGCCATGGCCGGCCGCAGGAAGGCGATCTGGAAGTTGCGCGACAGGGTCGACAGCGCCCCGACGCGCAGCGGCGGCTCGGCCGAACCCGACCGGTCGAGCGTTGCCAAGAGCTCCTCGCCGACGCCGAAAATGCGATCGGCATGGTCGAGCGTGATGCGCCCCACTTCGGTCAGGACCAGCGTCCGGCCGACGCGCTCGAACAGGGCATGGCCAAGACGGGCTTCCAGTGTCCTGATCTGGCTGGACAGCGCCGACTGGGCCACGTTCAGCCGTTCGGCCGCGCGGCTGAGATTGCCCTCATGGGCGACCTCCCGAAAATAGCGCAGATGGTGATAGTTGAGCCGGTCCATGTTCTTAAAAATAGAACGAAATGTGAAAAAAGATATGTTTTTCTGAGGATAAGGCGGCCTGTATCGGGTGCGGCGTCAACAAATGGAGGGACGCCGCATGGAAACCGTGTCGGACATCGCATCATCGATCCTCAACCAGTTCCAGAAGCCCACGCTCGCCTTTCTGATCGGCGGCATGGTGCTGGCCGCGGCGCGCAGCCGGCTGGAAGTGCCCGAGGCGATCTACAAGTTCATCGTCGCGCTGCTTTTGCTGAAGGTCGGCATGTCCGCCGGCATGTCGGTGCGCAGCGCCGATCTGATGGCGCTGCTCGTCCCGGCGGTCCTGGCGATCGCCGTCGGCGTCGGCATCGTGCTGCTCGGCACCGTAACGCTGACGCGGATTCGCGGCGTCGCGCCCATCGACGGCTATGCGACGGCGGGCCTGTTCGGCGCGGTCTCCGCCTCGACGCTGGCCGCCGGCATGGCGGTGCTGGAGACCGAGGGGATCGCCTATGAGGGCTTCATCGGCGCACTCTACCCCTTCATGGATGTCGCCGCGCTGATCACCGCGATCGTGCTGGCGCGCATGGCGACAGCGCGGCGGGTGGCCGCCGCCGGCGTCTCGCCGGACGGCACGATGGTGCTTGGCGGCGGACGGCCGGCGGCTGCGCCGGGCCAGCCGGGCGAACCCGGTCTTCTGAAGACCATTCTTCTGGACACGGTGCGCAGCCCGGCCATTTCGGCGCTTTTCCTTGGCCTTGCGATCGGCCTGCTGTCGAAACCCGAAAGCGTCTATCAGAGCTTCTACGAGCCGCTCTTCCGGGGGCTGTTGTCCATCCTCATGCTGATCATGGGCATGGAGGCCTGGGCCCGGCTGTCGGAATTGCGCAAGGTTGCCCACGCCTATCTGGTCTACGGCCTTTCGGCGCCGATCATTCACGGGCTCGTCGGCTTCGGCGCGGGGCTGATCGCCCACCATCTGACCGGGTTTTCGCCCGGCGGCGTGATCCTTCTGTCGGTGATGGCCGCATCGAGCTCGGACATTTCGGGCCCGCCCACGCTGCGCGGCGCACTGCCCGAGGCAAACCCGTCCGCCTATGTGGGAACGTCGACCGGCATCGGAACGCCGATCGCCATCCTGTCGATCCCGCTGTGGGTGGCGCTTGCCGATCTCACCATCGGGCTCGGCTGAAACGGACGAGGCGTCCGCCCCTCGCGGGCGGGCGCTTGCGCCCCTCACCCCTTCCAGTGCAGCACGCAGACCAGCGTGAAGAGGCGCCGGGCGGTGTCGAAATCGATGGCGATCTTGCCGTCGAGCCGGTCCATCAGCGTTTCCGAACCGTCATTGTGAACGCCGCGCCGGGCCATGTCGATCGTCTCGATCTGGCTCGTCGTCGCACTCTTGATCGCCTCGTAATAGCTCTCGCAGATCATGTAATAGTCCTTGACGATCTTGCGGAACGGGCCGAGCGACAGGATGTGCGTGGCAACGTCCTCGCCACCCTCGCGCTTGACGGCGAAGACCAGCTTGCCGTCGACCACCGACAGATGCAGCGTGTAGGGGCCATTGCCCGCATCGCCCACCGGCTTGAACCGGTTTTCCTCGATCAGGTCGAAGATCGCGACGGCGCGCTCATGCTCCACATCGGGCGTCGACCTGCCGATGGAGTCGTCCAGCGTCAGATCGCTCAGCCGGTCTTCCGGCGCAAAATCGGTCTCATCCGCCATCGGGCCCTCCCGGGTTCATGCGGATGGCGACCGAGCGCGCATGGGCGCCCAGACCCTCGGCCTCGGCGAGCCGGATCGCGGCGGGGCCGAGCGCGCGAAGCTGGTCCGGGCCGAGTTTCAGGATCGAGGTGCGCTTGACGAAATCGAGCACCGAAAGTCCCGACGAAAAACGCGCCGACCGGGCCGTCGGCAGCACATGGTTGGAGCCGCCCACATAGTCGCCGATCACTTCGGGCGTGTGCCGGCCGACGAAGATCGCGCCCGCATTGGTGACCCGGTTCGCCAGATCGTCGGCATTCTCGCAGGCCAGTTCCAGATGTTCGGCGGCGATGCGGTCGATCAGCGCGAGCGTGTCGCCGGAATGGATGTCGTCGACCGTGACGATGCCGCCGAAATCGCGCCAGCTCGCCGCCGCGGTCTCGCCGCGCGCCAGCGTGGTCAATTGCCGCTCGACCGCGCCGGCCACCGCGTCGGCAAAGCCCGCATCGTCGGTGATCAGGATCGATTGCGCGTTTGCGTCATGCTCGGCCTGGGCCAGAAGGTCGGCGGCGATCCAGTCGGGATCGTTGTCGCCGTCGGCGACGACCAGCACTTCGGAGGGGCCGGCGATCATGTCGATGCCGACCGTGCCGAAAACGGCGCGCTTGGCCGCCGCCACATAGGCGTTGCCCGGTCCGACGATCTTGGCGACCGGCGCGATCGTCCCGGTGCCATGGGCGAGCGCGGCCACCGCCTGCGCCCCGCCGATCCGGTAGATCTCGGTGACGCCGGCCAGATCGGCCGCCGCCAGCACCAGCGGGTTGAGCACACCGTCGGGCGATGGCACGACCATGACGATGCGCTTGACGCCGGCGACGACCGCTGGCACCGCGTTCATCAACACGGACGAGGGATAGGCCGCCGTCCCGCCGGGAACGTAGAGCCCGACCGCCTCGACGGCCGTCCAGCGGCCGCCAAGCGTCACGCCGATCGCGTCGGTGTAAATGTCGTCCTTGGGCATCTGCCGGCCATGGTGCGACCGGATGCGGTCGCGCGCCAGGGTCAGCGCCTCCAGCGTTTCGGCGTCGATCCCGGCGACGGCTTCAGCCACCTCGTCGGCGCCGACGCGCATCGGCACCGCACTCAAATCCAGCCGGTCGAACTTCTTGGTCAGCCGCGCCAGCGCTTCATCGCCGTTCTGGCGCACATCGTCGATGATCGCGCGCACTGTCGCTTCGACATCGGCCGACACTTCCCGCTTCAGCCCCAGAAATGCACCGAAACGGGCGGGAAAATCGCGGTCTGCGCTGTCGAGAAAATGCGGCACGGCGAACGATCCTGTTGTCAGCCGGCCGGGTGGCGGGGTTTGAAGCGTGTCTCCCACGCAGCGCCCAGATCGGCCATCTGCGCCTCGATCACCTCGACATCGAGCCGGATCGCCGCGTCGTCGGCAAAGATCAGTTCGATCGTGCCGGCCGGCGCCTCGCCGGGATGAAAGCGGATCGCCAGAAGCGACAGCGCCTGGCTGTCATCGCCGCGCCGGATGCCGATCGTCCGGACGCCGGTGACGCGGGCGAACGACAGCGCGGTCTTGCGCCGCTCGTGCGTGGCCGAGCCGCCGCCCTTTTCGGCATCCCATGCGAACCGGTTGGCGACGATGGTCAAGCGCTTTGCGCCCGGCGCGTAGTCGATCTGGTCGGGCTTGGTGATCGCGTCCTGCATCTGCGCGGAGATCACCGTCAGATCGGACGCGTCCAGCGCCATCAGTTTCAAGCCGTCCATCGGTCCGTCACGCGCCTGCCGGTCGGGGAAAAGGGTCTGATCGACTGCTACGCCTTTCGCTTTCGCGGTGCAACAGGAGCGCTGCCGCAATCAGCCCGAAACGCGCGCGATTTCCGCGCCGCAGGCGCCGAGCTTCTCTTCCAGGCGCTCAAAACCCCGGTCCAGATGGTAGACCCGGTTGACACGGGTTTCGCCTTCGGCGGCAAGGCCGGCAATGACCAGCGACACCGAAGCGCGCAGATCGGTCGCCATCACCGGCGCGCCCTTGAGCACCGGAACGCCGGTCACGGTCGCCGTCTGGCCGTTCAGCGTGATGTCGGCACCCAGCCGCGCCAGCTCCTGAACGTGCATGAACCGGTTCTCGAAGATCGTCTCGGTGATGTGCGAGACGCCGTTCGCCTTGGTCATCAGCCCCATGAACTGCGCCTGCAGATCGGTCGGAAAGCCCGGAAAGGGCTCGGTCGTCACATCGGCCGCCTTCAGCCCGTTGCCGTTGCGGTAGACGCGCAGGCCGTCCTCTTCGGCCGTGATGTCGATCCCGGTCTCGCCCAGAACGTCGACGGCCGTCTGCCAGCTCGACGCTTCGGCGCCCTTGAGCAGCACGTTGCCCCCGGTCATGCCGACCGCCATCGCATAGGTGCCGGTTTCGATCCGGTCGGCGATCACCCGGTGCCGCGCCCCCGAAAGCGAGGTGACGCCGTCGATGGTGATGGTGCGCGTGCCGGCGCCTTCGATCTTCGCGCCCATGGCGTTCAGGCATTCGGCGAGGCACACCACTTCGGGCTCGCAGGCCGCATTGTCGATCACCGTCTGGCCGTTGGCGAGCGAAGCCGCCATCAGCGCCACATGGGTCGCGCCGACCGAAACCTTGGGGAAGCGGTAATGCGCGCCGGTCAGCCCGCTGCCCGCCGTCGCATGCACATAGCCGTTTTCGATCTCGATCTGCGCGCCGAGCGCCTCGAGCACCTCGATGAACAGATCGACCGGCCGGGTGCCGATGGCGCAGCCGCCCGGCAGCGACACGCGGGCCTCGCCCATCCGCGCCAGAAGCGGCCCGATCACCCAGAAGCTGGCGCGCATCTTCGAGACAAGCTCGTAGGGCGCGGTGATGTCGACGATGTCGCGCGCGGTGAAATCGACCGTGCGGGCATAGCCCTGCCCCTCGGCCCGGCGCCGGCCCTTCACCGCATAGTCGACGCCGTGATTGCTCAGAATGCGGATCAGCTGCTCGACATCGGCAAGATGCGGCACGTTCTCCAGCGTCAGCGTATCGTCGGTCAGGAGCGAGGCGATCATCAGCGGCAGCGCCGCGTTCTTGGCGCCCGAAATCGGAATTGTGCCGTTCAGTTCATGGCCGCCGACGATGCGAATGCTGTCCATCTGGAAACTGGTCCCCTTGCTGCGTGCGCCCCTGCACCGGAACCCGCCGGTCCGCGGCATCGGCGCCCTCTAGACGATGATCGGGGCCGGTTCAAGGCAGGCGCCCCTGCGCCGCCAAAGCCGCCATGGCGGTCAACACGGCGGGCGGACGCGAACCCTTTGTGTGCCAAACAGGATTGAAGGGATGGTTAACGCATGGTTGACCGCAACGGCCGCATTTGACGGAACCGGCCATCCGGACGGCTCTGCGGCAGCGGGCCGCCGCCCGACGCCCGCCTCGCGCGCCGCGCTAGCCGCCCTCGCCGCCCGGCTTGGTGTCCTTGGCGGCGGCAATGCCCTCGTCACGGCAATCGGCATCGCCCGCCCGGCGGGCGCGCGCCTGGGCTTTGCGCTTTTGCAGATTGGCGCGCAGTTCCGCCGCCAGCCGTTCCTGCCGCGCCCTGGCGCTTTCGTTCTTTGCCATCGGCCTTCGCCTCCTTGCCGCCAGCGCCGCGCGGCGCATCGGTCCGCCGCTTCGCTCCGGACATGCGCCGGACTGGCCATCCGCCGCCCATGATGTCCGTATCGCGCATGCGGTCAATATCGCTTGACGCGGGCAATTGACGCCTTGATATGCGAAATGGGCTGTGGCACAAGCCGCCCGTCGCGGACACCGCCGCCAATGCTGCTATAGCTCAGGGGTAGAGCACTCCCTTGGTAAGGGAGAGGCCGTGAGTTCAAATCTCACTAGCAGCACCATTTTTCAGCATCATAGCGCACGTGGGCGCCATCGCTTGGCAAGCCCGTTTACGGGAGCGGCCGCCACGGGCGGCCGCTCCCGCGCCCCATCGCCCCGATCATTCGTCGACGCAGTGGTAGGAATGGTTGGTCCGGGTACCGTCGGGCAGTTCGTCATACATCACGAAGACATTGCCGGCGCCGCCGCAGGCCTCGAACGCCTTGCCCGGCGTCGGATAGCCGTCGGCGGCCGACCCGCCTCCGGCCTTGGCAGCCAGCTGCATGGTGCCGGCGGCGGCAATGCCGTGGCGCTTCATGCCGGCATGGCCGGCGGTGGTGGCCGCCGTGGCGATCAGCGCGGCGCCGGCGGCAAGGGCGGCAAACTTGGAAAGACGGGTCATGGCAAAAATCCTCTGTGCTGTGCGGCGCGTCCGGTGCGCCCTCAACCGCAACGCTAGCGCTGCACGGCCCGCGGCCCTGTGCACTTGCGCACATGCCGCAACACCATTGGCGCGAAAACCCGGCCAGGGCGGCATCCAGCGCGATTTTCACCGGAATCCATCGGCTTGGCCCGATGGTGATCTGGACTTTTACACCGCTGTCACATTGGGTTGTTAGCCGCGCCCTGTCTCCCACCCATCAGAGGACCTCACCCATGCGCACGCTTCTGTCCGCCCTTGCCATCGCCACCATGCTCTCCGGCCCGGCCCTTGCCGCCTCGGGCAAGCTGGTGCTCTACACCTCCCAGCCCAACGAGGACGCCCAGGAAACAGTGGACGCCTTCACCGCCAAGCACCCCGATGTCGAGGTCGAGTGGATCCGCGACGGCACGACAAAGGTCATGGCCAAGCTCGCCGCCGAGTTCGAGGCCGGCGCGCCGCAGCCCGACGTGCTGTTGATCGCCGACATGGTCACCATGGAAGGGCTGAAGGCCGAAGGCCGGCTGATGGCCCATGAAGGCGCCGACATCTCCGCCTACGACCCGGCCATCATGGACGACGAGAAATTCTATTTCTCCACCAAGCTGATCACCACCGGCATCGTCTACAACACCGCCGCCGAGATGGTCCCCACCTCCTACACGGACCTGCTGGACGAGGCGGCGAAAGACAGGATCGCCATGCCTTCGCCACTGACCTCGGGCGCCGCGACCATCCACATGGCGGCGCTGACCGCCAACCCCGATCTCGGCTGGGCCTATTATGAGGGTCTGGCCGACCAGGGCGCCAACCCGCAGGGCGGCAATGGCGGCACCTACCGGGCGATCGCCGGCGGCGAAAAGCTGTACGGCTTCGTCGTCGACTTCCTGCCGATCCGCGAAAAGGCCAACGGCGCGCCGGTGGAGTTCGTCTTCCCCGAAGAGGGCGTCTCCGCGGTCACCGAGCCGGTCGCCATCCTGTCGACCGCGCAGAACCCGGAAGCCGCCAAGGCCTTTGTCGACTTCCTCCTGTCGCCCGAAGGCCAGCAACTCGCCGCCGACCAGGGCTATCTGGCCGCCCATCCGGACATTGCGCCGCCCGAAGGCTTTCCGGCCCGCGACCAGATCAAGCTGATGGACTTCGATCCCGCCGCAGCCCTTGAAAACGATGCCGCAAACAAGGAACGGTTCGTCGACATTTTCGGCGGCTGACCCTTGAGCGAACGCATCCTGCCAAGACCCGATGGCGAGGGGCTGACCCTCGCCATCGTCATTGCGGTGGCGCTGGTCCTGTTCGTCATGCCGCTGGCGCTTCTGGCGCGCGCCGGGCTGACGCTGGACGGCGCCGTGACGCTCCAGCCCATCCTCGATGCGCTCGACAGCCGCTCGGTGCCGCGCGCGCTGATCAATTCGCTCGACAGCGCTTTCTTCTCCGGCCTGATCGCGCTGGTCCTGGGCACGATGATCGCGCTGGTCATCGGGCTGACGGACGTGCGCGCCAAGGGCATCTTCACCTTCCTCTTGCTGATCCCGATGATGGTGCCGCCGCATGTGACGGCCATCGCGTGGATCCAGGCGATGGGGCCGTCGAGCCCGCTGCTGCAAATGCTCGGCATCGCGCCCGAACCGGGTTCCACCCATCCGCTCTATTCGCGCGGGGGTGTGATCGCGCTCCTGTCGATCCAGCACATGCCGCTGGTCTTCCTCGTCGTGCTGGCCGCACTGCGCGCCCTGCCGCGCGAGATGATCGAGGCGGCGCGGATCGCCGGCGCAAGGCCGCTCGCCGTCTTGCGCCGCATCGTGCTGCCGCTGCTTGCGCCGATCCTGATCTCGGCCTTCGCGCTCGCCTTCGTCTCGGCGCTGGGCAATTTCGGCATCCCGGCGCTGCTCGGCATTCCGGCGCGCTACACCACGCTGCCGGTGCTGCTGTGGCAGCGCCTTGCCAGTTTCGGCCCCGATGTCCTGACCTCGGTCGCGGCGATCGCCGCGCTTCTGGCCGCCATCGCCATCGCCATCATCGCCGTCCAGATGACGCTTCTGGCGCGCACCCGCAGCCCGCTGATCGGCCCGCCCCAGCCGCCGCTCGCAATCCGGCTCGGCGCGCGGCGCCCGCTGGTCGAGACGCTGCTAGCCCTTCTGGTCGCCGCAACGCTGGTCCTGCCGGTTGTCGCGCTGACGACCACGGCACTGATCCCGACCTATGGCGTGCCGTTCAACCTGACGACCATCACCTTTGCGAACTTTGCCGAGGTGCTGTTCCGCCAGCAGGTCACGCTCAGGGCCTTCGCCAATTCGACGCTCGTCGCCGGTCTTGCCGGGCTGATGCTCGCGGTGATCGCCATGGCCGTCGGCCATTTTCTCAATGCGCGGCAGAAGGGCTACCGGCGCGCCGGAACCGCGCTCGCGACCCTTGCCGAGACGACCTATGCCATTCCCGGCCTCGTCATCTCGATCGCCTTCATCCTCGCCTTCATCCGGCCGATCCCTGTCATCGACGTGTCGATCTACAACACGCTGATCATCATCGGCCTTGCCTATGTCTGCGCGTTCCTGTCGATCGCACTCAAGCCGGTGACGGCCGCCTGCGCCCAGCTCGACCCGGCGCTCGACGAGGCCGCGCGCATATCCGGCGCACGCTTTTTCATGCGCATGCGCCGCATTTTCGCGCCGCTGATCGCGCCGGCCGCCGCCTCCGGCGCCATCCTCGTCTTCCTGACCGCCTACAATGAGATCACCGTCTCGGCGCTTTTGTGGTCGACAGGCAACGAGACCATAGGCACCACGATCTACAATTACGAAGATGGCGGCTACACGACGCTGGCCGCAGCCATGTCGGCGGTAACGGTTGTTGCCACGATCGCGCTGATGGTGGCGCTCGACCGCTTCGGCAAGCGCCTGCCGCCGGGTGTGGTGCCCTGGCGGATTTAAGCCGGCAGCACCCACGCCTTGTCGAACGCCACGCGCACCGGCTCGCCCGCCGCCAGCGGCTCCGTGCTCGTTGCATGCACCGGCGTATCGATCCCCGGCAGCAGCACCGTCGCCTCCCAGTGCCCGCCCCGATAGAGTGCAGCGCCGACACGCCCCTCCATGCCGCCCGCATTGCCGAGCGTCACATGTTCGGGCCGGATGAAGGCCGTCGCCGGCCCGTCGGCAGGCTCTCCGTCAACCGCGACCGAATGCCCGTTCACCGTGGCGCGGCCGCCATCGACCGTGACCGGCACCAGCGTCCCGCGCCCGATGAAGCGCGCCACCGCGGCATTGGCCGGCCGCTCGTAAATCTCCCGCGGCGTGCCGACCTGCAGAAAGCGACCCTTTTCCATCACGGCCACCCGGTCGGCGACGGCCATCGCCTCGCGCTGGTCATGGGTGATGTAGACGGTGGTCACGCCCGAGGCGCGGTGAAAGCGCGTCAGCTCCTCTTCCATCACCGCGCGCAGATGCGGGTCGAGATTGGCGAGCGGCTCGTCCATCAGGATCGTGCGGGCGCCGCCGGCCAGACACCGCGCCAGCGCCACGCGCTGGCGCTGCCCGCCCGAAAGGGCCGCCGGCTTGCGGTCGGCGAACCCGGTCAGCGACACGGTTTCAAGATGGTCCATCGCCTGCCGGCGCGCCTCGGCCTTGCCAAGCCCCTGCGCTTCTCCGGGAAAGGCGACATTGTCGCGCACGGACAGATGCGGCCACAGTGCATAGGACTGGAAGACGAAGCCGGTCCGGCGATCCTCCGGCGGTACATGCCGGTCCGGACCGGACATGGTTTGGCCGCCGAGCGCGATCCGGCCCTGATCGGCCATTTCCAGCCCGGCGATCAGCCGCAGAAGGGTCGACTTGCCGCAGCCCGAAGCACCCAGGACGCAGAAGAACTCGCCCGTCGCGATCTCGGCATCGACGCCGGCGACCGCCCGGTCGGCGCCGAAGCTCTTGTGCACATTTTCAAGAACGACGGACATTGATACACGCGGCGGGTTGGCAACGGCCCGATCCATAGGGCGCTCCGGCCGCCGGCACAAGCACGTCCGGCTTTCGCGCGGCCCGGCCTTGGGTGCGGCGCACAAAAAGTGTTAGCCTTGTCGCATCCCTGTAACAGAGTTGCGTTTGTTCACCGCCATGCCCGCCGCCGCGCCCGACCGCCCGCTCATCGTGTTCTCCGATCTGGACGGGACGCTGCTCGACCATGAGAGCTATGACTGGCGGCCGGCGGAACCGGCGCTCGCCGCCCTGCGTGAGCGCGCCATCCCGCTCATCCTCGCCTCATCGAAGACCGCCGCCGAGATCGCGCCGCTGCGGGCCGGGCTGGGCTTTGCGCATTGCCCGGCCGTCGTTGAGAACGGCGCCGGCATCCTGCCCGCCGAGGGCGAAGACGCTGGCGACGGGCAAGCCCGCTATGCGGAGCTGCGCGCTGCGCTCGACCGCGTGCCGGCCAGGTTGCGCCGGCATTTTTCCGGCTTCGGCGATCTGGGCACCGTCGGCATCGCCGCCGCGACCGGGCTCGACGACCGCAGCGCGCGGCTGGCCGCCGAACGCCGCTTTTCCGAGCCGGGCCTCTGGGCGGGAACGGACGGCGACAAGGCGCGTTTCGTCGAAGCGCTGGCGGAAATGGGGGTCAAGGCCCGGTCCGGCGGCCGCTTCCTGACGCTCTCCTTCGGCGGCACCAAGGCCGAACGCATGACCGAGATCACCGCCGCCCTGTTCGGCGCCGGCCTGCCCTTCATCGTCGCGCTCGGCGATGCGCCCAACGACACCGAGATGCTTCAGGCGGCCGACCGGGCCTTCATCGTCGCCAACCCGCACGGCACGCCTCTGCCGCACCTTGCCGGCGAGACAGATGGCACCATCAGCCGCACCGCCGAACCCGGCCCCGCCGGTTGGAATGACGCCGTGCTGCCGCTAGTGTCGGCCTGGCCCCAGGCGGGCGGCGCCTGAACAATGCAAGTGTAACCGGAGTGCGATCGGACCCATGGCAGATTTTCACCAGAACGGCGCCGTCGCCACGCTTCACAATCTGCGCACCCGCACGCCCGAGGATCTCGAGCGCGAACTGATCACCATCACCGGCCGCCAGAAGGTGACGCTGATCCTTCCCTCGCTCTATTCCGAGCTCGAGGGCCCTGCCCTGCCTGCCATTCTGGACGAACTGAACACGGTCAAGTTCATCCACCATGTGGTGATCGGCCTCGATCGCGCCACCCGCAAGGAATACAAGGCCGCGCGCAAGTTCTTCGACCGGCTCGAACTGCCCCATTCGGTTCTGTGGAACGACGGACCGCGCTTGCGCGCCATCGACGAGCGCCTCGCCAGCGCCGGCCTGTCGCCGACCGAACCGGGCAAGGGCCGCAATGTCTGGTACTGCATCGGCTACACGCTGGCGCGCGCCGAAAGCGACGTGATCGCGCTGCACGATTGCGACATCCTCACCTATTCCAAGGAGATGCTGGCGCGGCTGGTCTATCCGGTCGCCAACCCCGAATTCGCCTACCAGTTCTGCAAGGGCTATTACCCCCGCACCGCCGACGGCAAGATGAACGGCCGCGTCAGCCGGCTTCTGGTCGCACCGCTGCTTGAAGCCATGCGCAAGACCATCGGCGAACGCGACTATCTCGATTATCTGCGCTCGTTCCGCTATCCGCTCGCCGGCGAATTCGCCATGCGCACCTCGATCCTGCCGGCCATGCGCATCCCGTCCGACTGGGGGCTGGAGATCGGCACGCTGTCCGAAGCATGGCGCAATCTCGCCCCGCGGGCGGTCTGTCAGGTGGAGATTTCCGACGCCTATGACCACAAGCACCAGCCTTTGTCCGAGGACGATGCCAAGAAGGGCCTGTCGCGCATGTCGACCGACATCTGCAAGGCGCTGTACCGGAAGCTGGCGACCGACGGCACGGTGTTCTCCAAGGAGACCTTCCGCGCGCTCAAGGCGAGCTACTACCGCACCGCGCTCGACTTCGTCGAAGCCTATTACAACGACGCCCGCATGAACGGCCTGCATGTCGACCGGCACAAGGAGGAGCGCGCGGTCGAGCTGTTCGCCGGCAACATCGTCGATGCGGGCAAGACCTTCCTCGACAACCCGATGGAAACGCCCTTCATTCCCGCCTGGTCGCGCGTCCAGGCCGCCGACCCGGACCTGGTGCGGGATCTGTTCGAGGCGGTGCAGGCGGACGATGAGGAATTTGCGTAGGGCTTTCTAACGGTCCCCCGAAGCCGCCAGTTTCGCGGCGATGCGGGCGCGTGCTTTTGTGGCTTTGCCATGGTGATATGGCATGTGCTCGGGATCATAGACCCGCAAGGCATTGTCCAGATGCGCCAGAGCCGCCTCCAGATGCTTGCTTGGCTCCTCACAGGTTTCGTGTTCAGCCCTTGCTTCTTCCGTAAGCGCCAGATTCTCCTGAGTCATCGCCCAGTCCACCGGCTGGTCGGCTTCGGTACGAACACGCAGGGCGGCGCGAAACGCATCGACGGCCGCACTGAGCAGCCCTGCGCCTTCCTCGCCGCCGATGGGACGGCCCTGATCGCCTAGGGCGCTGCCGAGATTGTTCTGAGTCATCGCCCAGTTCACCGGCTGGTCGGCTTCGGTATAGACGCGCAACGCGGCGCGATAGGCGTCGACGGCCTCGCCGAGCAGCCCCGCGCCTTCCTCGCCGCCGATGTGATTGCCCTGATTTGCAAGGACGACGCCAAGATTGTTCTGCATTGTGGCCCATTGCACCGGATGGTCGGCCTCGGTGCGGACGCGCAACGCGGCGCGATTGGCGTCGACGGCCTCACCGAGCAGCCGTGCGCCTTCCTCGCCGCCGATGCGATTGCCCTGATCGCCAAGGGCGATGCCGAGATTGTTCTGCGTGATCGCCCAATCCACATGGTGGTCGGCTTCGGTGTAGACGCGCAAAGCGGCGCGGTGAGCCGCGACGGCCTTGCCAAGCAGTATCGTGCCCGCCTCACCACCAATACGGCTGCCCTGACGGCGAAGGGCGTTACCGAGGGCATTGTGTCCGGCAGCAAACAGGTCCGGTTGGGCGTCCTCTGCCACAAGTTCGAGAGCGTGCCTCCATATCTCGACACTGCGCGCAAATCCGTGACCGCCATAGCGATCGGCATGATAGAACAACCTTTGATCATAGATCAGCCGACGTGCGGGCTCCACGGGATCGACCGCAGCAAAGGCGTCCGCCGCCGCCGCCAGAATGTGGAAGGCATCATCCACACGACCGCGCAGAAGAGCATTGTCGACCCGCAGGCTCGCCGTCTGCCAGGCAATGTCGAGTTCGGTCTCATGGACCATCAGCAGCAGGCGCTCGACTTCTTCCAGATCGGGCTTGTCCGCCGCCGCCCTGGCCGCGGCCTTGAGGTTGCCCAGCCCTGCGATACGGTCGTCGATTGCGTCGATCTGCGCCTTGAAGGACCGGTATTCCTCCGCTTTCTTCTCCAGAAGTTCGCGCAGCGCGGCATCGTCCAACGCAAAAACGCGCTCGATCTCAAAGCGTGCGGCCAGTGCCTCCAACTGGTCGCGGCTTGCCTTTGCGAGCGAGCCCACATGCGAGAGCGCATCGGACACCGAGCCGAACTGCTCGATCAGGCTGTCAATGCCCCGCTGGATCGCCGCATTGTCGGCCAGCACTTTTTCGCGGAAAGCTGGGGCCAGTTGTTCGCTAAAGCGCGGATCGGCGAGCAGCGTTGTCAATAAGTGGCCGACGATGCGCTTGAACGGACCGACATGGTCCGGCTTCCTGTGCTCTTTGTCAGTCAGCCGTTTCGCCATTTCCTCGGCGAGCCGTTCGCCGTTCGCGCCGGCTTCCATGACCCGCACCGGCGACGGAACGCTCGCTTCGACCATTTGCGGGATCAAAAGGCGCGTCGTGTCGTCCAGTGCCGGCTCGCCGAGCTTTCGTTCCAGCTCCTTGGTCAGTTCGTCGGCCAGCGTTTTGGCCGTTCCCGGCAACCGCTTTCTGATCTCGCGCCACGACAGAAATCCGCCGGTTACGGCGGCCGCTCCTCCGACGGTAGCCGTTGCCGTTGCCAGCCCGCCGACACAGACGAGCAGATTGACCGCATGCGCAATCGCATCGACATCGGCTTTGATGACCATAATGCGTCCCCTTTGCGTATCGTTATGCGGTCTGGGTCTCCGTCGTTCAAGTATTGCAAAGTACTGATGGGCGCATCAGGAGCTTCATCAAGTCCGACATTTATCGATTCCGACGACCATGTGCCCCGCCACCCTCCCCCAAAAACCTTCCCGCCAAACTCAAAAATAAGTTGCGCAAATCTCGGTTGATGCTCCACCTTCGCGGGTTCACGGCCAAAAGACCGTGCAACGGGAGCAAGATTGGGGAGGAACATGGCTCAACCGGACAGGCCGTGGACGGCATTTTACGGACCTGGCGTCCGCACCGACATCGAGGCCGCATCCTATCGCAACCTGCCGGATCTGATCCGCTCGGTCGCCGAGACCTATGGCAACGCCAAGGCGTTTACCTGCTGCCTGCCCAACGGCATGAACGGCACGCTCACCTACGCGCAGGTCGACGAGATGTCCGACGCGCTGGCCGTCTATCTGCGCGAGGTGGCCGGGCTTGAGGCCGGCGACCGCGTTGCCGTGCAGATGCCCAACTGCCTCAGCTTTCCGGTCGCCGTTTTCGGCATTTTGAAGGCCGGCTGCGTTCTGGTGAACGTCAACCCGCTCTATACGGCCGAGGAGATGGAGCGGCAGTTCACCGACGCCGAGCCCCACGCGCTGATCATCGTCGACATGTTCGCCGACAAGATCCCCGCCGCCACCCGCGGCCACCCGATCCCCAACGTGATCGTCACCCGCATCGCCGAATTCTTCCCGGTCATGCCGCGCGGCATTGTCGGTCTGGTGCAGAAATATTGGGACCAGTCCGTCAAGCCGGTCGAGGTGGCCCATCTGCGCCTGCCCGACGCGCTCGACGCCGGCCGCAGCCACATCGCCAGGGACCATGTCGAGGTCGATGCCTACCATCAGGCGGTCACCCACGACGACATCGCCGTGCTGCAATATACCGGCGGCACGACAGGCGTCGCCAAGGGCGCCATGCTCACCCACGGCAATCTGATCCTCAACATGGAACAGGCCATGGAGCTTCTGGGCGGCGATCTGAAAAAGGGCGAGGAAGTGGTGCTGACGGCGCTGCCGCTCTATCACATCTTCGCCTTCACGGTGAATTTGCTGGCGTTCTACTGGCTTGGCGGGCGCAACATCCTGATCCCCAATCCGCGACCCCTGTCCAATCTCAAGCGCGCCTTCGAGAACTACAAGGTCACCTGGATGAGCGGCGTCAACACGCTCTTCAACGGGCTCACCAACGAAATCTGGTTCCTCGACACGCCGCCAAAGCATCTGAAGTTCGCCGGCGCCGGCGGCATGGCGCTGCAATCCTCGGTCGCCGCCCGCTGGCGCGAGATCACCGGCACCGAGGTTCTGCAGGGCTACGGGCTGACCGAGACCTCGCCGGTGCTGACGTTCGAACCCTTGGGCAAGGCGCGCGAGGGCACGATCGGCATTCCCGTGCCATCGACCGATATCGCCTGCTTCGACGACAACGGCAAGCGCCTGCCGATCGGCGAAACCGGCGAGATCGGCGCGCGCGGACCGCAAATCATGAAGGGCTACTGGAAAAAGCCCGACGAGACCGAAAAGGTCATGGCTGGCGACTGGTTCCTGACCGGCGATATCGGCGTGATCGATGAGGACGGCTATGTCCGCATCGTCGACCGCAAGAAGGACATGGTCGTCGTGTCGGGCTTCAACGTCTATCCCAACGAGATCGAGGACGTGCTTGCCGGCCATCCGGCCGTGCTGGAAGCGGCGGTGATCGGCGTGCCCGACGATGCGGCGGGCGAAGCGGTCAAGGCGTTCATCGTCCGCGCCGATCCGGGCCTCGACACCGACGCCGTGCGCGCCTTCTGCAAGGAACATTTGACCGCCTACAAGGTGCCCAAGCTGGTCGAGTTCCGCGACGAACTGCCGAAATCCAATGTCGGCAAGATCCTTCGAAAAGAACTGCGCGCCGAACAGATGGCGCAACTGGCGGCGGAGTAAGCCCAAATGGTCGATGAGTTCACGCAAACGCTGCTCGGCCTGATGGTCGCCATCATCATGCTCGGCATGGGCGCCTCGCTGACGCCGCGCGATTTCTATCTGGCGCTGCGCCGCCCCTATGGCCTCGCCATCGGCGTCATCAGCCAGTACGGCATCATGCCGCTTCTGGGCTTCATGCTCGCGCTGACGCTGGCCGTGCCCGAAACGATCGCCATCGGCATCCTGATCATGGCCTGCATGCCCGGCGGCACCACCTCCAACATCTTCACCTATTTCTCCAAGGGCAATCTGGCGCTGAGCGTCCTGATGACGGTCACCTCGACCGTCGCGGGCGTCGTGATGATCCCGCTGATCCTTCTTCTCTATGCGGCCGCGCTCGACCTGCAAATCCCGCGCGAGGACATCGTCGCCGTGCTGATCGTTCTGCTGGTTCCGGTCGCCATCGGCATGGGCATCCGCAAGCTGAACGCCAATGCCGGCGCCGTCATCGAGTTTTGCGGCTCGATCCTGGCGGCGTTCTTCATCGTCTTCATCATGGCGACCTGGGTGCCGCAGAACTGGCAGTTCCTGCGCGACACGACGCCATCGACCTATGTGGCGGCGATCGGCCTGGGCCTTGTCGGCATCACGATCGGCTATTTCTTCGCCAAGGCGCTCAGGCTGCATCCGCGCAATGCGCGCACGGTGGCGCTCGAGACCGGCATCCAGAACGGGCCGCTGGCGATCGCCATCGTCATCTTCTCGTTTCCGGCCGAACAGCAGCAGGCGGTCATGGCCGTGCCGGCGCTCTATTCGCTGTTCATCGTGATCGTCTCGACCTTCGTCACGCTGGTCTTCAGAAGGGCCAACACCGCGGCCGAGCAGAAGATGCCGGACAGTTTGCTGTGAGGGAGTGGGGCCGGCCCTTGGCGGCCCACCCCCCCGCTTGCCGCGATGCCGCCCAACCGCTAGCGTTTCAAGATGGTCCCGGCGGCAGGAGGGCGATGTGCGGCACGCGGCGACAATGACGGGATGGGCCTTGGGCCTTTCCCTCTCTGCATCCACGGCGTTTGCGCAGGATCCGCCGCCGCCGGACGATCTTCTGACGCTCGCCAAGGGCGCGGTTCTGGTCTCCGCCTCGGTCGATCCCAACGCCGCGCTGGCGCTGACCGACGGAAATCCGGCGAGCAACTGGAGCACCGGCACGGCGAAGAACCCGCCGCCCTATACGTTCGTCTTCGAACTGGTCGCCCCCGCCACGATAGAAGCGGTCGGCATCCATGGCGCCGGCGAGCGGCCCGGCGGCGTCGCCGGCGGCTCGGCCGGCCCTGTCAGTGTCGAAGCCTCGGCGGAAGGCCCGGGCACCGGGTTCGCGCCCATGGCGACCCTTGAGGCAGTGCCGGAAGGCGCAACCATGGCGGCGAGCACGATCGATACGCCCGTGCGCTGGCTGCGCTTCACCGTCGACGGCCCGATCGGCGCCGACGCCGCCTGGGTCTATTTTGCCGAAGCCATCGCCCATGGCGCGGTCACCCCACCGGACGAAGAGGGCCGCTTCACCGGCATCTTCCAGAGCGGCCGCGCCGATTTCATCGAGCTTCGGCAGGACGGCAGCTCGGTCAGCGGTTGCTATCTGGACAATGGCGGGCGCACCAACGGCACGCTGTCGGGCGCGGTCGACGAAGGCGTCGCGCGGCTCAACTGGACCTCCGACCAGGGCATCACCGGCACCGCGCTCGCCACCATCGACAGCACCGGCGCGCTCGCCGGCGTGCGCTACCGTCAGCGCAGCCGCAGCGCCTGGGGCGGACCGCCCGCCCCGGACGGAACCACGACGCCCTGCAGCGCCACGGAACCCGCCAACCCGATCGTCACCGCGCTTGAGGAAACCGGCGAGGCGCGCATTTACGGCATCCATTTCGACCATGACAGCGACGTGCCCAAACCGTCCGCCGCCGCCGCGCTCGAACAGCTTGCCGAGGCGCTCGAAAGCGCGCCCGAACTCAACGTCGTCATCGAGGGCCACACGGACGCTGACGGCGAGGACAGCTACAATCTCGACCTGTCGGACCGGCGCGCGCGCTCGGTGGTTGCATGGCTCACCGAACGCGGCATCGATGCGGGCCGGCTGACGCCGCAGGGCATCGGCGAGGCTGAGCCCGTCGCCAGCAACGACACCGCCGACGGCAAGGCGCTCAACCGCCGCGTCGACGTGGTGGCGCGGTAGAAAGACGGCGCCTCAGGCCCGGTTGGAGATCCAGCGGCACTGATAGGGCGCAAAACCGATGTCGCCCTTGGAGCGCGCCCGGTCGCCGGCCAGAACGTCGGTGCCGTGCGCGCGCACATGTTCGCCCGACAACAGGTCCGTCCAGTGGTCGCCGCCGATCAGATTGATCGCGCCGACCGGGATCGTCACCTTTTCGGCGCTGACATTGTGGATGGCGAAGATCGACTGGTCCCGGTCCAGCGACTGCCGCCAGAAGCCGAACAGTTTCGGCCCGAACTGCATGGTGAACTGCGTCGCATTGGGGTGGAAGGCCGGCTGCGCGCAGCGGATGCGGATGCGCGCCGAAAGCCGTTCGAGAATGCGCGCATGGACGTTGTCGCCCTCGCGCCGGTCGAGCAGCGCCCGCAATTGCGGATAGTCCCAGCGCTTGCGGTTCAGCGCCCGGTTCTGGCCGGTCTTTTCGAACCCGGCCTGATCGTTGTGCGTGGCGATCAGCGAATGGATGTAGAAGGCCGGCATGCCCTCGAGCGCCATCTGGATGGTCTGGCTGCACAGGAAGCGCTCTTCCTGCCACTGGTCGGGGCCGGCGAACGTGCCGGCCATCGCGTCGAAGAAGGTGATGTTGAGTTCATAGGGCCGGCGCGTGCCGTCCGGCATCGCCCGCATCGACACCTTGCCGCCGAACGCCTCGACGGTCTCGGTCATCCGTTCGAGGTCCGGCTCGGTGATCAGCCCCTCGCCGCCGCGCACGCCGATCCCGTCATGGGAGGCGGTGAAGTTGAGGTATGCGCAGCCCAGCGGCGCCGGCGGCATCGCCATCTGCCAGCGGTTCAAGAGCTCGGACGAGCCGCACCACATTGCGTGCAGCACAAGCGGCGGCAGAGGGAAATTATAGACCGCGTGTGCCTCGTTGCGGTTGCCGAAATAGGAAAGGTTCTCCGTGTTCGGCACGTTCGTCTCGGTCAGGAGCACGATGGGCTCGGCGGCATAATCGGCCAGAACCCGCATCAGCCGCACGATCGCATGGGTCTGCGGCATGTGGATCGACGGCGTGCCCACCTGCTTCCAGATGAAGGCGACCGCATCGAGCCGGATGATCCGCACGCCATTGTCGACATGCAGCCGCATGATCCGGATGAATTCGAGCAGCACCTCTGGATTGGCGAAATCGAGATCCACCTGGTCGTGCGAGAAGGTGCACCAGACGTGGCGCGTGCCCTTGGCGGTCTCCACCTCGCGCAACAGATCGTGGGCGCGCGGCCGCACCACCTGGCTCAGATCGTCCTCGGGCGAGGCTTCCACGAAAAAGCCGTCATAGGGCTCGTGCCCCTGCAGATATTCGTTGAACCATGCGCTCTGGCTGGAGACATGGTTGAGCACGAGATCCGACATCAGCGAGAAATCGGCGGCGATGCGGCGGATGTCGTCCCAGTCGCCGAGCGCCGAATTGACCGCGCGGTAGTCGGTCACCGCGAACCCGTCATCGGAGGTGAACGGAAAGAACGGCAAGATATGCACGCCATTGACCGTGCCGCTCATGTAACGGTGCATGAAGTCGTTCAGAAGGTCGAGCGGCTTGTGCGTGCCGTCGACGAAGCTGTTGCCGTAGGCGATGACGATCGCGTCCTCTTCCGACCACAGCGTGTTGCCCGGCTGGCGGCCGCGCTGGCGCGATTTGAGATTGTCCGGCCAGAACGCGTCGCACATGGACTGCACCAGCGCATCGGCGTCCTCGTCGGGATAGACGAAGGCGACAAGGCTTCTCAGCTTGGCGCGCAACTGCGCGTTCTTGCCGCGCGTCGGTCCGCGCCGCGGCACCCGCGCCAGCGGAAGCCGCTGCCATGCGTCCCGGTCGATCTCCGTCCTGTCCATCCGGTCCCGTTGCCCACTGTTTCGGCCGTCCATTCGCGACACCCTACAGATCGCTGCATACCGTTCAATTAACAAGTCCGGCACGGACGGCCGGTCATTGTTGCGGTGCGAACACCTCGGTCGGCCCGTCAATGCCGCGCAGATTTACCGTTGCGACCCGCCGCATGGCCCCGCTCGCCGCCGCCGCGCAGGCCGGCCCGGCCAGCACCGGTTCGCCAAGCTGCTTGCACTGCTGTTCGAGCCTCGACACCATGTTCACCGCCGGCCCTATGGCGGTGAAATCGACGCGGTCGGCGGTGCCCATATTGCCGACCGAGCAGGTGCCGGTCTCGACCGCGGCGACCACCGACAGCGCCGGCAGGCCCTTTGTGGTGAGTGATGCGTTCTCGCGTTCGACCCGCGCGACGATGGCCTGCGCCGCCTCAATCGCCAGATCGGCATGGCCGGGCTGTTCGACCGGCGCGTTCCAGAAGGCGAGCACCGCGTCGCCGAGATATTTGTCGATCGTTCCGTTGCGCGCGAAGATCTCCGCATTGGCGATGGCGAGGAAATGGTTGAGCGCGGCGACCGTCTTGTCCGCCGGCCAGCTCCCGGTGAGCGCGGTGAAGCCGCGAATGTCGACCATCATCACCGTGATCGGCCGGTCCTCGACGGCCAGCGCGGCGCGCGCATCGGTTTCCGCCAGCCGCCGCACGATCTCCGGCGACAGGAACTGCGCGAACTGGGTCTGCAGCGTCCGGCGGCGGCGCTCGGCCTGCCGGTAGAGCCCGTATCCGCCGGCCAGCGCGACGAAAAAAAGCCCCGCCGAGGGCTGCGTCCAGTCGATCAGCAGGCCGTTGGTATAGGCGGCGAACCCGAGCGCCGGCGGCAGCGCGATCATGGCCAGCGCGGTCGATGCGGCGAGCGCGGGCCGGCGCGCGAGAAATGCCAGCGCCAACAGGATGACAAGGCCGCCGATCGCCAGGAGTGCGAACTCGGCCAGCCGCGCGCCGGGCATTTCGAGCAGGAACCGGCCCGCCAGCATCTGGCTGACCGCGATGGCGTGAAGGTCGGCACCGAGCCGCAATTCGCCCCGCGCGGTCAGATGGTAGCGGTCGAGCCCGGCCGCATCGACCGCCAGCACGACGATCCGGCCTTCCAATGCCGCGTCGGTGCCATTGGCGAGAAGGTCGGCGACGGACACGCGCATCGGCGAAGCCGGCACGTCGATCAGCCGCAACCGCCCGTCGCCGAGCGGCACGATGGCGCCGCCGACCCGCAACGCATCATCGCCCGCGCCGCCCATGCGCACCGCGAGGCCCGCTTCGCCCTGCGCGACGCGCAGCATCTCCACCGAAAAGGCCGGCCAATGGCGCAGCGGCGCCCCCGGCCCCTGTTCGGCCCAGACGAGCGGGATAGCCCGCATCCGCCCGTCCGCATCGGCAAAGGAGCGTATGACGCCGAGGCCGCTTGCGGCGTCCGCGAGCGGCGCGATCGGTGCAACGCCGCCGCCATAGCCCCGATCGAACGCGTCCGCGCCCGCGCCGATGAACGAAAAGCCCGCCTTGGGTTCGGCGCGCACCGGCGGCGCATCGGCGGCGAGCGTCATCGCCAGGACGGATGGTGTCCGCGTCAGGGCTTGGGCGAACGCCGCATCGCTGGCAGCGCCATCGGCAGAAGCGTCCGGCTCGGGGAACAAGAGATCGAGCCCGATCGCCGCCGCACCGCTTTCGGCAATGGTCTCGACCAACATGCCGATCCGCGCGCGCGGCCACGGCCAGCGCCCCTCGGCGGCAAGGCTCGCCTCGTCGATGGCGACGATCGCCACCCGGTCGAGCGGCACGTCGCCCGGCCACAGTGTCTGGTAGAGATCGAACCCGCGCTCGCGCAGCGCACCGAACGGCGCCATGGCGGCGAGGACGACCGCCAGGGCGAGCGCGGCGACCGCAACGGGATGGCTCAGCCGGACTGACCCCATCTCCGCTCAGGGACCGCAGGTCGCCGTCTGGGTATCCCAGAACCCGCCCGCCGCGATGCAGTCGGCAACCGGATCGGCGGTCGTTTGCCCCGGCGGCGGGGGCGGCGGCGGAGGAGGTGGCGGGGGCGGCGGATCGGGCTGGTCCGGCTCCGGCGGAGGTGGCGGGGGCTCGGGCGGCGGGGGCGGAGACCCGCCCGGCGCGCCGCCGGCCGGCGATGCGCCGAAACCCGATTGCGGGCCGGGAAGTCGGCCGTCCCGCGTCGCGCAGGCCGGCGAACCCATGCCCGCCTCAGAGGCGCAATGGTTCGACACCGTCCGCGACCCGCTACCGCCCTGCCCGCCCGCCGGATCGACGAACTGGCTGTCGCCGCCGCCAAGCCGGACGGTCTGCACGCCCGATCCGTCCGACACGCACGAAAAGCCCGGATTGGTCACCGTACGCCGCTCGCCGCCCGCTTCGCACGTCATCGTGCCAGCGAGCAGCGTCCCCGACGAGCCGCCGGGCCCGACGGTCACGTCGGCGATGCCGCCGCGCAGACCGAGCACGATATGCGGCGTGCGCACCTCGGACCGGCCGCGCTTGGATATCTGGCCGCCGAAGATGCGCGCCGTGCCGCCGCGCTGCAACAGGCGCACCGTGCCGTTCCGGCGCTGCGGATCGTAGACGAAACTGTCGATCGTCAGGTCGGCATTTGGGCCGAGCCGGGCGCTCGATTCGTCCTGGAAGACGATGATCCCCTCACCCGACGCATTGCTGCGCAGCCGGTCGCCCAGCGCGATCGGATCGCCCGCCCGCACCCGTCCGCCATCGCGGGTCACCGCCGCGCGTTCGGCGGTCATCGTGCCGACCGTCTGCGCCGCCGCGGGCATCGCCGCGCACGCTGCCAGGGCGGCGAGGCCGGCGGCAATCGTGCGCGAATGTGGTCTCATGGCGGGCATCCTAGTCGAACCGGTACGTGTAGCGCAGCCGGCCGGTCCATGCGTCTGTCCGGGAACTGGTGCCGCCCGGCCCGATGCGTTCGTGATGATAGCCTACCCCGAAACGCAGGCGCCCCTGTGCGCTCAATTGCACAGTGTGATCCCAATCGACGCGCCAGACCTGCCGGCCCTTGACCAGCGCGCCGCGCCCGGCGCCGACCGCGCCATAATCGAGGATCGTGTCGTCGGCATAGCTGGCCGCAAGCGTCTGGAACCAGGCGCGACCGTCCTCGAACACATGCAGAAGATGGGTCAGCGCCGCCCCGCCCTCGGTTCCGTCCGTCCGGTAGCCGAATGCGGTGCCGCCGAGCACCGCCGCCGGCACCGTGCCGCGCCGCTGGTAGTGCCGCACGAACCCGTCCGCCGTCCAGCCCGGCGCGATGCGATAGCGCGCGCCGACCCCCACCGACCATTGGTCGTCGGCGAACAGCGCGCGCGATTCGCCCAGCCAGCCATAGGACGCATCCAGATAGATCTGCGTCTCGACGCTCGGCCGGAAGCCGATGCGCGTGCGCACGCCCAGTTCGCGCTTGTCGCGGCCACCGCCCAGAGCCTCATAGTCGCCGAACAGCGTCAGATCGGCGCGCAGCGTGTCGATGGCGTCCGGCAGACCCTTGGACAGGGTCAGCGCGCCATGGCCGGCAAGCGCGGTGAAGCCGTCGCCCGTGCCGTTGAAATCGGTGTCGAGAAACGGCCGGTCGACCGATATTCCCGCATCCAGCAGGACGAGGTCGCGGGTCGCCGTGTCCGGATCGAAGACGACCCGCCCGTCGATCATCGCATAGCCGCCGACATTGGTCTGGCTCGTGCCGGCCGCAAAGCCGGTCGGGAAGGCCGCGCGCCGATGCACGATCTGCCCGCCGGCGGTCACGTCCAGATGGGCGCGCACCGGCTGGCGGGCCCGTTCGATGCGTGCCTTGAGCTGTCGGAGCGAGACCTCCAGCGACGGCACGCCCAGCGCCAGCGCCTCGTTGACATGGCCCATCGCCAGATCGAACGAGCCGACATGGAAATAAAGGCGCGCCAGCGTCAGCCGCGCGCCGGCATCGCCCGGGTCCTGGAATATGACCTGTTCGAGCGTCGAGATCGCCTGGTCGTACTGGCCGGTGCGGACGGCTTGGCCGACGAAGGCGCCCAGCGTTGCCGGGTCGGCATAGTCGGTCAGGCGGGCCTTAAAGGCGCGGTCGTAGAGGCTGTCGGCCCGCGCCGGCGCGAAACCGGCCAGCACGATGAACACGGCAAACGCCGCCAGTGCACGCGCTGTCATCGCTGTACCGACCATCTTCAATGCGCCCGTCTGTGCCAACGTATTAGCCCGTCCGACCTTAGACCGGCCCGGCGCGGTCATGCCAGTGCAGGCCGGCAACACTGGCCGCATTCGGCCCGCGTAACAGGTGTCGTGTAACCGGTTGTAACCTGCTGATACCTGACCATGCGGCCCGCCAGCCAGTAACAGGAAGACGCGCGGCGGGGGATCACCATGATCGATGGGGCGCTGATCCTCTCAGCCAGCCGCGCCAATCACAACATAAAAAAGACCGAACGGCAGCGTGCTCGCCGCACGCTGCCGTTCCTCGTTCCAAAGCGCTGTGAATGCGTCCTGCCCGATCAGGTGCAGGCCGCGCAAAAACGCTGGATGCGCTCGCAGGCTTCCGTCAGCGCCTCGGTCGAGGTCGCATAGGAGATGCGGAAGTTCGGCCCCAGCCCGAACGCCGAACCGTGCACCACCGCCACGCCCTCGGCCTCCAGAAGCGCGGTAACGAAGTCCTCGTCGGTTTCCATCTTTGTGCCGTTCGGCGCGGTCTTGCCCATCAGCCCGGCGCAGGACGGATAGACATAGAACGCGCCCTCGGGCATCGGGCATTGGATGCCGTTCGCCTGGTTGAGCATCGAGACGACCAGATCGCGCCGCTCCTCGAACACCGCGCGCCGTTCGGCGATGAAGTCCTGCGGCCCGTTCAGCGCCTCGACCGCCGCCCATTGCGCGATCGAGCATGTGCCGGACGTCTGCTGGCCCTGCACCTTGGTCATCGCCTTGATCAGCTCGACCGGGCCGCCGGCATAGCCGATCCGCCAGCCGGTCATCGCATAGGCTTTCGACACGCCGTTCATCGTCAGCGTGCGCTCGTAGAGCGCGGGCTCCACCTGCGCCGGCGTCGTGAAGGTGAAGTCGCCGTAGCAAAGATGCTCATACATGTCGTCGGTGAGCACCCAGACATGCGGATGCCTCATCAGCACATCGGTCAGCGCCGTGAGTTCGTCGCGCGTATAGGCGGCGCCCGACGGGTTGGACGGCGAGTTGAAGATCAGCCATTTGGTCTTCGGCGTGATCGCCGCTTCCAGCGCCGCGGCGGTCAGCTTGAAGCCGTCCTCGAGCGTGGTTTCGACGAACACGGGCTCGCCGCCATTGAGCAGCACCATGTCGGGATAGCTGACCCAGTAGGGTGCCGGGATCAGCACCTCGTCGCCGGGATTCAGTGTCGCCGCGAACGCGTTGTAGAGCACCTGCTTGCCGCCGGTCGCAACGATGATCTGGTCGGGCGTGTAGTCCAGCCCGTTCTCGCGCTTGAACTTGCCGCAGATCGCCTCGCGCAGTTCGATGATGCCGGGCACCGCGGTGTATTTGGTCTCGCCGCGATTGATCGCCTCGACCGCCGCCGCCTTGATGTTGTCGGGCGTGTCGAAGTCGGGTTCGCCCGCGCCCAGGCCGATCACGTCGCGGCCGGCCGCCTTCAACTCGCGCGCCTTGCTGGAAACCGCGATCGTCGCCGAAGGCTTCACGCGCGCAAGCGTATCGGAAAGAAAGGCCATGTCATTACTCCGTTGGGCAGCCCGGCGCGAGGCGGCGCGGGCGGCGCACTTATTGCGCCATCGACGCGCATGCGCAAGCCGGTCGCGGCGACGATCGCGTTAACCATATCGGCCGATCGCGCAATACTCCGTTAACCACGTCCGTTAATAATGCTTACCTTGACATGATGGCGCCCCGGAGACGGCACTGATGACGACGAAACAGAACGACGGCACCGCCGGGGCACGCCGCACGGTTCGCAATGAAGACGGCACGCTCAACGCGGTCGACGGCATGGTGCTCGTCCGCTCGGCGTTCCAGCCCGTCTTCCGCTGCCACGGCGATCGCATCGTACCGGTCGCCTTCGAGGCGCTGGCCCGTCCGTTTCGCGGTGACACGCCGCTTCTGCCCGACAGCTATTTCAGCCAGATCGCGCCCGCCGACCTGCGCAGCGTCGAGGCGCTGGTCCGCCACGTCCACGTCCAGAACGCCAGGTTCCTGCCGCACGGCGCAAGGCGCCTGTTCCTGAACTTCCATCCCGCCGCGATCGACGCGCCGGCCACCTTCGAGCCCGCGCTCGCGGCCCTCGGCGAGGATCTGCGTCAGGCGGACATCTCGCCACGCGATCTGGTCTGTGAGTTCACCGAGCATGAAGCGACCGCGCCCGACGCGTTGCGCCATTTCGTTTATGCGCTGCGGGCCCGCGGCTTTCTGATCGCGGTCGACGATTTCGGCGCCGCCTTTTCCGATCCCGACCGCATCGCCCGGCTGACGCCCGACATCGTCAAGCTGGACGGCGCGCTCGCCCGCCGCCATCTGGACTCAGAGGACGGCTTCAATGAACTGTCGCGCATTGTCGATACGTTCCGCCGCCAGGGCATTCGCTGCGTCATCGAGGGCCTGGAGACGATGCGCCAGGTGGAGCTGGCCCGGCGCACCGGCGCGCATTTCCTGCAAGGGTTCGCACTGGCCCCGCCGCAGGCCGCGCCCGGCGACTTCACCGCGCTGATCGCCGCCAGCCGCGACGAACCGTACACCGGACGCATCGCCGCCTGGAACTGAGCGCGCCGGTTCAACGCGGTTGAACGCCGCTTCACCAAAACTGCTTTGACAGGGTCGCCGCCCGCGACTACGCAACGCGCATGCTGACTCTCTGGTCGATGCCCTCCTCCGGCAACTCCTACAAGGTGCGCCTGCTTCTGGCGCATCTGGGCCTGCCGTTCCGCCATGTGCCGGCCGAACAGGGCTCGGGCGTGACCACGAGCGCCGAATTCCGTGCGATCAACCCGGCCGGCAAGGTGCCGCTGCTGGTTCTGGAAGACGGCCGGACGATCCGCGAATCAAACGCCATCCTGCTTTATCTCGGCGACGGCACGCGCTTCGTGCCGGACCGACGCTATCCCCGGGCGCTCGTCCATCAATGGATGTTCTTCGAGCAATACAGCCACGAGCCGGCGATTGCCGTGCGCGCCGGCATCCTGACCTATGACGACCGCGCTCATCTGCGCTCGCCGGAAATCCTCGATCCGCTGCTGGACAAGGGCCATGCCGCCCTCGAACTCATGGAGCGGCAACTGGAAGCCACGCCATTTCTTGCCGGCGACGCCCTGTCGGTCGCCGATATCTGCCTTTACGCCTACACCCATTCGGCCGGCGACAAGGGCGGGTTCGAGATGGAGCGTTTCCCGGCGGTCAACCGCTGGATCGAGCGGGTTGCGGCCGAACCGGGCCATGTGCCCCTGGAGTGGCTGCCGGACGCGGTCTGAGCGCAAAAACAGGCGTGTTGCCACGAAATCGCCGCACTTTTTCCCCGTGCGCGGCCCAATCCGATCCACATCGTGCCCCAAAGCGCAACTATCCGTGACCATAGCAGTTTCGGACAACGCCCCGCCGGGAGCACGGACCATGTTCATGGACTACACCGCACGGCGCGCCCAATGGCGCCAATCGAGCGCCAAGGCGTTCGCCGCGATCGCCGGCGCCTTTGCGTTCGCGACCGTGATCGCCCTGTTCGGCCTGTCGTCGGCGGCACACGCCGCCACCTACACCTCGTCGCTCGACGCAGCGGCGCTGGCGACCATGCTGGCCGCGCCGCAACTGACCCTGCCCGCCCCGCTCTTCGGCCGCGAGGCCTTGCTGGCCCTGATGAGCCTCGGCCTGGTCGGCATGAGCGCTGGCGCGTTCGCCTTCTGGCGCGGGCTCTCCGCCGATTGGCAGAACGCGCCGGTCCGCCGCACCCGCTGACGCAAGGCTGCCACGCACCCTTTTTCCGGGCTGCCGCCCTTGGTCGGGCCGGCATGCGGCCTACATGATCGGCAGAGCCTCAACGCCCGGAGAAATCATGCGCCCGAACCTCTTGTCCGCCGCCCTCCTCGCCGCCGCGACCGCGCTGACGGCCACTGCCGCCGCCGCGCAGGAACGCACCGCCACCACCGCCGACGGCATATCGCTTCGCACCGAAACCCTCGCAACCGGGCTTTCGAGCCCATGGGCTGTCGAGATCATGCCCGACGGCGCGCTTCTGGTGACCGAGCGCCCCGGCACGATGCGCATCGTCCGCGACGGCACCCTGTCCGCACCCGTCTCCGGCCTGCCCGAGATCGCCGCCGGCGGCCAAGGCGGGCTGCTCGATGTGGCGCTCGCGCCCGATTTCGCCGAAACGCGCGAGGTCTATTTCACCTTCTCCGAGCCCGGCGCCGGCGGCACGGGCACGGCTCTGGCCAAAGGCGTCCTGACCGGCGAGACGACGGGCAACCCGGCGCTCGAGGGCACCGAGACGATCTTTTCGATGAACGTCAAATCCTCGGGCGGACGCCATTTCGGCTCGCGCACCGGCTTCTGGCCCGACGGCACGGTCTATGTGACGACCGGCGACCGCGGCGAACGGCCCCGCGCCCAGGTGATGGGCGATCATGCCGGCGCGGTGATCCGCATCAATCGCGACGGCACCATTCCCGCCGACAATCCGTTCGTCGGCCAGCCGGGCGCTGCGCCCGAACTCTGGTCCAAGGGCCATCGCAACATTCAGGGCGCCGACATCGATCCCGAGACCGGCCTTTTGTGGACGGTCGAACACGGCGCGCGCGGCGGCGATGAGATCAACCGGCCCGAAGCCGGGCTCAATTATGGCTGGCCGGAAATCTCCTATGGCCGCCACTATTCGGGCATGCGCATCGGCCAGGGCACCGCGGCGCCGGGCTTCGAGCAGCCGCTCCATTATTGGGACCCGTCGATCGCACCGTCGGGCCTCGCCGTCTATCGGGGCGAAATGTTTCCCGAATGGGAGGGCGACCTTCTGGTCGGCGCATTGCGGGCCCAGCTTCTGTCGCGGCTCGACCGCGACGAAAGCGGCGCGATCATCGGCGAGGAGCAGCTGTTCGAGGGTGATCTTGGGCGCATCCGCGACGTCGAGATCGCACCGGACGGCTCGCTGCTGGTGGCCATTGACGCCGATCCCGGCCGGATCGTAAGGATCGTGCGCGATCCCGCATCCTAATCACTCCCGATCCCGGACAATTTGCCATGAACTGGTTCGTCGGCCTGTTGCTGCTGATCGTCGCGCTCGCCATCGTGGCGACCGGCGCATTCCTCCTGATCGGTCGCGAGCAGACCTGGCAGATGGTCGCCGGCGATCCCGATCTGGGCCCGTTCGACCTGGCCGCGCCGCAGCGCGCCGGCCGGCCGAACGACGCGCTCCTGTGCTCGCCCGGCCTGTGCGACGGCGTCAAGACCGACGGCGAACTGCCGGTCTATGCCATGACGCCCGAGGCGTTGATCGCAGCGCTGGGCACCGCCATCGAGACGCAGCCCGAGCGCAAAGAGCGCGTCGATGACGGCGCCGACCCGCGCGCGCTGCGCTATGTCACCTGGACCGACACGATGCGCTTTCCCGACACCAACCAGTTCCTGGCCGTCGATCTCGGCGACGGCACCAGCGGCCTTGTCGCCTATGCCCGCGCGCAGGTCGGCTATTCCGATGCCGGCAACAACCGCGCACGCCTCACCCGCTGGACCGGCGCGATCGAGTGAGCGCTTTTTCCTGTCCCCAAAAGCGGGGAGAGGGTTGACCTCCTACCCCGTCCACGCTTTGCGGCCGTCGGCCAGGGCCTCGGTCTCCGCATCGATCAGCGCCCGGATTTCGGCGAGCAGCGGATGGGCATCCGTCCGCGCCTTGCCGTAGGCGAGATTGAACCGGTAGTCGAAATCGGGCGCGTTGGCGCCTTGCGTGTGCTGCAGGATCGTCTCGAGCTTGTCGAACCCCTTGGCGAGCACCGCCTCGGGCGTCGCGGCGGCGGCATATTCGTCGTAGAGCGCGCGGAACTCGTCGCGCAGCGCGGCCGGCAGCACGGCCGTCAGCTTGTGGAAATCGGCCCGCTCGCGCGCATCGCGCCCATCGTCCGCATTCTGGTGGATCGCCGGCACATCGCCCTCATAGATCTCGCCCAGATCGTGAATGATGGCCAGCTTGAGCAGTTTGAGCCGGTCGATCTCCGCCGGCAGCAGATCGGCGAAGGAAAGGATCGTCACGCACAGCCGCCAGGAATGCTCGGCAACGCTCTCGGCGCGCCCCGATGCCGTGATGCCCGAGCGCAGCGTGTCCTTGATCCGCTCCACCTCGCGCACGAACGCCAGCCGCGCGCCGATGTCGCCTGTCACGACTTGTCGCCGGCCGCCGGCCAGACCCGCTCCCAGCTTTCCAGCGTCTCGTCGAAGACGCCGTCGCACTCGTCCTTGACGCGCATTTCGGCGAGCACGAAGCCATAGCCAAAGCCCACCTCGCCAATGCTCCAATCGGTGACGGTGCCGCAATCGCCAATGCCGCGTCCCTTGAAGAAGGATGTGACCTGCCGCGCCTCGGCATCCCAGACCGCGTTCCAGGCGACCATCACCGCGCCGGGGCCGTCATCGGTCATCACCGGCAGCGGCAGCCGGTAATAGGTGCCGTCGATCTCGGTCCAGAAGGCGAACGGCGCATTGTAGGCCCCGCCCGAGCCGCAGCGCAGGCCGACAAGCCGCACCTCGTCGTCGATATCGGCGGAAAAGCCGCCCAGCGGATCGGGCACCGTGCCGTCGAAATCCGCGCATGGCGCGCCATCACCCTCATAATAGCGGCGCAACCCGGCGGGCACGGCATCCATCGCCGCCATCTGGCCTTCGTCGGCCGGCGCCGGCACCGCGCCGATCGCAGCCAGCGCGTCCTCGCGGCCGACCCGGCCCTGCACCTCGTCCATGAAGATCGCCCCGGCGACGACGCCCGAAAGCGAATAGGGCGCGGTCGACTGGCCCGAGCGGGTGCGGAACGTCACCTGAAGCCGCTCGCCGGCCTTGGTGGCCCCGAACAGCGCGCGCACCTCGTCCTGGTTGGCATAGGAATATTCGGAGATCGCGGCGCGATAGGAAAAGGCGCCTGAAGGCACCGTCAGCACCTCGGCGCCGTCGATCGAAAAGCGCACGTCCGATCCGGCGGCCAGCGGCTCGCGCATCGTCATGTAAAGCGCGACCGGCGCATCGAATGCCGCGGCCCGGCGGAAGCCGACGGTGAACAGCGTGACGCGCGCATTGGTGATGAACAGGTCGCAACGCAGTGCATCGTTGCACGATACGTTGACGTCGCGGATGCGCTTGAACTGGCTGGCGTCCGCCGGCAGCGGCATGGCGGTTGCCAGAAGGCCGGCCAGGGCCATGCAAAGGCAGGCAAGAGCGCCGAACGGCGATCGGGTGGGCTGCTGGCGCAAAGGTGAACTCCCGTTCGATTGTCATCGACCTAACATAGGCTGTCCGCAGGCCATGATAAGAGCCGCCGACCGCGCAATCCCGTGATCGGCGGAAATGTGCCGCGCGCCCGGGGCGTTGGCAAGCTTGTCACGGTGACATGTTTGCCGCTTGCCCGGCCGGCGCCGCCGTGGCACGGGCGCACCATGCAGCGCGCGACCGCCAACGCCCTTTTGCTCGTCACCGGTGCCGTTTGGGGCATGGGCTTCGTCGCCCAGTCGACGGCGATGGACGCGATCGGGCCGGTCTTCTTCACCGGCGTGCGCTTTTTCGCCGCGGCGCTGGCTGTCGCGCCTCTGGCCTTGTGGGAGGCACGGCGTGCCAAAGCCGCAGGCGCGCCGCCGCTGACGCCCCGGCAATGGCGCAGCTTTGCCATCCTCGGCTGTCTTCTGTTCGCCTCGCTCGCCGCCCAGCAGATCGGCCTTCTGACGACGACGGTCACCAATTCGGGGTTTCTGACCGGCACCTATGTGGTCTTGGTGCCGGTGCTGGCCGTGCTGGCGCTGCGCGAGTTTCCCCATCCGGTGGTCTGGCCCGCCGCCGCGCTGACGCTCGGCGGCATCTGGCTCCTGTCGGGCGGCGCGCTGTCCGGGCTCACCCAGGGCGATCTGTGGACGCTTTTGTGCGCGGTCCTGTGGGCCTGCCACGTCATCGCTCTCGGCCGCTTCGTCAAGGGCGCGCCGCGCCCCTTCACGCTGGCCTTCACGCAATTTGCGGTCTGCGGCGTGATCGGCTGCACCATCGCACCGTTCATCGAGCCCGTATCGCTGGACCTGATCGTTGCCGCCGCGCCCGAGATCGCCTTTGCCGGCATCGTCTCGGGCGGTATCGCCTTCACCATCCAGGCCGTCGCCCAGCGCCACACCACCGCGCCCCAGGCGGCGATCTTCATGTCGACAGAAGCGCCCTTTGCGGCACTGTTCGGCGCGCTGTTCCTTGCCGAACGCATTCCGGCGATCGGCATTGTCGGCTGCGCGCTGATCTTCACGGCGATTCTCGCCGTCGAACTGGTGCCGATGCTCCGCCCGGCCCGCCGCTCGACCGTTCACGAACCCTGACAGCGATCAAATTCGCATCCCCGGCAAACGCGCGTTACCGCGCCCGCCACGGCGCGCCGCAAGGCCTGCCCCATTCGGTGCCCGCAGCGCGTTCGAAAAAGACTGGCCGAACCGCCACTTGGATTGCGCCCGAACGCGATTGTGGCATGCGCCGGCCAATCATGGCCGAATTATGTCGTTGTTTTTGCTGACTTTTGGCAACCGAACGTGAATTGCGCCGCCGCCGTCGGCTCGCCAGTTTCAGCCCGTCACCAGCGCCGGCACGCCGCGCAAAAGGCACCTTCCCCGCCGGCGCCGGTGGCACCATTGGGAGACAGAAAGGGATACGATCCATGACCAACAAACTGACCGCAGCACTGGCAGGCGGCGCCCTGCTCGCCTCTACCATCTTCGCCATCGCCGGCGAGGGACAGGGCGTGATCGCCTCGATCGATCCGGAAACCCGGATGATCGTCCTGGAGGACGGTTCGAGCTGGCTCGCCGCCGACGAGGTCGAACTGGCGGGCCTTGCGCCCGGCGACACGATCAGCGTCGTCTACACCGACGGCACGACCACGCTGACCGAGGTCACCAGGGTCGAGTAAGGCCGGACGGGCCAAGGGACGGCTCCGGACGGGCGGCAAAAAGCCCGTCCGGAGCCGCGGCGACCGCGCCGGCGCGATGGGCTTGGCGCCACGCCGCGCCATCGCCGGAGAGCTGGCAGAACCGGTCCGCCACAATCGCCGGGCGGGATTCGGGGACGGCAAATTTCAATGAATGATTTCAGAGACTTGCGTCGTCGCATACGGCGTCGAATCCGCTTGCTCCGCCACAATTGCCCGCATACTGATTCATGGCCCGGCAGCGCTGACGGTTTGCGCCGCAGCCTCCTGAGACCGGGTGCACCAATGGAAGTCATGAACATGAAGAAACTCTTCATTGCCCTTGCGGCCGGTCTGGCCGTGACTGCCGGCGCCTTCGCCGCTCAGATGGAAGCCGTGATCCAGAGCGTCGATGCCGACAGCCGGCTCGTTGTCCTGGAGGACGATTCGGAACTGACCGTGGCCGAAGGCGTCGATCTGAGCGCGCTTGAAGAAGGCGCAGCGGTGATGATCACCGTCGATGATGCAACCAACGAGATCACCGAGATCGTCGTCCAGTAAGTCATGAGCGCGCGGCGGAGCATGCCTCCGCCGCGCCGTCCCTGAACGTCCGTCACGGGCGCACCGGTGCATCCTCCATCACCAGATGCAGGTCCGGCCCCTCATAGGGGTGCGCGCGGGCCACATCCTCGTTCAGGGCCACGCCGAGGCCCGGCTCGGTCGGCACCAGCGTATCGCCATCGTCGAACACCAGGGGCCGGTCCAGAAGATCGGCGTGAAAGCCGGTCCAGTCCCTGATCGCTTCGAGAATGAGGAAATTCGGCAGCGTCGCGGCAAGCTGGATGTTGGCCGCCGCCGCGATCGGCCCGCAATAGCAATGCGGCGCGACCAGCGCGTGATGTGTTTCGGCGATCGCCGCGATCTTCTTGGTCTCCAGAATGCCGCCGGACCGTCCGAGATCGGGCTGGACGATCTGCGCGGCCCCGAGCGCCAGCAGCCGCGCGAACTCGTATTTGGTCGTCAGCCGCTCGCCGGTCGCGACGGGGATCGTGGTTTTCGCCGCAAACTGCGCCATCGCCTCGGGCATGTCGGGCGGCACGGGTTCCTCGAACCACAGCGGATCATAAGGTTCGATGGCTTTCGCCATGCGTGCCGCGCCCGAAGGCGTGAACTGGCCGTGCGTGCCGAACAAGATGTCCGCCCGCGTGCCGACCGCTTCGCGCACCGCGGCCACCATCGCCGCCGAGCGCTCTATGTCGGCCAGAAGCGGCTGGTGCGGATCGTGGATCGTATAGGGCCCGGCCGGGTCGAACTTGACCGCGGTGAAGCCGCGCTCGACCCATTGCAGCGCCGCCTCGGCGGCCATGTCGGGATCGTTGTAGACGTTCCGGCCGTCCGTCTCGGCCGGATAGATCGAGCCGGTGGCCGGGTAGAGATAGGTGTAGGAGCGCAGCCGGGTCTGCACCGCGCCGCCGATCAGCCGGTGCACGGGCTGGCCCGCATGCTTGCCTACAATGTCCCAGCAGGCCATCTCCAGCGCCGAGAAACAGCCCATCATCGAAACGTCCGGCCGCTGCGTGAAGCCGGACGAATAGCAGCGCCGGAACAGCGCCTCGATATTGTGCGGATCGCGGCCCAACAGATGCCGTTCGGCGGCGTCGGCGATCATCGCCGCCATGGTCTTGGGGCCGAAGGTCGCGCCATAGGCTTCGCCGTAGCCGACGACGCCGTCCGAATCGGTCAGCTTGACGAAGATGAGGTAGCGCCCGCCCGGCGTGCCCTCCGGCGTACCGACGATGAAGGTCTCGATGTCGGTGATCGTTGGCATGGTCAGAACACGATCACATTGCGCAGGCCCTGGCCAGCCCTGGTCGCCGCGATCGCCTCGTTGATCTGATCGAGCGTGTAGCGGGCGGTAACCAGCCAATCGAGTTGCAGCACCCCGTCGCCATAAAGCCCGGCCAGATGCGGCACGTCGCGGCACACGCAGGCCGAGCCCATTTTCGAGCCGAGGATGCGCTGGCCCCAGCTTGCCACATTGGAGGGGTTGTAGCCGATCGTGACATCGCTGTGGGGCATGCCGACGATCACCACAGTTCCCGCCTTGCCGACATAGCTGGCCGCGCTTTCAAGCGCGGCGGGCGCGCCCGAGGCGACGAACACGAAGTCGGCGCCGCGCCCGCCGGTCGCCGCCAGCACCTTGTCGACGGCATCCTCGTGGATCGGGTCGATGGTGGCCGTCGCGCCAAGCCGTTCTGCGGCATCGAGTTTCTCGCGCGACAGGTCGATGGCGATGATCGAGGCGGCACCGGCGATGCGCGCGCCCTGCACCGCGTTCAGCCCCACCCCGCCGCAGCCGATCACCGCCGCATGGGCGCCCCGGGGCATCTTCGCGGTATTGGTCACCGCGCCGACGCCGGTAATCGCACCGCAGGCAAGAAGGCTCGCCGACTCGAAGGGAATGGCCGGATCGACGCGCGCCAGCTGGCTTTTCTCGACGACGAGCTTTTCGGCGAACGCACCGGTGCGCAGGCCATGGCCGAGCGGTGCGCCCGATGCGTCGGTCAACGGCGAACGCCGGTCGAGATCGAAGACCGTCTCGCACAGATAGTCCCGGCCGGCGCTGCAATAATGGCAGGCGCCGCAGGCGCGGATCAGCGTGACGACCACCGTATCGCCCGGCCTGACATGGCTGACATTGTCGCCCACGGCCTCGACCAGACCCGCCGCCTCATGGCCGAGCACCAGAGGCAGATCGCCGCCCCAGCCCCCGTCGGCATAGGTGATGTCGGAATGGCAGATGGCGCACGCCTTGACGGCGACCAGCACCTCGTCCGGCCCCGGATCGGCGAGCGTGACATCTTCGATGCGCATCGGTTCGCCGAAGGCGCGGCAGACGGCGGCACGGATTGTCTGCGGCATGGCCTGTCCTCCCCCGGCATGGCATCAGGCCGCCATCTAAACGCGCCTCCGGCCGCGGAAAATTCTGCCGATGCGACATGCCGCGTCGGCTTTTTGAAAACCGGTGGCGGCAAGCGTGACAAAGCGGCGGCAATCGGCCAAAAGCCGGCAAGGGAGATTGCGATGAATGACACCGATCCGTCCGCGCCGGCGGGCACGCCGACGCTCAGGACGCTGGCCATGCCGGGCGATGCCAATGCGGCGGGCGACATTTTCGGCGGCTGGGTGATGGCGCAGATGGATCTGGCCGCCGGCATCGCCGCCGCCGAACGCGCGCGCGGGCGCGTGGTCACCGCGGCCGTCAACGAGATGGCGTTCCGCAGCCCGGTGCGGATCGGCGACACGCTGTCGATCCACGCCCGCGTGGAAAGCGTCCGGCGCACCTCCATGGTGCTCTATATCGAGGCTTGGGCGCAGCGCTATCTGAGCGAGGACACCGAGCGCGTCACCTTTGCGCGCTTCACCATGGTCGCGCTCGACGGCAGCGGAAAGCCGACCGCCATCCCGCCCGAGACCTGATAGCGATCAGTCGCAGTGGCGATAGCCGGTGCGGCGCTGGCGCAAATCGAAATGGAAATGATCGGCATGGTCGGCATCGCTGCCCGGCCCGAGCACGGTCGAGAACTCGTCGCACGCGCCAGCCCGCGCCGCATGCAGGAAGCCGCGTGCCCGCATCGCGAAAAGGCTCTGCCGCGACACGTCGATCACATGGCCGTTCTTCAGCGTGAACGAGCCGATATCGAGCGCATTGCCCCTGGAATGCTCGGACCAGCGGCTGGTCCCGCGTATCCGCCGGCACGAATAGGACGACATGTTGTTCACTTCGGCGATGCCGGTCAGATAGCGCTTGCGCGCGGCAGGGCCCACATCCTTTTGCAGCCATTCGGCGGCGGCCAGCGCCGTCTGGCAGTTCAACGTCGCCGCCGGCTTGAGCGCGACCCCGCGCGCCAGCGTCGACACGCGCACCGGATGGTCGATGCCGCAGGCGGCCGAATCGCGGATCGGCGCCAGATCGGTGAATTCGACGCCGCGCCGCCTGAGCGCGGCCCGGCACTGGCGTTCGCTCGCCGACATCACGCCGCCGCGCCCGCCGAGCCCGAGGCCGGGAAAGCCCATCCGCGGCAGCGAGAAGACCGAGCGCGTCGGCGAGGGATCGACGGCGGTCGGCGGCGCTTTCGACCCGCCGCCCATGAAGCCCCAGTCGAGAAAGCTGCACGACGCCAAAGCCAGGCCGCCGGCAACCACGGCCGCCAGCCGCACGCCGGTGCGCCAAGGCGCCGATCCGCCAATCGGTTCGTGTTTGTCGCTCATCGCACCACTCCGTCCTCGGACGTCCGCTCCCGCAGCGAGGCTACGCCGGCAAGGTGAACGGGCCGTTCGGAGAAGTGGTTAAGCGCCGGTAAACGGACGCGACGGCCAACATGACCCAGATTTAACGTGCCCGGCCTTGTGAGCCGTGGTACCGGGTCGTACAAATCGGCGGCACGGGCGAATGCCTCGCGGCACATCCCCGGCCGCCAGGATCGAAGTCAAGACGAGACCGATGGCCGACACCGACACGAAAAAGCCGGCGGACGCCCCGGCAGGTGAAATCATTCTGCCGCTCGAAGTGATCGACCGGGCGCCGGACGCGGACAGGAAACGGCCCCGACGCCGCTTCCGCCCCATTTTCCTTTTGCCGCTCGTCCTGCTGCTGATCCCGACGGGTGGCGTTCTGGGCATGTATTTCCAGCCGACCGGCCTGCAGCGCTTCTTCCAGACCTTCGGCCTGACGCCCGGCGGCGGCACCGAAACGCCGATCGCGATCGCGGTCGAGCGCCCGCCCGAAGGTGACGCGGCAGCGCCCGTGCCGATGGTCGTCGGGCTTGGCCGGCTGGTACCGCAGACCGACATCCGCACGCTGGCGCCGCCATTCGGCGCCGGCGATGCGCGCATTGCCGAACTCAATGTGCGCGAAGGCGACCAGGTGGCGAGCGGCGACGTTCTGGCCGTGCTCGACAATCGCGGCGCGCTCGAACAGGCGGTCGCCACCGCCCGCGCCAATGTCGAGGTGCGCACGGCGACGCTCGCCCAGACCCGGCGCAACACCGAAAGCGCAGCCGCCGAAGCCGAGGCGGGCCTGCAAAAGGCGCAGGCCGCGCTGACCAATGCGCAGGCCGAGTTCGACCGCTACCAGACCCTGTTCGAACGCGGCATCGTCACGCGCGCAGCGCTCGACCAGCGCCGGTCTACACTCGATCAGGCGACACAGGAGGTCGAGCGCGCGGCCGCCACGGTAAGCCGCTACGAGCGCAACGGCACCGACGATCAGGTTGATGTCGCCGTCGCCAAGCGCAATCTGGACGCCGCGCTGGCCGATCTCGAGCGCGCCCGCGCCGATCTCGAAAAGGCGTTCATCCGCGCGCCCGCCGACGGCACGGTCATCGCCATCCATGTGCGCGAGGGCGAAAAGCCGGGCACGTCGGGCGTGCTCGATCTGGGCGACATTTCCGCCATGACGGCAGAGGTCGAGATCTACCAGTCCGACATCCGCCGCGTCAGCCTTGGTCAAAGCGTCATCGTGACCGCCGACGCGTTCGAAGGCGAACTGACCGGCACGGTCGCCGACATCGGCCTCGAAGTCGGCCGCCAGACCATCGTCGGCGACGATCCGGCGGCGAACACCGATGCGCGCGTCATCACCGTCAATGTCGATCTCGACGAGGAATCCTCGCAGATCGCCGCCCGCTTCATCAATCTTGAGGTGCTGGCGCGCATCGAAACGGACGCGCGGGCCACGCCATGACCGCTCTTCTGGGCGCGCTCATCGGCCGTCTGCCGATCGGCTGGCTGCAGCTGATCCACTCCAGAACGCGCCTTGCGGCGGCGATGGCGGGCGTCGCCTTCGCCAACATATTGGTGCTGGTCCAGCTCGGCATCATGGGCTCGCTCAACAATTCGATCCTGATCTCCTACGGGCTTTTGAACGCCGACATCATGATCTCGGCCGAAAACGCCAACACGCTGACCGAAGGCGACAATGTCGCCCGCCAGCGCATGTTCCAGGCGCTCGGCGTGCCCGGCGTCCAGAGCGCCATGCCGTTCTATGTCGCGACCGCCGACTGGGAGCGCGCCGACGGGACTTCGACGGCGTTCGTCACCTTCGGCATCGACCCCGAAAAGGGCGACTATCTCGATGCCGGGCTTGCGCCCTTCGCCCCGCGCCTCAGGCTGCGCGACAGCGCCGTGGTCGACCGCCTCGCCCGCAACATGGATGCCTCTGCGCTCGAAACGCTGGGGCCGGACGATCCGCTGCGGTTCGAGGTGCGCGGCGTGACCCTGAGTGCCATCGACAGCTTCGCCGCGGGCGGCGGATTTGCCGGCGACGGCTACATGCTGGTCTCCGACCAGACCTTCCACCGCATCTTCCCCAACCGCTCCACCGGCGCGCCCGACCACATCCTGATCAAGATCGCCCCGGACGCCGACCCCGGTGTCGTGCTCGCCGTGCTTCAGGCGCAATTCGACGGCACCGGCCTGCGCGTGCGCAGCTTCGCGGACGCCGCGCTCGAGGATCAGGATTACCAGACCACCGAACGCCCGACCGGCCTCATCTTCGGCTTCGGCGTCGTCATCGGCGTGCTCGTCGGCATCGTCATCGTCTACCAGATCCTGTCGACCGACGTGGCGGACCATCTGGCCGAATATGCCACCTTTAAGGCGATGGGATACGGCCAGTCCATGTTCCTGGGAATCGTGCTGGAGCAGGCGGTGATCCTCGGCATTCTGGGCTTCGTGCCCGGCATCGCCGTCTCCTGGCTGCTTTACGAAATGCTTGGCGCGATGACCGGCCTGCCGGTCGAACTGACCTTTGCGACCACCGCCGCCGTGTTCGTCGGGACCATCATCGCCTGTCTGGTCTCGGGCGCCATCGCCACGCGCCGCCTGGCGGCCGCGGATCCGGCGGACCTTTTCTGAGATGAATGCGCCGGCCAGAAATCCCGCCCTGCCCGCCGTTGCCGAAGTGCCGGCGATCCGCGTTGCCGGGCTGAACCACTGGTTCGGCGAGGGCGAAGCGCGCAAGCAGGCCCTGTTCGACGTCGACCTGACGGTGCGCCCTGGCAGCCTGACCGTGCTGATGGGGCCGTCCGGCTCGGGCAAGACGACGGTGCTGACGCTGATGGGCTGCCTGCGCGAGGTGCAGGACGGCTCGGTCGAACTTCTGGGTCATGAACTGAACGGCGCACGCGAGGCCGATCTCGTGCTCTATCGCCGCCGGCTGGGCTTCATCTTCCAGGCCCACAATCTGCATGGCAGCCTGACGGCGCGGCAGAACGTCATGATGGGGCTGCAGGTGCACGGCCACAGGGACGAAGCCACCCAGCGCAAGGCTGCCGCGCACATTCTGGGCGCGCTGGGCCTGGGCGACCGGCTCGACTATCTGCCCGGCAATCTGTCGGGCGGCCAGAAACAGCGCGTCGCCGTCGCCCGTGCGCTTGTCGGCAATCCGGCGGTCGTCTTCGCCGACGAGCCGACCGCCGCGCTCGACAAGGAAAGCGGCATGACCGTGGTGCGGATGCTCAAGGAACTGGGCCGCCAGCGCGGCACGACCACCATGATGGTCACCCATGACAACCGCATCCTGGAACTGGCCGACAGGATCGTGACCATGGAAGACGGCCGCATTGTCAAAGACACGGCGCCCTGAGAAGGGGCACCGTGTCTTCGCGCGCATCGATTGACTGGAGGGGTGCGCTTATTCCGCGTAGGCGGCGAAATCCTCGGTCACCGGCTCCTGCGTGGCCAGGACCGCCATCGTCATCGTCAGGCCGACCTCGGCACCGTCGAATTGGACTGCATCTACCGGCACATAGACCGGGTGGGCCAGCGCGGTTCCCGGCGCGGGCGTGATGATCACCTCGTCGATCGAACCGTCGGGATTGACGAAAGCGTCGCTGACATAGCCGGCGACCACGCCATCGGCGGTCACCGCGTTCAGGCCCATCCACGCATCGTTCAGCGGGTGGCCGTCATGGGCGTCATGGTTTTCGAGGCCGCGCTGCCCGGCGAACGGGTCCGCGAAGCGCTCGGGCGCCGGCTCGGCATAGGCAAGGACGGCCGGCTCGCCACTGTCCAGCGCATCCAGATCGCCCGCCTGGGCCGTCACGGTTCCGGCGACCAGCCAGATGAGGGCGGCGACGGCGGCCAGTTGGGCGGCGAGGACTGCGATGGCGTCGCGGCGGCGCGGTGCCCGCCGCGCCTGCATCGCAAGTGCCGTCAGGGGCGTCGTCTGCGAAACGGGCGAACCCGAAATGTGCGAGCCATTGTACATCATGTGCTTTCCGGAAGTCATCATGTCTTCCGCCTCCTTGCGATCACCCTATCGCCGCTGCCGGCGCGGGCTTGTGCGCTTGGTCACACCGCATGCGGCGGTGCAGGAAGAAGTCGCCAACGGCCCGAAAGTTCCATATCGTGGTCGACATTGGGGCGCGCGCGACATCTCATTGCGACACAAGGAACCAGTCAAATGCTTCTTCGGACAACGGTTTTCGCCGCCATCATGGCGGGTACGGCATCGCTCGCCCTCGCCCAGGGCACCGGCTCGGAAGGCTATTTCGAGGTCTACAACAACACCGGCGGCAACGTCGTCGTCGGCTTTTACACCAATGACGGATCCGGCTGGAGCGACAACTGGCTGCAGGATGCCGTCGACCCCGGCCAAAGCGCCACGGCAAGGTTCACCGCCGACACCGGTCCCTGCGACCAGGTTTTCCAGGTCGGCTGGCTTGGCACCGACGGGGGCGAGGTGCTCGACGAGCCGATCAGCATCGACATTTGCGCGGCGAGCAATATCTATCTGGACGACAACGAAATCTATTATGACTGACGGCACCAGTGCGGCAAGGCGCCTGCACGCTGCGCCGCATTGATTGCCCGCCCTTTGCCGATTAACGTCGGCCATCGTTCACTATCGGACACGCCCATGTTTGCCAGAACCGGCCGGACGGCCATCCTGATCGCCGCACTCGCGCTGCCCGCGGGCTGCAACGCCGTTTCCGATCTCAATCCGTTCGATCGCGGGTCGACCGAACCGCTGCCGCCCGTCCAGGGCAATGTGATCGCCACCTCGTCGAGCCGCACGCTGGCAACCCGCATCGGCACCACCAACCCCGCCGCTCTGCCCGGCGATCCCGCCGCGCCGACGATCACCGGCCAGGCCGGCACGAGCGTCGAGGAATGCCGGCAGATCAACCAAACGCCGGGCGCGCCCGGAGCGCCGCCCCTGCCCGACGGCGCCGAGCCGGAAAACTGCGTGCGCGGCACCATCTCGACCAACTGACCGGTTCGGCGCGTTCGCACCAGCCGATCGTTGCCCCGCGCCGCGCGCTCCCCATATGAAGGGCAAACGGCGGCAATGACGCGCGCCGGAAGTCTTCGGGAGATCGCGCGCAGGTGGCGCTTTTGGGCATCATCGCACTGGTCCTGATCGGCGCCGTGGTCGTGCTGCCGCAACTGTGGGTGCGGCGGACGATGCAGCGCCACGGCACGCCGCGCCCCGATTTTCCCGGCACCGGCGGCGAACTGGCCAAACATCTCATCGCCCATTTCAGGCTCGACGGCGTCGGCGTCGAACGCACCGACAAGGGCGATCATTACGATCCCGCCGCGCGCATGGTGCGCCTGTCGCCCGACACCCATGGCACCCCGTCCCTGACGGCGGTCGCCATCGCCGCCCACGAGGTCGGCCATGCGCTGCAGCACCATCGCGGCGAGCGCGGGCTGAAGCTGCGTCAGACGCTGGTGCGCATCGCCGGCGTCACCGACTTGTTCGCCGGCCTGTTCTTCATCGCCGCCCCGGTGCTGGCCGTCATCGCCCGCACCCCCGGCGCGTTTCTGGCGCTGGCCGCCACCGGCATCGCCCTTCTGGCGATCCGCGTCCTGGTCCATCTGGTCACGCTGCCGGTCGAATATGACGCCAGCTTCGGCAAGGCGCTGCCGATCCTCAAGGGAGGCGGCTATCTTCAGGACGGCGATCTGGCCGGCGCCCGCTCCGTGCTCAAGGCCGCCGCCTTCACCTATGTCGCCGCCGCGCTGATGGGCTTGGTCGATCTTGCGCGGTGGGTGAGGATGTTGCGGTAGGTGGGCAGAGGCGTTTGACAATTTCGACGTGCAATGTCTGTCATGGACCAACAGCGAATGCCGTTCTCATCTGATCACCGTAAACTGGAAAATGTCGAACAACGGAACAGACTGGACCGACGATGAGGTGGAAGCTTGCGTGGCTGCATACTTCGAGCATCTTGCGTTGGACGTGAGCGGTGAGCGCTTCAACAAGGCGCATCTCTACAGGGAATTGACCAGTTTGATCCCGCGCACCGAAAAAGCCATCGAGTTCAAATTCCAGAATATCTCAGCCGTTCTCGATCAGATGGGTGTCGAGTGGATTCGCGGTTTGGCACCGCGCAATAACTTCCAACGTGCTTTGGCAGATGCCGTTGATAGAAGGCTGCCGCATTTTCTAGCGCTGGATTTGTCGCAGCCCGAAACCGGCATGAGCGACCCAGCCGGACTCTACATTGAGCCGGCGCCCGAACGAGCCACCAAACCTAACCCTCTCCCAACATACATAGAACGATTAATCCGAAAGTTCGATCCCATCGAGCGCGACCAGAAGAATCGAGCATTGGGAGAAGCCGGGGAAGAACTGATACTTCATTTCGAGCGGCATTCCCTTGAAGGGCACCAACGAGACGATCTTGCACGGAAAGTGCGCTGGGTTTCAAAGGAGGACGGTGACGGCGCCGGATATGACATCCTGAGCTTCGAACCCGACGGGCGGGAGAAGTTCGTGGAAGTGAAAACCACTGCTGGCAGCAGCCGAACACCGTTCTTCATCAGCCGCAACGAAACGGAGTTCTCTCGTGAAAGCGGCGATCGCTTTCGGCTCATGCGCCTGTACGATTTTCGGCGCGACCCAAGAGCGTTCGAAATGGCCGGCTCGATCGACAAACATGTTCGACTAACGGCCGAGCACTACCGGGCCGACTTTGAAGCGTAGGCCATATTTGCGGTGAAATGCTGCGCTTTCAGCGCGTCAGTTCACCGCGCCGGCGACATTGCCGGCGGCCTGCTGGGTGGCGTTGACGGCGTTGGCTGTGTCCTGGCCGACGCCGCGGATCGTGTTGGCGCAGCCGGCAAGGGCAACGAGGATTGCGGCAACCGTCACAAGTCTAATGGGGTTCATGGGTTGGCTCCTGCTGTTCGGGACACATGGTGATGCACAATGCCGCCGGGGTCCAGATATTCCGGCGGGCCGGCAGCCGCGGCGCACGGTGCCGTGACGCCCGCGATGACGCCGATCACGCATCCTGCCAGTTGATGCGCCGCCACCGCGCCTCGATCAGCGAATAGAGCGCAAAGGCAATCAGGCCCAGCCCCATCGCCGTCAGAAGAAGCGGCCCCGCCGGCAGCCCCGCGATGAAGGCCAGCGCATCGGACAGGCCGGGCGGGTCGTCCGCGCCGCCGCCGGCGGTCAGGAACCTGTAGAAGGTAAGCAGGGCTAGAATTACGAACACGCCGCCGCGCGCGCACAGCCCGGTGATGGAGATCGGATGGATCCACGCCATCGCCTCCTCGCTGGCCTGGAAGTGGTCGGCATATTTGCGTTTGATCGCCTTGACGAAATGGGCGATCGCCACCGCCAGGAAGACGAGACACAGGATCAGCGCGACCCAACGGTCCGCGACGAAGCTTTCCAGCCACCTCGCCGCACCGCCCCCGCTGCCGCCCGAACTGCCCGCATTGCCGAACACGCCCAGCAGGGAGAGCGTATACTGGCCGAGCGCGCCATAGGTGACGGCACTGGCGAGCAAACCGGCTCGAACGCCAAGGCCCTTGATGCTGGTGCCATGGTCGTCGGTGTCGAAGATCGCCTGGACAAGCCGCCATGCCACATAGCCTGCAAGACCGATCACCAGAAGCCACAGGATGAACGTGCCGAACGGCTGCTCGCGCAAGGTCCGCACCGCATCGCGCGTCGCCGATCCCCCTTCTCCGACGCCCGCGCCGATGACGATCAGAACACCGATGACAAGGTAAACGACGCCCCGCGCGCCATACCCGAACCGGGCCAGATATTCGATCCAATGTCCGTGTTGCCTGAGCTTCACCGGCCCGCCTCCTCTGGCTGAAGGGATATTGGTGCGGCCTCGCCGGGCCGGAGAAGATCGGCCATCAGCCAGCACAGCACGGCCCATGCGGCGCCCAGGCACCAGCCGGCCAGCACGTCGGACGGCCAGTGGACGCCGAGATAGACACGGCTGATGCCGACAATGAGCGACAAAGCGATCCCGGTGGCGACGATATAGACCCGGAAGGCGGGACGTTCGACGGCGCGCAGAAGGGCCAGTGCCAGGGCCAGATAGGCAACCATGCTCACGGTCGCGTGGGCACTGGGAAAGGACGACGTCATCGTGCGGTCGAGATGGTCGACGAGATCGGGCCGGGCCCTGTCGAATGCGGCTTTTGCCAGTTGCGCGACGGCGGTTCCCGATGTCAGCGTCAGGGCGAAGAACAGCGCGGCCGCGCCCTGCCCCACGGCGGCGAGGCCGACGGCCAGCACCACGGCCAGCGTGACGAGGAATGTGTAGCCGCCCAGCACGGTGTAGTCGAACATGATGTCCTCGAACCATGGCGGGCCCCACGGGTCGGCCAGATCGGCGGGCGAGCGCAGCGCCCGGACGATGGCCTCGTCGAAAGCGGCGGTCCAACCCTGGCTCACCGCCACCGCGACCAGCACAAAGACGGTCATGCATCCGATGATGACGACAACGGCCCACCATCGCCCCCCGCGCGGACCGCTTGCCGCCCGTGCGGCGGGCGTGTTGGCAGGGCTGGATTGCAGCAGAAGGTCAGGCGAGGACATGGTCCGTCCGTGAATGGCGGTGGCAGCCGGGTCGCCGGCCTTCGCGCCGCCCGTCCTGCCGATGGTTGTCGACTGTGTTGGCGGTCAACGCCGACATGGCCGCGATGGTTCCCGCTGCGGCTGACGCGATTGGAGGGCGCCCTGGCTCATGACACCCTCCTGTCAGCAGCGGCGTGGCAAAGGCGCGCGTCGGCCTTCCTTTTGCCCCGCCTTTTTCCCATATTGGGCGCATGGCCAGACAACAAAAGAAATCCGGCAAGCCCGCCGCCGCAAACCCGAGCGCAGCGAGGCAAGGCCGACCGGCCGTCGCGCCCGGTGGCGCGCGCCCGCGCAGCGAGCCGCAACGCGGCGACAGCGTGAGCGGAGGACAAGGGTTCGAGGAGGCGCCCCAGCGTGACCTGGAAGGCGCGCCAACGTCGAGCGGCTCGATCGAGGATTGGGCATCGGAAATCGCACGTGAAGCGGGCATTTCGCCCGCGCCGCGCAAGATTTCCGACGAGGACTTCATCGCACAGCTCGAGGACGACGCCGCGCGCGAACAGCGCGACGCCGAGATGCGCGATATCCGGTCGCGAGCCGGCAAGCATCGGAAGAAAGCCGAGAGATCGAGCGACGGCCCGAAGGACCGAAAGGGTGGCCGCACCAGCGACAGTCGCACGTTGACCCCCGGCGAAAGCGGGGGGAAGCGCAAGACCGGCGCCAGGGAAAAGACCGACCGAGTTTACGAGGTCGGCGACAAGCGCACCGGCGGTGGCGTCTCCATCGGCGGCACCAACGATCCCAAGGAACGCGCCGCGGCGGGCCTGAACCCGGTGGCGGGTCTCGATGTGGGGCTGGAAGAGGCCGAAGAACTTCTCGCGCGCGCGCGCGCCGCATCGCACGTGGCGCGCAGCGCCGCGCAAGAATCGGCGCCATCGGAAGGTGGTGTCACGGCGACGGTCGAGGCGCTCAAGAGCCTGATCGACAGCGGCAATCCGCTGTTCAAGGACGGCAAGATGTGGGTGCCGCACCGTCCCGAACGGCCGGAGAAATCCGAGGGCGGCATCCCGCTCAAGATGGTGACCGAGTACGAACCCGCCGGCGACCAGCCGACGGCGATCAGGGATCTGGTGGAGGGGTTGCAGGGCCAGGCGCACGTTGAGCCGCACGGCGGCGAAGCGCAGGACTTGGCCCCACAAGGAGACAGAACACAGACTCTGCTTGGCGTCACCGGCTCGGGCAAGACCTTCACCATGGCCAAGGTGATCGAGGAAACCCAGCGCCCGGCGATCATCCTGGCGCCGAACAAGACGCTCGCCGCCCAGCTCTATGGCGAGATGAAATCGTTCTTTCCGGACAATGCGGTCGAGTATTTCGTCTCCTATTACGACTACTACCAGCCCGAGGCCTATGTGCCCCGCACGGACACCTACATCGAGAAGGAATCGACCATCAACGAGCAGATCGACCGGATGCGCCACTCGGCGACCCGCGCTCTGCTCGAGCGCGACGACGTGATCATCGTCGCCTCGGTCTCCTGCATCTACGGTATCGGCTCGGTCGAGACCTATACGGCGATGACCTTCGAGATGAAGATCGGCGACCGGCTCGACCAGCGCCAGCTGCTCGCCGATCTGGTCGCCCAGCAATACAAGCGCCAGGACATCAACTTCGTGCGCGGCTCGTTCCGGGTGCGCGGCGACACGATCGAGATCTTTCCGGCCCACCTTGAGGACCGCGCCTGGCGCATCTCGCTGTTCGGCGACGAGATCGAGCAGATCACCGAGTTCGACCCGCTGACCGGCCACAAGACCGATGAGCTCAAGTCGGTGAAGATCTACGCCAACTCGCACTATGTGACGCCGCGCCCGACACTCAACCAGGCGCAAAAGGCGATCAAGGAAGAATTGAAGCACCGGCTTGCCGAGCTTGAGAAAGCGGGCCGGCTGCTGGAGGCGCAGCGGCTCGAACAGCGCACGCGCTACGATCTGGAAATGCTCGAAGCCACCGGCTCCTGCCAGGGCATCGAGAACTATTCGCGCTATCTGACCGGCCGCAATCCGGGCGAGCCGCCGCCGACCCTGTTCGAATACATCCCCGACGACGCCATCGTCTTCATCGACGAGAGCCATGTGACCGTGCCGCAGATCGGCGCCATGTATCGCGGCGACTTCCGCCGCAAGGCGACGCTCGCCGAATATGGCTTCCGGCTGCCGTCCTGCATGGACAACCGGCCGCTCAGGTTCGAGGAGTGGGACGCCATGCGCCCGCAGACCATCGCCGTGTCGGCAACGCCCGGCGGCTGGGAACTGGACCAGTCCGGCGGCGTCTTCGCCGAACAGGTGATCCGCCCCACCGGGCTGATCGATCCGCCCGTCGAGATCCGGCCCGCCACGAACCAGGTCGACGATGTGCTCGGCGAAATCCGCGCCACCGCGCAGGCCGGCTACCGCACGCTGTGCACGGTGCTGACCAAGCGCATGGCCGAGGATCTGACCGAATATCTGCACGAGCAGGGCGTCCGGGTAAGGTACATGCATTCGGACATCGACACGATCGAGCGCATCGAGATCATCCGCGATTTGCGGCTCGGCGCGTTCGACTGCCTGGTCGGCATCAACCTCTTGCGCGAGGGCCTGGACATTCCCGAATGCGGGTTCGTCGCGATCCTCGACGCGGACAAGGAGGGCTTCCTGCGCTCGGAAACCTCGCTGATCCAGACAATTGGCAGGGCAGCACGCAACGTCGACGGCAAGGTGATCCTCTATGCCGACCGGGAGACCGGCTCGATGCAGCGCGCGCTGGCCGAGACCGGCCGCCGCCGGCAAAAGCAGCTCGAATACAATGAAGAGCACGGCATCACGCCGCAATCGGTCAAGGCCAACATCGCCGACATTCTCGACTCGGTCTACGAGAAGGACCATGTGCGCGCCGACATCACCGGCAAGGGCGGCAAGGGGCTGGCGGCCGACGAGGGCGCGCTGGTCGGCAACAATCTGGCCGCCCATCTCGAGGCGCTCGAAAAGCAGATGCGCGACGCCGCCGCCGACCTCGATTTCGAGACCGCCGCGCGCCTGCGCGACGAGATCAAGCGCCTGCGCGAGCAGGAACTGGCCGTGTTGGACGACCCGCTGGCGCGCGACGCGGGGATCGAGAGTGAGAAGCGGTTTGCGAAGCAGAGAAGACGATCCGGCGAATCGTCTTCAGCGACGAACGCCCGGAGCCCTAGCGGAGGGCCGCGGAAGGAGGGCGGCAAGGAAGAAAACTCCTACTTCCGCAAGAACACGCTCGACGAGATGACCGTCGGCCGCACGGAGAAACCCAAACGGTGACGGCCCCCGCGCCCGTCCCCGCCCTTGCGCGCCGGGCCGCCCTCGCCCTGATCGCGCTCGCCCTGACGGACCTGCCCGCCCGCGCGCTCGACTGGACCGCCACCGAACAAACCGTCCACTACGCCATCGACGGGTCGACCGGCATGGCGCTCTACCGGTCGATCGGCCAGAACGGCCCGGTCGTCAGCCTCAGGCGCGCCATCGCGCTCACCGAATATGAATTGTTGTGGGGCCGCGACTATGTGCCCGACGGCGCCGCCTGCCGGCTCGCCGAGGTGCGCCCGTTCCTGACGATCACCTACCGCCTGCCCCGCCCGCGCGCCGCGCTCGACGGCGCGACCGGGACCAAATGGGCGACCTTCATCGCCGGCATCACCGCCCATGAGCATGTCCATGGCGCGCTGATGCGGGGCATGGTCGACGACATCATCGGTGAGACGCTGGGGCTGGTGGTCGAAGCCGATCCGGGCTGCCAGAAGATCCGCGCCGAGGTGGAGCGCCGCGTCATCGCCGCCCATGCGCGCTACAAGGCGAAGAACCGCGCGTTCGAGCAAAGCGAAATGGCGCCGGGCGGCAATGTGCAGCGGCTGGTGTTGGGCTTGGTGCGGTAGCGGTGGCCTTGCCGGCGTCGGTGGCGCGGGCGGCCCCGCCGCCGTCATCCCTGTACTTGCCCGCGCTCACACGATGAACACATGCGGCGTGAAGCCGTCACCGACGCAAATCACGGCCCGAGCTACGCTCCGCTAAAGGCAGTACCCGACATGATCCATATGACAACACCGGCCGCGCAGTTCGACCGCGCCAGCAGATCACTCCGATGGAAGCGGCAAGCAAACATGACCATAACCACTTGTCTGAGCGCGAGGGAGTCTGCTATGTCCCATTAAGCAAAGCCAACGCGGATACTGGATCTTGATTTTCACCGAAGAAAACATCGACCTAATATTTGGTAAAGAAGATGCAGAGAACGAAGACGAGGTGCGGTTTCGTCAGTATTTTTATGGCAATGACGCGTACGAAAGAATATTATCGGACACTTCATTTCGAATCTTAGTTGGCCACAAAGGGGTTGGCAAGAGTGCTCTACTAAAGCGGGCATACCTACAAAAAGTAGATGAGCAAAAGCTAGCACTTTTTTTGAGGCCTGACGACATTATTTCCGTCGTGCAAACCGCGCCCAGAGGCGCTGATTTTATCTCTCTTGTTGAACATTGGAAACGCGGGCTCGTTTCCGTCATAGGACAAAAAGTACTGACTAGCGCTTCTAGCGTTTTCATTGACAGGATTTCTGAAGGATCAACACTAAACTTCACGAACTTCGTGCCAGTCTTATTTGATGTCGCAAAGAAGCGGTTCGAAGAAATTAGCTCTTCGATCGAGAAGGGAAATCTCAATCAATACATACAACAGAACGAACTGAGTGTATTCATTGATGACATTGATAGGGGTTGGTCTGCATCAAAGAGCGATATTGAAAACATATCAGCACTGATAAACGCGATTCGCGACATAGCCGGGGTTCAGAAAAACCTCCGATTCCGAATAGGCCTAAGGTCCGACGTCTACTTCCTAGTTAGAACATCCGATGAATCAACAGATAAGATTGAAGGAAATGTTATATGGCTAAAATGGACTAATCACGAAATCCTATCAATAATTGCGAAGCGTATATCGACTTTTTTCGATCTTGGTTTTGGCGAGTCTAGTATCAATAATATGACTCAAATTAGTATAGATGAAAAAATACTGTATAAAGTTATTGAGACGAACTTTTCTATTGGAAGAGGCCATTGGGCTCAGAGGCCAATTCATAACGTGCTACTTTCTTTGACAAGGAAAAGGCCTCGTGATTTGGTAAAGCTGCTACGTGGTGGCGCCCATGCGGCTAGAAAAGATGCGATTATTTCATCGACAAAGCTCGAGTCGACATTTGAGTCATACTCAAATGAAAGGCTTCAAGATGTGATCAATGAATTTCGCTCAGAGTGTAGTAATATTGAGAATATATTACTTCTCATGAGGCCAACGCGAAGGCAAAGATCAACTTCCCAATCGTATCGATTTACAAATGATCAGATATCTAAGAAGATATCAGATGTAATGAGGGCAACAAACGTTGTCTTTACAAGCGGCCGGGCTGCAAACTCGCGAGCAGTTTTGCAATTTCTTTACAAGATTGATTTTGTTACGGCGCGCATTGATCATGGTGATTATATTGAACGAAAGCATTTTGATGAAAGTAGATTCTTGGCGCATGAGGCCATCGATTTTGGGTATGATTGGGAAATTCACCCAGCCTACCGCTGGGCATTACAGCCGCAAGACGTTAACGACGTAATTAGCTCCTTGCAGGATTCAGTTCGAGTTCGGTTCAGCTGATACGTGGTTTAGAGGTGCCGTCCGCACAACTCCGTGGATAATCGCGCCAACCATCCGGCGAGAGCGGCGGCGGCGCGGCCGACGGTTCAGAGGTGGATCGCTGGATGGTGAGCCCCAAGCCCTGCTCCATCGTCATCCTCGGGCTTGACCCGAGGATCCATTCCGTGAAGCTCACCAAATGGGCGGATATGTCTACATGCTCGCCAGCAAGAAGGGCGGCACGATCTATATCGGCGTCACCAGCGACCTGTCGCGCCGCGTTCACGAGCACCGGGAGCGCGACAAGGGGTTTACCGCCAAATACGGCGCCATCCGGCTCGTCTGGTACGAAGAGCATGACGACATACGCGATGCCATTCAGCGGGAGAAGTCGCTGAAGCGCTGGCGGCGGCAGTGGAAAATCGACCTCATCGAAAGCATCAATCCGGAATGGAACGATCTTTATCGCGGGATCGGTTGGTGAGGCATTCGGGGGCCTCGGGCGTCCTGCGTGGCACCGCACGGAATGGATCCTCGGGTCAAGCCCGAGGATGACGGAGCGTGGGTCGGTCGCCGGATGCCAAGAAGATTGGACCGCAAAAAACTTATCCCCCTTCCCTCACCCTCCCCCATACTCCCCTCACCCCTTTCGCGAAGGCTCGGGTCTAGAACCGACCATCCGGGGAAAGGGGCGGCGGCGTGGTCGGCCGGGCAGAGGTGTCCGGCTGGAGGATGACTCCCCAGATCACGGCGGAATGAAGGTGGCTCCGGATCGCGGGCGTTCCCCGCAATTCACCGCCGCACCCTGTCGAGCGACAAGCGAGACAGAAAGGTCTGCGGCGGCGAAAGAGCCATGCCGATCACCGCAAGCCCGCCGAACGGGCGGTCGCAAGATCGCACATAACCATAGAACGGCTCGCGCTCTTCCGACCGCCCGTTCCTTCGGTCTTTCAAGCTGGCGCAAGGACTTGCGCGGGCCAAGGCCCACGTGCGCCTTGCGCCGGGTTGCGGGGCACGCCCGCCCGACGCCGGAGGAAAGGCTCGGACGCGCTCGCCCAAAGCGCACGTTGACCCTCGGGCCAGGCCCGAGGGGAAGCGCAAGCTTTGGGCCGAAAAAGGAGCACCGAGGCGCCGGATCGCGGGCGTTCCCCGCAATTCACCGCCGCACCCTGTCGAGCGACAAGCGAGACAGAAAGGTCTGCGGCGGCATCAAAGAAAGGAACCACGATGACCAATCCCGAAACCGACATTTTCGCCGAGATCGATGCGCTGGCCGGCCCCGATCCGGAGGCCGATCCGCGCGCCGAGGCAGAAACGGCGGCGCTCGCCGCCCGCGCCGCGCAGTTCGTCTCCAACCGCGCGCGCCGCTGGAAAACCTGCCCGAAGCGCGCCTGCCGCCGCGCCCGGGCCTGCACCGGCGAGGGGCCGCCGGCGGCGTTGCCCCCCTGTGGCGCGGAAGGCGACTGGCGGGCGATCAACGGTCTCGCCCTGTTCGCCGTCCTCGAGCGTCTGCACGCGATCAGGCGGGATTTGAGGGCGCAAGCGATCGAGGGACCGGAATTGGCGGACCGGGAGTTTCATGACGAGATGGCCGGCGCGGCGGCGTTCAGCCAGCGTTCAGGTGACGGCGATTAGATGGTATGAAGGGCAACGATTGCCGAAGGAGACAGCCATGAAGGCCATCCGCACCGCGCTTGGCGCGCTCGCCGTCGCCGCGACCGCGCTGACCGGCCTGCCGGGCGCCACCGCGCCGGCCCATGCCGAGAGCGAGAACGTGACGATCTATCATTCCGACGGACGGGTCAGCCATTGCGGCCCGCTGGGCAACTGCAGCCAGGTGCAGCGCGTGCGCCCGCGCCAGTGGCACGGCCAGCGCGGCTACCAGCACCGCCCGCGCCATCACTACCGCCATGGCGGCCGCGTCGATGACGGCACCGCGGCGGCGATCCTGGGCATCACGGGGCTTGCGATTGTCGGCGGCGCGCTGGCCCACCAGAACCGCACGCTGCCCAGCCATGCGGACCCCGCCTACCGGCACCGGTCGCCGCGCGGCGGCGGCGCCTACTATCCGCCGGCGCCCTCGGGCCCGAACGTGATCACCTATGACGGTTCGCTCGAGCCCTGGTCGCCCGGCTGGTACCAATGGTGCGACCGGCGCTACCGCTCGTTCGATCCCCGGCGCGGCACCTTTCGCGGCTATGACGGCCGGGACCATTTCTGCGTGCCGCGCTGATCGCGCGGCCCGCCGGGGGCGTCATGCCGCCATGCCATTCCGCCATGCCATCGGCGCCGCCAGGGGCGACCGGCGCGGCATGGCGGACGGTCTGGACCCGAGGGGGATCTAGACTTGGCCGGCGAGGAATGGATTGGTCCGCCGTTCCTCGCCGAGCCTGCCGCCCGGCCCGTGCCCGCAGATGAAGCCGAACTCATCGCCCAGCGGCAGCAGCTTGTCGCGGATCGAGGCGAGAAGCGTGGCGTGGTCGCCGCCGGGCAGGTCCGTGCGGCCGATCGAGCCGGCAAACAAAACGTCGCCCACATGGGCGAACTGCGCCGCCCGGTTGACGAACACCACATGGCCCGGCGCATGGCCCGGGCAATGCAGCACCTCGAATGTGTGGCCACCCAGATCGAGCGTGTCGCCCTCGGCGAGCCAGCGGTCCGGCGTGACGTTGCGCACCTGCGTGTCCAGGCCGAACATCGCCGCCTGCTGTTCCAGCGCGCCCAGCAGCGGTTCGTCGTCGCGGTGCGGGCCGATGATCTCGATGCCGAGCCGGTCCTTCAGGTCCATCGCCCCGCCGGCATGGTCGATATGGCCGTGCGTCAGCCAGATCGCCCCGATCGTCAGCCCGTGCCCGTCGGCGGCCTCGATGATGCGGTCGATGTCACCGCCCGGATCGACGACGACGGCAGCCTTGCTGTCGCCGTCGAACAGGAGCGTGCAGTTCTGCTGAAATCCCGTTACCGGGACGATGATCGCCTGAAGCGCGCCGGACATGATGGTCAACCTCTGTGGGAACGGACCGCGCATCCATAGGCGCCGCGCCCGCCCCATGCAATCGCCGGACGTCCATTCGGCACGAGGGCGGTCGGCGCGCCTTACTCGGCGGCGACGGCCGTCGCCGGCATCACCTCGGCCTCGTAGTCCGCCATCAGCGTCCTGGCGATCTCGCCGACGGCGAAGCTGTAGGGTCCGATCTCGGAGACCGGCGTCACCTCGGCGGCGGTGCCGGTCAGGAAGCACTGCTCGAACCCGGCCATCTCCTCGGGCATGATCACCCGCTCGTTGACGGTCAGTCCGCGCCGCTTGGCCAGATCGATCACCGTGCGCCGCGTGATGCCGTCAAGGAAGCAATCGGGCACCGGCGTGTGCAGTTCGCCGTCCTTGACGAAGAACACGTTGGCGCCGGTGGCCTCGGCGACGCGCCCGCGCCAGTCCAGCATCAGCGCATCGGCATAGCCCTTGGCCTCGGCGGCATGCTTGGAGATGGTGCAGATCATGTAAAGGCCGGCAGCCTTGGACTTGGACGGCGCGGTCGCCGGATCGGGCCGGCGGTACTCGGCCATGTCCAGGCGGATGCCCTTGAGCTTTTCGGCGGGGTCGAAATAGCTCGGCCATTCCCACACGGCGATCGCAAGATTGATCCGGTTCTTCTGTGCCGAAACGCCCATCATCTCCGAACCGCGCCAGGCGACGGGACGGACATAGGCATCGGTGAAGCCTTGCCGGACCAGCGTCTTGTTGCAGGCATCGTCGATCTCGGCGACGGTGTAGGGGATTTCGAAGCCCAGGATGCGCGCCGATTCCACCAGCCGCTCGGAATGTTCGGTCAGCTTGAAGATCCGGCCGCCATAGGCGCGCTCGCCCTCGAATACCGAGCTTGCATAGTGCAGGCCATGCGTCAGCACGTGAATCTTTGCATCCGCCCACGGCACGAACGCGCCGTTCATCCAGATGTCGCCGTCAAGCTGATCGAAGGGAACTGCTGCCATGGCCGGATCCTCGCCTTGCCGGTTCGCGGGTCGTCATCGGCGATGCGCCCGGACCGTTTATTGTGTGCGCTGCATCATCGCCCGGCGGCGGCGCAGCGATCGGCAATCTTTACAGAGATAGCCAAAATATGTCAATATGGCTGACATAATTTTGCAGGCACAGAAACCCATGTCAGACCCCGGCGCCGACACAGACACGCTGATCGAACTGCTGTTTTTCGCCTATCGCGATTTCATCGCCGATCCCGACGCGATCCTCGCCGAACTCGATTTCGGCCGCGCGCACCATCGCGTGCTGCACTTCATTGACCGCAAACCGGGGCTGACGGTCGCCGAACTGCTCGATTTTCTCGGCATCACCAAACAGAGTCTGGCCCGCGTGCTCAAGCAGCTCGTCGATGGCGGCTTCGTGCGTCAGGATGCCGGCCATGGCGACCGGCGCCGGCGCGAACTGCATCTGACGCCGAAGGGCGCCGATCTGATCGCCCGGCTGCGCGAGCCACAGTCTCGCCGCATCCACGCGGCATTGACCGAGTCCGGCCAATCGCCGGACGAGATGGCCCGTTTCCTGCGCGCGATGACCGATGCGCAGGGCCGTGCCCAGATCGAGGCGCTGACGTGACCACGGGACCGGCGGCGACGCAGCCAAGGGAGGCAGCCATGGCGCAACCGCAGCACACCGACCGACCGGTGCCCGAACCGCCGGACGATCAGGCGCCGCACATTCTCATCGTCGATGACGACACACGCATCCGCCAGCTCCTGACGCAATATCTGTCGCAGAACGGCTATCGCGTCACCGCCGCCGAGGACGCCGCCGATGCCCGCCGCAAGATGGAGGGGCTGGCCTTCGATCTGATGGTGCTCGACGTGATGATGCCCGGCGAGAACGGCGTGTCGCTGGCGCGCTCCCTGCGCGGTGCCGAAAGCGATGTGCCGATCCTGATGCTGACCGCGCGCAGCGAAACCGATCAGCGCATCGAGGGGCTGGACGCCGGCGCCGACGATTATCTGGGCAAGCCGTTCGATCCGCGCGAACTGCTGCTCCGCATCGGTAATATCGTGCGGCGCCGCATCCCCGAGGATATCGGCCTTGTCGAGCAGATCGTCTTCGGACCGTTCATCTTTCTGATCGGCAAGCGAGAGCTGAAGAAGAACGGCGAGGTGGTCAAGCTGACCGACCGCGAGCGCGACATTCTGGTGCGCTTTGCCCGCAATCCCGGCGAAACCATCGCCCGCCACGCCCTGGTCGACGACGATGCCGAGATCGGCGAACGCACGATCGACGTGCAGATCAACCGCCTCCGCCGCAAGCTGGAAGCCGACCCCGCCAATCCGCGTTATCTTCAAACGGTGCGCGGAATGGGCTACCGTCTGTCGATCGAGTGACGGTGGCGCTGCCACCGCCAGGGCGGAGATGACGGGCGGCCGGGCGCGATGACACTGGCACACAATGACGGCGCCAGGGCCGGCGCCCCGCAGCGGCGCAGCCTGCGCCGGCGTCTGGCGCGCGCCAGCCGCTACACGGCGCTCAAATGGCGCCAGTGGATTTCGCGCGCCACGCTCACCCTGCCGCGCGGCCTTTATGCGCGTTCGCTGATCATCATCATCGCGCCGATGGTGCTGCTGCAATCGGTGATCGCCTTCGTCTTCATGGAGCGGCACTGGCAGACCGTCACCCAGCGCCTTTCGACCGCCGTCACGCGCGACATCGCCGCGATCATCGATGTGATCGAAACCTACCCGCAGGACCAGACCTACGCGGAAGTGACGCGCATCGCCCGCGAGCGGCTCGCGCTGAACGTCGCCATCCTGCCGCCCGATCCGCTGCCCGCGCCGGCGCCCAAACCGTTCTTCTCGATCCTCGACCAGATCCTGTCCGAAGAAATCACCCGGCAGATCGGCCGGCCCTTCTGGATCGACACGGTCGGCAATTCCAACCTGGTGGAAATCCGCATCCGGATGGAAGACAAGGTGCTGCGCGTCTTCGCCCGGCGCAGCCAGGCCTATGCCTCCAACACCCACATCTTCCTGTTGTGGATGGTCGGCACGTCGCTCGTCCTCTTGTTCATCGCCATCCTGTTCCTGCGCAACCAGATCAGGCCTATCCAGAAGCTCGCCGAGGCAGCCGAGGGCTTCGGCAAGGGCCATGCGCTTCCCGACAGTTTCCGGCCGCGCGGCGCCATCGAGGTGCGCCAGGCGAGCCTTGCCTTCATCCGGATGCGCGAACGCATCGAAAAGCAGATCGAGCAGCGCACCGAGATGCTGGCCGGCGTCAGCCACGACCTGCGCACCATCCTGACGCGCTTCAAGCTGCAACTGGCGATGAGCGAGCCGTCGGACGACATTGCCGCGATGGAAAAGGACATCGACGACATGCAGTCGATGCTGGAGGGCTATCTCGATTTCGCCAAGGGCGATGTCGAGGAGGAGACCGGCGAACTCGACCTGCGCGAGGCGCTTGACGAGATCGCCGCCCAGGGCCGGCTGCACGATCGCGAGGTCGTCGTCAGCGTCCTGGGACGGCGCGACATCGTTGTCCGGCCCGTCGCCTTCCGGCGGCTTCTGGCCAACATCGCCTCGAACGCCTTCCGCCATGCCGAGCGGCTCGAAGTGGTGGCTCAGGTTTCTCGCGGCCGGCTGACGCTGACGATGGACGATAACGGCCCGGGCATTCCCGAGGACGAGCGCGACGACGTGTTCCGGCCCTTCTACCGGATCGACGATGCGCGCAATCTGGACAAGAGCGGCACGGGCCTGGGCCTGTCGATCGCCCGGGACGTCGCCCGCAAGCATGGCGGCGACATCGTGCTCGACGATTCGCCGCTTGGCGGTTTGCGCGTGACCGTGCGCCTGCCGGTCTAAGGGATTGGCATCGTCCACCTCCCCTTGAGGGGAGGTCGGCGAATGGCGAGCAAAGCGAGGCAGAGCCGGGCGGGGGTAATCGCCAGCCCATACATCTGACTGTCACCCCCACCCGCTCGCCCGACGCAAAGCTTGGTCTGGCGTGCCTCCCCTCAAGGCGGAGGCTGGCAGGCGCCTACATCAGCCGCTGGCCGTTCTTGACGGGCTTGTCGATGGCGGCCAGCACGACCGCGCCGTCTTCGTCCTCAAAGCCCAGGGTCAGCACCTCCGAGCGCATCGGCCCGATCTGGCGCGGCGGAAAGTTCACGACCGCCATCACCTGCCGGCCGACCAGTTCCTCGGGCGTGTAGTGCACGGTGATCTGCGCCGAGGATTTCTTGATGCCGATCTCCGGTCCGAAATCGATCTTCATCCTGATCGCCGGCTTGCGCGCCTCTGGGAAGGGCTCGGCCTCGACGATCGTGCCGGTGCGGATGTCGACCTTCAGAAAGTCGTCGAACGCGATAAAGTCGTCGCTCATCGGTCACGCCTCGCCGACGGTCTCGAACATCGCATGGTCGAGCGCGACGCGCGCATTGACGCCCGACCAGACGACCGACTGGAACGCCTGGAAGTAGCTCTCGCACGTCTCGATCGCGCTCGAGAGCATCACCTCCACCTGCGCTTCGGTGGGCTCGGCCCCGCCAGCCAGGATCAGCGAATGACGGAACATCACCGCGCCCTCCTGCTCCCAGAAGTCGAAATGGCCGATCAGCAATTGCTCGTTGATCAGCGACAGGAGCCGGGTGAGTTCCACCATCCGGTTCTTCTGCACCGTCACGTCGAACGCGCAGGCAAAATGCAGCGATTCAAAATCCGGCATCCAGGCATAGGAGATGTGGTAATTGGTCCAGTTGCCGGCCACCGCGACCGCGATCTCGTCATCGCCGGTGCGCTCGAAATTCCAGTCGCGCGCATAGGCGACATGCTCGATCACATCGACCGGGTGGGCGATCCTGTCATCGTCCAGTTCAAGAAGGCTCATCAACGCATCCAAGGCTAGGCCGGAACGGTCCGGCGTGCAGGGTGCTTGGGCACCGCTGCGAATCACTCAATAATTTCAGTGTATTGATGAGAGGGCGTGGGGAAAGCCCCGGCGGGGCGTCATCGATCAAACAGATGTGGACGGCCGGTTTTGCCCACAGATTCGACCGTAGCGTAAGCGACTCTCGCCAAAGGGCTTTTTGAAGGCGCGGACTCGGTTCGTTCCTGTGGAAAAAAACCGTTGTACAACGGTCATCAAAGCCGCGCAGGCGGCCCGATTACGTGTCTTCGAGCTTGGCGACCCGCGCTTCCAGCGCATCGACGCGCTCTGCGAGCGCTTCGGCCCGGGCGCTGGCGGAAAGCGCGGCTTCCTTCATCGCCTCGAACTCCTCGCGCTGGACAAGATCCATCGAGGCAAGAAACTTTTCCGCCTGCGCCTGGAACATCGTCTCGGCCTCGCGCCGCATGCCCTGCGCCGCGCCGGCGGCATCGGTCATCAGCTTGGCGAAATCGTCAAATATCCGGTTGGGGCCTGTTGTCATGTCGCTATCTCCACTATGGCACCTTACCTATGAGACCGCGCCGTCACAGACAAGGCGCCAACCGAATCAGGACCTGCGAAAGCCGCGCGCATGGACGTTTTCACCCCCGCCCTTCTCACACAGACCGCTCTCGCCTTTCCCGACATCGACCCGGTGCTGATCCAGATCGGCCCGGTGGCGATCCGGTGGTATTCGCTGGGGTACATTGTCGGCATCGTCATCGGCTGGGTGCTGGCCCGCCGCATGGTGCACAACGAGCGCCTCTGGGGCGGCCCTGCGCCGATCCAGCCGGTCGACATCGATGATTTCCTCCTCTGGGCGACGATCGGCATCATCGCCGGCGGACGGATCGGCTATGTGCTGTTTTACGATCTGGGCACCTTCCTCGCCGAACCGCTGCGCATCTTCACGGTGTGGCAGGGCGGCATGTCCTTCCACGGCGGGCTGATCGGCACGACGCTGGCCATGCTCTTTTTCGCCCGCTCGCGCGGCATCGATCCCTGGCGCCTGTTCGATGTCATCGCCGCCGTCGCTCCCATCGGCATCGGTCTCGTGCGCATCGCCAATTTCATCAACGCCGAACTCTATGGCCGCCCGTCGGACGTCGGCTGGGCGATGGTCTTCCCGACCGATCCCGAGCGCCTGCCGCGCCATCCCAGTCAGCTCTACGAGGCGTTTCTGGAAGGGCTGGTCCTGTTCATCCTGCTTTGGGTCGCCGTCCACATCTGGCTCAAGCTGAGAAACCCGCGCTTCGTCACCGGCCTGTTCGTCGGCGGCTATGGCGCGGCGCGCACCTTCGTCGAATTCTTCCGCGAGCCGGACCCGCAACTGGGCTTCCTGCTCGGCACCCAATGGCTGACCATGGGCATGGTGCTGTCGATCCCCATGGCGCTTTTGGGTCTGGCGCTTGTGCTGTCGGCCCGGCCGGCCAAACCGGTCCCCGCCGCCACCGACGAAACAAAATGACCACGCCGCTCGCCGCGATCCTTGCCGCGCGCATCGCCGCGGCGGGGCCGATGACCGTCGCCGGCTATATGGCCGAATGCCTGCTGCATCCCGAGCACGGCTATTACGCCGCGCGCGAGCCGTTCGGCGCGAAGGGTGATTTCGTCACCGCGCCGGAGATCAGCCAGCTCTTCGGCGAGATCGTCGGCGCGGTCCTCGTCAATGCGTGGCGACAGGCCGGGCGTCCCGCGCCCTTCCTTCTCGCCGAAGCCGGCCCCGGACGCGGCACGCTGATGGCCGACATTGTCCGAACCGCGCGGATCGATCCCGCCTTTTCGGCCGCCGCGCGCATCGTTCTGGTGGAAGCGAGCGCCCGCCTGCGCGACGTGCAGCGCAAAACGCTCGGTACCGATGCGCGCCGCGCCACGTGGGTGGACCGGTTGGACGATCTGCCGGACTTTCCGCTCTTTCTGGCCGCCAACGAATTTTTCGACGCGCTGCCGATCCGGCAATTCGTCAAGACGGCCAATGGCTGGCGCGAACGCATGGTCGGGCTCTGCAACGACAGCGCCCTCACCTTCACCGCCGGCGCCTCCGTGCTTCCGGACGGCGAACGCCCGCCCGGTCATGCCGATGCGCCGGACGGGTCCGTCTTCGAGATCGCGCCGGCGCGCGAGGCCGCCGCAGCCACGATCGGCGCACATCTCGCCGCGCATGGCGGGCTGGCCGTGCTGATCGACTACGGCCATCTTCAGACCGGCATTGGCGACACGTTCCAGGCGATGCGCGGCCATGACTTTGCCGACCCGCTCGCCGAACCGGGCCTTGCCGACCTGACCAGCCATGTCGACTTCGAGGCGCTCGCTCGTGCCGCCGCTTCCGAAGGCGCGCGTGCCCTGCCGGCGATGACGCAAGGCGCGTTCCTGCTCGGCGGCGGCATCGTCGAACGGGCCGGCGCGCTTGGCGCCGGCAAGGATGCGGCGGCGCAAGATGCGATCCGCGCCGCCGTTACCCGCCTATGCGGTGATGGCGACGGCCAGATGGGGGCCCTCTTCAAGGTTTTGGGCCTGACCGGACCCGGCCTTGAAGGTCCCGTCCCGCCCTTTCAAGCCGGTTGACAGCGCGGTGCCCATCCCACACCGTCGCCCCGCCATGAACAGGTCATGCACGCATGAATGAGCACGGACCGCCGCCGCTTCAACCGGTGATTTCCAAAGCGTTCGGCGATGGCCGCACGATCCGGCACGGCTTTTTCACGCGTGCCGGCGGCGTTTCCGAAGGCCTTCATGCCGGGCTCAATGTCGGGCTGGGCTCGGCGGACGATCAGGACCATGTGCACGAAAACCGCCGCCGCATCGCCGGCTGGTTCGGCGTCGGAGAAATCGCCCTCAGCGGCTGCCATCAGGTCCATTCCGCCGATGTCGTCACCATCGACGCGCCGATCCCGCTGGACGGCCGCCCCAAGGCCGATGCGCTGGTCACCGCAACGCCGTCCATCCCGCTCGGGGTCCTGACCGCCGATTGCGCGCCGGTCCTGTTCGCCGACCCGGACGCGCCGGTCGTCGGCGCCGCCCATGCCGGCTGGAAGGGCGCGCTGACCGGCGTTCTTGAAAATACCGTCGATGCGATGGTCGCCCTGGGCGCCGAAAGGGCGCGCATCGCCGCCATCGTCGGCCCGTCGATCAGCCAGCCCAACTATGAGGTCGGGCCGGAGTTCGCCGAGCGCTTCATGACCGCCCATCCGGACAATGCCGGCTGGTTCCGGCCAAGCGGCCGACCGGGCCATCATCTGTTCGACCTTGCCGGCTATTGCGTTGCCCGGCTTCAGGGGGCCGGCGTCACCGCCTCGGCCACCGGCGAATGCACCTATGCCGACGAGGCACGCTTTTTCTCCTACCGCCGCACCACCCATCGCGGCGAGCCCGATTATGGCCGGCAGATGTCGGCCATCATGATCGTCTGACGCCCACCACCGAGGAGAGTGCCGATGGCCCTGCATTTCGACGATGACGAGTTCGCCGCGCGAAAAGGGCGTCTTCTGGCTGCCATGGCCGAGGACAAGCTCGACGCGATGCTGCTCTTCGCCCAGGAGAGCATGTACTGGCTGACCGGCTACGACACGTTCGGTTTTTGCTTCTTCCAGTGCATGATCGTCGAAAAGAACGGCGATGTGGCGCTTCTGACCCGCTCGGCCGACCTGCGGCAGGCGCGCCACACCTCCAATGTGGAGACGATCGTCGTCTGGGAGGACCGCAGCCATGCCAACCCGGCCAAGGATCTCAAGGAGCTTCTCGCCGACCGCGATCTGGTCGGCGCCCGTATCGGCGTCGAATATGACAGCGCCGGGCTGAACGCCCATTACGGCCGGCTGCTGGACGACCAGTTGGCAAGCTTTGCCGACATGCGCGACGCCTCGCGCCTGGTGTCCCGTCTTCGCGCGGTCAAGAGCGCCGCCGAGATCGCCTGCGTGCGCAAGGCCGCCGAACTGGCCGACGACGCTTTCGACGCGGCGATGAAGAAGGTGCGCGCGGGCGCCGACGAGGCGGCGATCCTGGCCGCGTTGCAGGGGCATATCCTTGCCAAGGGCGGCGACTATCCGGGCAACGAGTTCATCATCGGCTCCGGCCGCGACGCGCTGTTGTGCCGCTACAAGTCCGGCCGGCGCACGCTCGACGAAAACGACCAGCTGACCCTGGAGTGGGCCGGCGCCTGGCGCCGCTACCATGCCGCGCTGATGCGCACGGTGATCATCGGCAAGCCCACCGACCGCCATGTCGAGATGCACGCCGCCGCGTCCGCTGCGCTCGAGGCCGTCGAGGGCGCGATGCGCCCAGGCAGCACGTTCGGCGACGTGTTCGACGCCCATGCCCATGCGCTCGAGGATGCCGGCATGACCCGCCACCGGCTGAACGCCTGCGGCTATTCGCTGGGCGCCCACTTCACGCCGTGCTGGATGGACCGGCCGATGTTCTATGCGGGGAACCCTGAAACGGTGGCCGAAAACATGACGCTTTTCGCGCACATGATCATCATGGATTCCGATAGCGGCACCGCCATGACGCTGGGCCGCACCTATCTGACCACCGAAGGGGCGCCCGAGCCGCTGTCGCGGCTGGGCCTTGATTTGACCGTCGCATGAGGTAAAGGCTCTGTAACAAAGGGTGAAAGGTCCATGCAGACACAGCGCACCGTTGCGACCGGTCGAAATGCGCCAGCCCGCCTGGCCGCTTTGGCGACCCTTCTTGTACTGACACTTGCCGCAGCCGCCTGCACGACGCCCGACGATGGCTCCAACACCGTCGAAAACGCGCTCAGTGTCGAGAGCACGCCCGGCGCCGCGGTCGCCGTCGATCCGAACGCGGCCACGACCACCGGTGAAGCGCTGATCTCCGGCTCCGAGACTGCCGCCGCGCCGCAGGCCTTTGCGGCCAACGCCGCGCGCGTGCACTTTGCGCCGATCGTCGGCGCGCCGGTGGACCGCGTCGCCGCCCTGTCGCGCCGCCTGTCGGCATCGGGCGCCCGGAACAACATCAGCATCCTGCCGTCGGCGTCCTCGGGCGTCGATCACGAAATTCGCGGCTACTTCTCCGCCCTGTCCGAAAACGGGCAGACGACGGTGATCCATGTCTGGGACGTGTTCACCCCGTCGGGCCAGCGCGTCCACCGCATCCAGGGCCAGGAACTGGTGCCAGGCACCAATGCCGATCCGTGGCAGGCCGTGCCCGCATCGGCGATGGAGCGCATCGCCGACACGATGCTGTCGGACTACAATGCCTGGCGCGGACGGGCCGCCTGAACGGCGTTTGCGTTGCCGGTTTCGGCGCCTGCGGCAATTGCGCCGTGTGAAACATTGATGACAGCTTGCAATAGCCCCCGTGACCGCTAAAAGGCGGGCCAACCGATACGGCGAACGCGGGGCGGCCCATGAAACTCTTTGCTGGCAATTCCAACCGGCAATTGGCCGATTCGGTCGCCAAATATCTCGGCATGAGCGTCGGGCGCGCCAATGTGCGCCGTTTCGCCGATGACGAGATCTTCGTCGAGCTGCAGGAGAATGTGCGCGGCGAGGATGTCTTCATCCTGCAGTCGACCTCGCGTCCGGCCAACGATCACCTGATGGAAATGCTGATCATGATCGACGCGTTCCGGCGATCGTCGGCGCGGCGGGTCACGGCGGTGCTGCCCTATTTCGGCTATGCGCGGCAGGACCGGCGGGCACAGGGACGCACCCCTATCTCGGCCAAGCTGGTTGCCAACCTGATCACCGAGGCCGGCGCCAACCGCGTTCTGACGCTCGACCTGCACGCCGGCCAGATCCAGGGCTTCTTCGATATTCCGACCGACAATCTCTACGCCGTGCCGGTGATGGCGCGCGACATTCGCATGCACCACAAGGACATGTCGTCGGTCATGGTGGTCTCGCCCGATGTCGGCGGCGTGGTGCGGGCGCGCGCGCTCGCCAAGCGGCTCGACGATTCGCTTCTCGCCATCGTCGACAAGCGGCGCGAGCGGCCCGGCGAATCCGAGGTGATGAACGTGATCGGCGACGTGACCGGCAAGGACTGTTTCCTGATCGACGACATCGTCGATTCCGGCGGCACGCTGTGCAACGCCGCCGACGCCATTCTTTCCAAGGGCGCCAAGAGCGTGACCGCCTATATCACCCATGGCGTCCTGTCGGGCGGAGCCGTCGCGCGGATCGAGGCGTCGGCGCTGACCGAACTGGTCACCACCGATTCCATCCAGCCGACCCCCGAGGTCAACGCGGCCAAGAAGATCCGTGTCATGTCGATCACCGACCTTATCGGCGAAGCCATCGCCCGCACCGCGCACGAGCAATCGGTGTCCAGCCTGTTCGACTGATCAGACCATCATCGTCGCCAAGACGCCGGCCACCGCCGCCGCGCCGAGGACGGCAAACAGGCCAAGCTTGAAGCGGATCAGCGCGACCGCCGCCGCGATCCCGATCGCCGCGGCCACCCGGTCGAAGCCGGCCCAGTCGATGTCCGGCACGAAGAACGGTCCCGTGCGGACATTTTCGAACGCGCCGAACAGCACATTGAGGCCGAACCAGACCGCCAGATTGGCGATGACGCCGACGACGGCCGCCGTGATCGCCGCGAGCGACGCGGCCAGCCAGCGCACATTGCGCAGCGCCTCGACATAGGGCGCGCCGGCGAAGATCCACAAGAAGCAGGGCACAAAGGTGAAGAAGGCGGCGACCAGCCCGCCCAGCAATCCGCCGACAAGCGGCTCCATGCCTCCGAGCGACGCGCCGCCGACAAAGCCGACAAAGACCAGCACCAGAACCAGCGGTCCGAGCGTGGTTTCGGCAAGGCCCAGTCCCGCCAGCATCTCGCCGGGCGTCAGCCAGCCATGGAGGTCGACCGCCTGCTGGCCGACATAGGCGAGCACCGCATAAGCCCCGCCAAAGGTGACGATGGCGGTCTGCGAGAAGAACAGCGCCGCATCGACAAACACGTCGCCCCGCCCGAGAAGCACCAGCAGCGCAGCGAGCGGCACCAGCCATATCGCCAGCCACAGCACGGTGGTGCGGGCCACTGCGCCATGGTCCTGTCCGCGCACGGTGATGCTTGATGCGTGCGGTTCATCGCTGCCCTTTGCGGCAGGCAGCAGATGCGGCGCAGCCAAGTGCAGCAGCGCGCCGGTCAGCGCGGCCAGCGCGATGATCAGCGGGAACGGCAGCCGCAGCAGCGCGATGCCGACGAACGCCGCAATCGCGATGACGATCATCGCCGCCGAGCCGAGCGCCCGCCTCGACACCTTGATCAGTGCCTGGACGACGACGGCGAGAACCGCTGCCTTCAGCCCGTACAAAAGCCCGGCCACCACCGGGACGTCGCCGGCGACGACGAACACCGCAGACAGGGCGAGCATCATCACAAGTCCCGGCGCGATGAACAACAGACCCGCGATCAGACCGCCGCGAACGCCATGCATCAGCCAGCCCGCATAGGTGGCAAGCTGCATCGCCTCGGGCCCGGGCAGCAGCATGCAGAAATTGAGCGCGTGGAGGAACTGCTTTTCGGTCAGCCAGCCCTTTTCCTCGACAAGGATGCGATGCATCACCGCGATCTGCGCCGCCGGCCCGCCGAACGACAACAGTCCGATCCGGGCAAAGGCGCGGGTCGCCTCGGCCGGCGGCACGTCGAGCGGGGCATGGGGGTTGGAGATGTCTGTCATTGCGGGTCCGGCGCGCGTGCTGTGCCCGGCTCATGTGACAAACAGATGTCGGCCGTCAATCACCAGTCGATCGGCTTGCCGTCGCGGAAAAAGCCCCCCGTCGGCCCGTCATCGGGCAGCGTCGCCGCCCAGACGATGCCGCGCGCGCCGTCGGGCACCGGGCGCCCGCCGCCGCCCATGTCGGTCGCCGTCCACCCCGGACAGACCGCGTTGACCAGGATGCCGTCGCGCCGGAACTCGCTGGCCATCATGCGCGTCAGGCCGTTCAGGCCCAGCTTCGACAGCGAATAGGCCGGCGTCGTCCCGGTCATCGACGACCAGGCGCCCGATTCCGAGGACACGTTGACGATGCGCGGCGCCTCCGAGCGCCTGAGCAGCGGCAGCGCCGCCACCGCCATCCGCCAGGCGCCGACCGTGTTGACCGCCAGCGCCTCCTCGACGATGGCGAAGTCCGGCGCCCCGACGCGCTGGTGCGTGTCGTAATGGACCGCCGCATTGTTGATCAGGACATCGAGTTGGCCGGCCGAATGCCAGATGGTATCGGCGGCCGCCTCGATCGTTTCGGGCGCGCGCATGTCCAGTTCGACGAAATCGGCGGCGATGCCGGCACCGCGCAACAAAGCCTCGGCGCGCCGGCCCGCTTCCGGATTGCGGACGCCAGCAAGCACATGGAAGCCCTTCTCGCCAAGCTGGTGCGCCGCCTCCAGCCCCAGCCCGCGGTTGGCTCCCGTGATCAGCACAGTCTTCATTATCTCTCCCCGGCCGTCATCATGACCGAAGCTTAACTTGCACCTCGGCGCCACTGCCGCCATGCTTTTCTTGGGATGATGCCTCTCGCAAAAGGGTTTCGCCATGAAGAAATTTTGCATCACCACAATGGCCGTCATCGCTGCATCGGCAACCGCTGCAACGGCGCTTGCCCATGACAATCATGTCTCCATCGAACAGACCGGCGACCAGATCTGCATCACGTCGAACGGACTGCCGAACCATGCGACCGGCACATTCCCCAATCGCGGCAACCCGCATTCCATCTCCGAACAGCGCCTGCGCCATTGCGTCAGCGCCAATCCGGTCAAGGGCAGCCGCAAGACCGACATTACCCGCGGGCCGGTCGGCATCGGGCTGAACGGCATCCTGTTCCGCCCCGAAACGGCGGACTATTACGATCCGTCCTCGCCGCGCGGCTTCTCGCGCGACCGCTCGTCGGGCTGGAACCTTGAGGGCATGGGCGCCGCGGAGTTGCTCGGCATGGACCAGCACAACGCTCATGTCGACAATCGCGGCATCTACCACTATCACGGCAAGCCCGAAGGCTTGGTCGCCTCGGTCTCCAGCACCCATATCGGCTATGCCGCCGACGGCCACGAGATCCACTATGTCGGCTCCGCCGCGCAATCCGGCTGGACGCTGAAGTCGGGCACCCGGCAGGGCGGCCCGGGCGGGCGCCACGACGGCACCTATGTGGAAGACTGGGAATATGCCGGCGCCGGCAATCTCGATGAGTGCAATGGCGGCACGCTGGATGGCCGGTATGTCTATTTCGCCACCGACACCTTCCCGTTCTACCCGCGCTGCTTCTGGGGCGATGTGAGCAGCGACTTCCGGTAGCGATGACGCCGACCGGTAACGGCGAACCTGACCCGCTAGAGCCGGCCCGCCAAACGACGCATCAGGTCCATCCGCTCGTGAAACAGTGCGATGATGATGGCCTCATCATCGCCTCTCAAGAAGAAGATGACATGGTGCTGGCATCGATGGGAATGAACCCCCTCAGCGCCAGGCACAACCCGGCCCGGCGCATTACCGGCAGAAATCCTGGCACAGCAATCAAACAATGCCTCGACATACCGGTCGGCTTGGCCTTCGCCCCAGGCTTCTTCCGTGTACAACCAGATGTCCGCCAAATCTTCACGTGCGCCGGGCGTGAAGAGATAGCCTGCCATGTCAGGCTCTACGGCGCGCCTTGGCCCGGCTTTTGACATCGGAAAGCGTCACGCCGACGGCCTCTCCGGCATCCGCTTCCGCGATTCTGGGCGCAAGAAGCTGCTTGAGCGCGCCGAGTGCCTCCTCGTCCGTCATTGTCTCGGCATCCGGCATATCCACAAGCGCGCGCGAAAGGACATAGTCCTTGATTGACTGCCCCTTCAGGGCCGCCATGGCCTTCAGTTGCTGATGCTGGCGTTGATCGAGTTCGATCGACAATCGCGGCATTATGCTCTCCAACGTTGGCGGCACACTAGCTGCAAACGCCAACGGCGACAACAATTGTTGTCAATGGGGTGGGCCAACCACTGCTCATTGCACCGGAAGCGGCCGATACAAGTCGCTCGTCACGCCGAAATAGGAATCCCAGGCGAACCAGTAGGCCATGTGCCCGGCCACACGGTCGAGCCGCGTACCGTCGGGGCCGACAAGCGCGGTCTCGGTGATCCGCCAGGGTTCGCCGTCGCGCGTTAGCGTATCGGTCGACGCGCCCTGTTCAAATTCCCGGTCGCCGCGCTCATAGGCCCGCACGGTGCCGACATCGGCATCGCCGATCAGTACCAGCGCCCGGTCGCCGATCGCGTCGTTGATCACCGGCTCGGCGGCGAAGGCGGCGATCGGCCAGGCCTTCTGGATGCCGACATCGCGCACGCCGAACACCCGGTCCTTGCGCGCAACCACGCTCTCGTCGCGCACATTGACGGGAAACATGAGGTCGGGGCTGGCGAAATAGTCCGCATAGGCCGCGCCCTCGCCATAGTCGCGCAGATGGCCCGTGTTCGGCGACAGGACCGTCGTGTCCGGATGTCTGGCGAGCCATTCGCCCCATGTGGTCAGCACGATCGGCCGCACCTTCAGCCGCAGCCCCGAGAAGGCGACTGGCCCGGTGACCGGCTCGCCGGAAAACTGGTTCCACAGGCTGTCGGTCTGCCGGTCGTACATCAGCTTGTTGGACCGGTAGAGAAGGCCCGACGTGCCGAAGGTGAAGGGCTCGTCGAACCCGTCGACATCGGTCTCGTACAATATGCCCGCGCCGCACAGCGTGCAGAAGGCCAGCGAGACCGGCACACCGCCGATGATCGCATTTGCCATTTCGTGCCAGGCGAGGATGCGCAGAGGATAGGCCCGCGTGTCACCATTGATCGACACGCCGAAAACCAGATTGCCGTCGGCCATGAAGGTGGCGTTCTCCGGCAGCCACATGATCGGATCGTCCAGCGTCGGAATGTCGCCGATCATCACGCCGCCCCAGACGATCTCGTCGAGCCGGATGCGCATCTTGTCCGGCATCGACCGCTCACCGCCGAGAAAGCGCATGAAACGGGCGTCGCGGCGCATGAAGACGCGCAGCCGGATCTCGCGCGCCACCGGATGGGCCCTGACCTGCGGATTGCGCTCCTGCCAGAGCATCGCATCGCGCCAATTGTTGATCGGCTCGCCGGCCAGCTGCGTGAGCGCGATCCGCACCTCGTCGTCGATCACCACATGGCGCATGCCGACGATCAGCGCCGCGATTGCGTCCTTTGCGTCGCGTTCGACCAGAGCTTCGAGCGCGGCATGCCGTTCCGCCTTCCAGCCGAAGACGGCCGTGCGGATCAGTTCGGCATGGGCGGCATCGTCCTCCGACACGGGTTCATGGAAGACAGGCACATCCATCGGGTCGTCCGCATAGGCGGGCAGCAGCGTCAGGCCAAGAACGACAATCAGCGAAACGGAAACGAGGGTGATGAAACGCGGCATGGTCGGCTCCGGAACGGAACGCCAGACTAGCCGCGCCCCGGCGGTCCCGGTAGCGCCGGTCACCGGCTTGTGTTCAGACGTGAAGGGCACCGGCCACCGGCGCTTGCGCGCGCGGGCCTTTTCCGTTATGGCACCGCCACCCGCGCGGACACCCTTGGAGGCAGCGCGGCGGGCCGCGCAGCGGCCGGAGCGATGCTCCACCTCTCCTATGCCCTCGAAAGGACAATGCCATGAGCGACAGCTACGTGCTCACGGCCGAGGCGCGCGACCGGGTCGGTAAGGGGTCCGCCCGGGCCATTCGGCGCCAAGGCAAAATTCCAGCCGTGATCTACGGCGACAGCAAGCCCCCCATGACGGTGACCCTGCCGCGCAAGGACGTCTTCATGCATATGCAGGCCGGCGGTTTCATGACCACGGTCGGCGAAATCGATGTCGACGGCACCAGGCACAAGGTGCTCGCCAAGGACTACCAGCTCGATCCGGTCAAGGATGTCGTGCTGCATGTCGACTTCCTGCGCATCTCGGCCAAGACGACCGTGACGGTCAACATTCCGGTGCACTTCGAGAACGAGGACATCTGCCCGGGCATCAAGCAGGGCGGCGTCTTGAACATCGTGCGCCACGATGTCGAAGTGAACTGCCCGGCCGACTCCATCCCCGAGGCGTTCACGCTGGATCTGGCCACCGCCGAGGTGGGCGACGCGCTGAAGATTTCGTCGATCACGCTGCCCAAGGGCGTCGAGCCGACCATCACCGACCGTGACTTCACGATCGCGACGATCGCGGCCCCCGGCGGCGGCGTTCAGGATGATGATGAGGCCGAGGCCGAAGTGGCGCCCGACGAGGTGGAAGCCACCGAGCAAAAGGCCGAAGGCGAAGAGGACAAGGGCGAGGAGTAAGCCCTGGTCCGGACATGCGGAGCGGCCGGCATGCAGATCATCGCAGGTCTTGGCAATCCCGGCCCCCGCTACGCCGAAAACCGGCACAATATCGGCTTCATGGCGGCGGACGCGATCGTTCGCCGCCATTCTTCGTTCGGCCCCTGGCAGAAGAAGTGGAACGCCGAGATCGCCGAGGGCCGGATCGGCAGCGAAAAGGTCCTCGTCATCAAGCCGCAGACCTTCATGAACCTTTCCGGTCAGGCGGTCGGCGAGGCGATGCGCTTCTACAAGCTCGGCCCGGAGGACCTCACCGTCCTTTACGATGAACTCGACCTGGCGCCCGGCAAGGTGCGCATCAAGCGCGGCGGCGGCTCGGGCGGCCACAATGGCATCAAGTCGCTCGACGCCCATTGCGGCAAGGATTATCGCCGCGTGCGCCTGGGCATCGGCCATCCGGGCGACAAGGCCCGGGTGCAGGCCCATGTATTGGGCGATTTCGCCAAGGCCGACCAGCAATGGCTGGAGCCGCTGCTCGACGCGCTCGCCGACAATGTCGACCTGCTCGTCGCCGGCAACGAATCGGGCTTCATGAACAGGCTGGCGCTGGCCGTCGGCGACAAGGCGAAAGGCGCGGTCGGCGCCCCCGCCCCAAAGGCGCCCTCCGCCAAGGATCAGTCGGGCAAATCACCGCCCAAGCCCGCACCCAAACCCCAGAGCCACATCCGCCAGGCGCGGCAATCAACGCCGGACGCCAAGCCGACCGGGCCGATGGCGGAGATGCTCAAGAAGCTGTTGGGGAAGTAGGCGCGGCGGATGGCAGCTCTGCGGAGATGGTGTTGACAAAGGCCGCTTGATCACCACTTCGGTGGCTGATTCAGTTTCCCAAGTGATTTGGGAGATTGCCGACGATGATGGGCCCGCGGAAGGAACCACAAGCAGCGCTGTTTTATGAGTTCAGCCTGGATCGGCATGTTCCGGCAGATCATGTGCTGCGCCGGATTGACCGATTTGTGGACCTCTCCGACATCCGCTCAGTTCTAGCACCCTACTACAGTTCCACCGGCCGCCCTTCGATTGATCCCGAACTGATGATCCGCATGTTGCTGGTTGGCTACTGCATGGGCATCCGGTCCGAGCGGCGCCTGTGCGAAGAGGTCCATTTGAACCTCGCCTATCGTTGGTTCTGTCGGATGGATTTGAACGATGCGGTCCCCGATCACTCGACCTTTTCCAAGAACCGGCATGGCCGCTTTCGTGAGAGCGATCTGTTCCGGCATCTGTTCAACACCGTGCTGACACGCTGTATCGCCGAAGGGTTGGTCGGCGGCGAAGACTTCGGTGTCGATGCGTCGCTCATCAAGGCCGACGCGAGCCGCTATACCAAGGTGGAGATGGCGGACTGGTCCGTGCCTGAACAGGTCTCACGGGCCACGCAGGAGTATCTCGACACGCTGGATGATGCTGCCTTTGGCGGTTCGACGCCCGTGCAGCCCAAGGCCATCTCTCCGGCTGACCCGGCAGCGCGTTACACCGGCGCCAATGGTGACAGGCCGTTCTTTGCCTACTCCACCAACTATCTGGTCGATCTGGACAATGCCGTCATCGTCGATGTCGATGCGACCGCTCCGATCCGGCAGGCCGAGGTCGAGATCACCAAGGATATGATCTTGCGAACCAGAGATCGGTTCGGTCTCTATCCTGAGAAGCTGGTGGCCGACACGGCCTATGGCTCAGCGCCGATGCTGGGCTGGCTTGTCGAGGAGGAAGGGATCGAGCCGTACATCCCGGTGATCGACAAGTCCGAACGCAAGGACGGCACCTTCTCGCGCGACGACTTTGCCTATGACCACGAGAATGACAGCTACACTTGTCCCGGCGGCAAACAGCTCGTGCAGTTCCGGCGCCCCTACAAAACACCGCGTTCTGGCGTCGATAAGGAAGGTTTGATGCGCTACCGCGCCAGCAAAAAGGACTGCGATGTCTGCTCGCTGAAACAGCGATGCTGCCCCAAGGAGCCAGCGCGCAAGATCTTGCGTTCCATCCACGAGGGCGCACGCAACATGGCTCGCGACATCACCAAGACCGACGCCTATGTGACCGCCAGCTATGCCCGAAAGAAGGTCGAGATGCTGTTCGCCCACCTCAAACGCATCATCGGCCTCGACCGCCTACGCCTCAGAGGACCAAACGGCGCCAGAGATGAGTTCATCCTGGCGGCAACAGTCCAAAATCTCCGCAAGCTCGCAAAGCTGGTCCCAAACCCAGCGTGAGAGCAAGAACACCCGAACTCACCGACACGATCAGAAATCGAGAAAGGCGACTTTTTCAACGGTATCCGGACAAACCTGCTATTTGATAGAGGTCCGCTTTCAGTCCAAGACCTAAAGTTCGACCAACCGCTCTTCGACCGGTGACGACTGAACGATAGACGAGTTTGTCGCGCCGAAAGGCAAGATCCGGTCGATCACGGCCTCCATCTCGGCGACATCGCGGACATGCGCCCGCGCAACGAAGCAATCCTCGCCGGACACACGATCACAAGCGACAATCTGCGGCGTCTTCTGGATCGCCTCGATCATGTTCTTCATCTCGCCGGGTAGCGGGCGCGCGCGTATCAGGATCGTCAAGCCGTAGCCAAGGCGAGCCGGGTCAATGCGCGCGCCGTAGCCTGTGATGATGCCCACATCCTCAAGACGCCGCACGCGGTCCGCCACGCTTGGGGCGGACAAACCAACGCGGCGGGACAATTCGGCACGGGGAATGCGGGCATCCGCGCAAAGCTCGCGCAGAATCGCGGCGTCGATGCTGTCGAGACCGGCCTCTTCGGATCGAAGGTTTTCAGATGCCTTTTCCTTCTTTCTTGATTGCAATTCGGTTGGCGACATAGCCAATCTCCATATCATAATCTGTTTCTACCTTGCATTATAGATGCATGACAGATCAAGCCCCCGCAAACCCCGCCCCCGCAAACGCCCCCGGAGCCATGTCGCGCATGTCCGAGGCCGTTCCCCCTCAAGCATGGTTCGGCGTCTCGGCCGTTTTCCACTATCTTGGCCCGGCTTTCGCGGTTCTGCTCTTTCCGGTCGTTGGTGTGCTTGGCGTTGCCTGGTTCCGCATCGCGTCAGCCGCACTGGTTTTCGCACCGATCACGAAGCCCTGGCGCACGTTCAAGGAATCGTCTCCCCGCGAGCGCCTGCTTCTACTCGCGCTTGGGGGCTGTCTTGCCGTGATGAACAGTTCCTTCTACTTGGCGCTCGACCGGCTGCCGATCTCGCTGGTCGCCGCCATCGAGTTCGTCGGCACCATCGGGATTGCCCTGTGGGGCCTCCGCACCGGGCGCAACTATCTGGCCTTCGCCTTCGCCATCATCGGTGTGGCCCTCCTTATCGACGTGCCGTCGCTCTTGGCTGCCGATGGACCTGCCCTAACGTCTGACCTTCTGGGGCTGTTCTGGGCGGTGCTGAACGGGTCCCTGTTCGTCCTCTACATCATCCTTGGCCACAAGATTTCCGAAGGTGGTGCCTCGGGCGGTGTGGAGCGTCTCGGCGCTGCCATGACAGCGGCATTCATCTTCGTGATGCCCATCGGCTTCCTGCAAGCTCTCGACGCCTTCGGTGCGCCACTTCTGGTTCTGGCGGGGATTGCCGTAGGCATCTGTTCTTCAGTCATCCCCTATGTCTGCGATCAACTCGCGATGGCCCGTCTGCCTCGCGCCAGCTTCGCGTTCCTGCTCGCTCTTCTTCCTGCGACCGCCACAATCATCGGCGTCATCGTCCTTCGTCAGATTCCGAGCGCCGTGGATGTCCTGGGCGTGGTCCTCGTCATGATCGGGGTGGCCGTCCACAAGCCCGCACCGTTGCCGGTCCCGGCGGCGAACGGTGACTGAAACCGGTCGTTCGCCGCACCCTGACGAATGTGCAAGATAGGCTCAAAGCCGCCATTCAGCGAAAAACTTATCCAACCGCCCCCACCCTCACCCATACTCCCTCCACCGCGCCCTTCGGAACGTCGGATGGCCACCACCAACGGCGGGCGCGGCGGTGGACCGGTTGGGTGAGGAGTGGTCGACCCTTGGTCGGCCGGAAGCCAACGATTTGGCTTTCGGAACGACGAACGCCCGAAGCGCAAGCGGAGGGCCGGGGTCACACATGGTAGCCTCACCTGGGCGATGAGCCCCCAAGCCGGTGCGGAATGAAGATGTGCGGTGTCCGTCCGCGCCTGTCCCCGGCCAGACCCGGCCGGCGGTCAGGACCGGACGGGGCCAAAGGATGGTTTGATCGCGTCGCGGGTCTGCGGCGGATGGAACCGGTCCAAAGGTCACGGCAGGGCGCGAGCCTCGCGCCGGCGCCGCACATGACGATCACCGCAAGCCCACCGGACGGGCGGTTTGGCGACCGCATATACAAACTACGGATCGCGGCTCTCCAAACCGCCCGTTGTTCTGTTTCGGCAGCAAGCTCTCGACTTCGAAAGAAAGTGCGGCGTCGATCATGCACGCCCGCCTCCCCCTTGAGGGGGTGAGCCTGCGAACGGCGATTGGTCCAGCGAAGCCGGGCCAGAGCGGGTGGGGGTGGCAAATAAGCGCGAGGTGAGCCACGACCCCCACCCGGCTCTGTCTCGTTTACACTCGCCACTCGCCGACCTCCCCTCAAGGGGGAGGTGGGTCGGCTCGTACATCGCACGTCCCGCACCCCTTGACCCCTCACCCCGCTTGCCCGAAAAGCCGGGCGACAGATGCGAAGGACCAATCCCCATGGGTTTCAAATGCGGCATTGTCGGCCTGCCCAATGTCGGCAAGTCGACCCTCTTCAATGCGCTGACCAAGACCGCCGCCGCCCAGGCGGCCAACTATCCGTTCTGCACCATCGAGCCCAACACCGGCGAAGTGGCCGTGCCCGACCCGCGCCTGGCGCAGATCGCGCAGATCGCCCGGTCGAAGGAAATCGTGCCGACGCGCATTTCCTTTGTCGACATTGCCGGCCTGGTGCGCGGTGCGTCCAAGGGCGAAGGGCTCGGCAACCAGTTCCTCGCCAACATTCGCGAGGTGGACGCGATCGTCCATGTGCTGCGCTGCTTCGAGGACGACGACGTCACCCATGTCGAGGGCCGCATCGATCCGGTCGCCGACGCCGAGACGGTCGAGACCGAACTGATGCTGTCGGACCTTGAGAGCCTCGAACGCCGCATCGCCGGGGTGCGCAAGAAGGCGACCGGCAAGGACAAGGAGGCGCTCACCGTGTTGCCGATGATGGAACAGGCGCTGGCGCTGCTGCAGGATTCAAAGCCCGTGCGGCTTTTGCTCGATGGCATCGCCGCCGAAGACCTCGCCATCCTCAAGGGGCTGAACCTTCTGACCTCCAAGCCCGTCCTTTACGTCTGCAACGTCGCCGAGGACGAGGCCGCGACCGGCAACGCGCATGCCGAGGCCGTCGCCGCCATGGCCGCCGAACAGGGCGCGTCCACCGTCACCATCTCCGCGGCGATCGAGGCGGAAATCGCGCAGCTGGATGCGGACGAGGCGCGCGAGTTTCTCGACACGCTCGGCCTTGAGGAAGCCGGTCTCGACCGGCTGATCCGCGAGGGCTACGCGCTGCTCGACCTGATCACCTTCTTTACCGCCGGACCGAAGGAATCGCGTGCCTGGACGGTCAGGAAGGGATCGCGCGCGCCGCAGGCCGCCGGCGAGATCCACACCGACTTCGAAAAGGGCTTCATCCGCGCCCAAACCATCGCCTTCGACGACTATGTCGGCCTTGGCGGGGAAAACGCGGCCAAGGAAGCCGGCAAGGCGCGCGACGAGGGCAAGGACTATGTGGTGCAGGATGGCGACGTGATGCTGTTCAAGTTCAACGTCTGAGCTGCGCTCAAGGCGCCGCCACCGGGCCCTGCAATCGTCCGCAACCGCGTCACGCCGCCTTGTCGCCGCGCGTGTTGATGCCGAGCAGTGAATAGAGCGCGCACCGCGACATGATGCCGGTCGCAAGCATCACGACGCCGACCAGCGCGACAATCCAGCCCCACGCACCCAGTTCGACGAAGAAGAACAGGGCCAAAAGAACGGCACCCGCCACAATGCGGATCATGCGGTCGGTGCTGCCAACATTTACGTCAAACATCTTTGCCTCCAATGTCATTGACCGGATCATTCCGGTCCTGAAGATCAAGGATACACGGAAACGCCGACGAATGTCTGTGACCATGTCACCAAGAAGCGATGCGGCCGGTCATGTACCCGCGATCGCCGCCAGCCGTGCGCGGTCGCGGATCAGGATCTCCTTGCGCCCGCCTTCCACGATGCCCTCGTCGGACAGCTTCTCGACATGGCGGGACACGACCTCGCGGGCGCTGCCGATCGCCGTCGCGATCTCCGCGTGGGATGCCGCGGCCCTGCCGCCATCATCGGCATTGTCGAGCAGCCAGCGTGCCAGCCGGATTTCGATCTTCTGGAAGGCCACCATCTCCAACAGCGCCGTCATCTCGCCGATCCGCTCGGCAAAAGCGCGAAAGACGAACTGCCGGAACCGGTCGGACCCGTCCATCAGCTCGCGAAAGGCCTTGAACGGCACAATCGCGGCGACGACATCGGTGTCGGCAATCGCCTCGCCCGAATAGGGCTGGGCGCCGAGCAGTGCCAGCGTCGTCATCAGGCAGGTCTCTCCCGGCTCGATGGAATAAAGGCGCAGCTCGCGGCCTGTCCGGCTGTTGAGATAGACGTTGATCCGGCCGGACAGGACCAGGGCAAAGCCGCCGGGCGCTTCGCCGGGCCGGAACAAGATCGTGCCCTTGGGCACCAACCCGGGCGTCAGCCGGCCCAAGGCCTCCCTGGTCGGCGCATCGAAGGCGGTTTCGAGTACGGTTCCCTTGAGCCAGTCAACGGCCATCGGAGGTTGCTCCTTCGCCTGTTATGCGGACCACACCCGACGACAGGGCGAGGCCCGACAAAATCAGCGCTCCGCCGGCAAAGACGGCGAAACCGGGCCGTTCGCCCAGGAACACGATACTCGCCACCACCGAAACCGCCGGCATCAGCATGACGAAGGGTGTCACCTGCGACACCGGATTGCGGCGCATCAGGTCGAACCAGATCACATAGGCCAGAGCAAAGGCAACCAGCGCGATGAATGCCAGGCCGGCCCAGGCGGCGGGCGAGCCCGTGGTCAGCGCGGTCCACTGGCCGTCCTCGAAAAGAAGGGTGAACAGGATGAGCTGTGCCGCGCCGTGCAGGGCCACACGCTTGAGCAGGACCGCGCCATCGTCGCGGCCGAGCTTGGCGATCAGGGCCTGGCCCAACCCCCAGACCGCCCCGCCGGCGATCATCAGCGCAACGAAGCCTGGCGCCGGACGGTCCGCGGGAAGGCCGGCAATGATCATCACGCCGCAAAGGGCGATCACGAACGCGACAAGCTTGGAGGGCTGGAACGGCTCGGTGCGCAGCAGCCATGCCCACAGCACCGCCAGCGGCACCTGGAACTGGGCTATGATCACGCCCGTGGAGGCTTCGAGGCCGGACAGTGCCGTGAAGATCAGCGCGGCCTGTCCCGAAACCGCGAAAAGCGCGATGCAGGCCGCCGCCAGATGCCCGGTGGCCGGCCTTCGCCGCTCAAAGGCCATCAACAGCAGCGCGGTGGCCGTGAAGCTGACCGCCATGATCAGGATCGGCGGGAACTGCGCCATCGTGGGCTTGAGGACGGTGAACCCCAGCCCCCACATGGAGACGACGAAAACGGCCAGCGCGATGTCGCGTGGCGACACGGGTTCAGTCGCCCTCGAATTCGATCAGCGTGCGCACCGGAACGCCCAGCGCCTCGATCTTGGCGCGGCCGCCCAGATCGGGCAGATCGATCACGAAACAGGCCGCAACGACGTCCGCGCCCATCTGCTGGAGAAGCTTGACGGCGCCCTCTGCGGTGCCGCCGGTGGCGATCAGATCGTCGACCAGGATCACCTTGTCGCCGGGCTTGACGGCGTCCCTGTGCATCTCCATCTCGTCGACGCCATATTCGAGACTGTAGGCAATGCGGACCGTGTCGTGCGGCAGCTTGCCTTTCTTGCGGATCGGCACGAAGCCGGCGGAAAGCTGGTGCGACATGGCCCCGCCGAGGATGAAGCCGCGCGCTTCGACGCCGGCGATCTTTTCGATCTTGGTGCCGGCATAGGGATGGACGAGTTCGTCCACCGACCGGCGGAACGCCGATGCGTCGCCCAGAAGCGTCGTGATGTCCCGGAACATGATGCCCGGCTTGGGATAGTCGGGAATCGTGCGAATGGCGGTCTCAAGCGTTTCATGCAGCGTCATCGTCGGGTCCCGGCACAGAGCAAACGCGCCTTTGATAGCCAGCCACCAGCCAAACGGCAAAGGAAAAGGGCGCCCGGAGGCGCCCTTTCAAATGTCACACCCTGTGCCGACGCGTCTCAGTGCTCGACGCGCGCCCAGACCTGCTTCTTGGACAGGTACAGGAGCGCCGCGAAGATCAGCAGGAACACCATCACGCGGAAGCCGAGCTGCTTGCGCTCGTCCATGTGCGGTTCGGCTGTCCACATCAGGAATGCGGCAACGTCCTTGGCCATGTTCGAGACGGTGGCCTCGGTGCCGTCGTCGAACTCATGCATGCCTTCGAACAGCGGCGGCGCCATCGCAAGCGCCGTACCGCTCGCGAAATAGGGGTTGTACCACAGGCCCTCGGGCACGGAGACGTCCTCGGGCACCTCATCCTTGTAGCCGGTCAGAAGCGAATAGATGTAGTCGGGCCCGTTTTCCGCATAGTTGCGGAACGGGTCGATCACGAAGGCGGGAAAGCCGCGGATCGGCGCCCGCGCCTTGGCGATCAGCGACAGGTCCGGCGGATAGGCGCCGCCATTGGCCGCGCGTGCCGCTTCCTGGTTGGGGAACGGCGAGGGAAACGCATCCGCCGCCGTGGCCGGGCGGAAGAACATGTCTCCGAAATCGTCGGGACCGTCCTCGACCTCGTAATTGGCCGCGAACGCCTTGATCTGCTCATCCGAGTAGCCAAGGTCGGCCAGATTGCGGAAGTTGACGCGGCTGAGGGCGTGGCAGGCCGAGCAGTTCTCCGCATAGATCTTCAGGCCGCGCTGCAGCTGCGCCTGATCGTACATGCCGAACGGTCCGGCGAACGACCAGTCCTGCTCGCGCGGCTTGTTCTTGGGATAGGCGCTGGCAGCCCACGCCCCGGTCGCCATCACCGTTGCGGCGATGGCGGCGGCTCCGAGTTTAACAACAAGGTTTTTCATCATCGATTCCATCGTCTGTTCGAGGCCGGGCCGTCAGGACTTGTCGGCGGACGCTGTCGCATCGCCCAGTTGCGGTGATCCGCCGCCGGTCTTGGCCGATCGTTCGAGCACCGCCTCGGTGATCGAATTGGGCAGCCGCCGTGGTTTTTCGACCAGCCCCAGAACCGGCATGACGATCAGGAAGAAGCCGAAATAGATCGCCGTCGAGAGCTGGGCGAGCGCCACATAGACGCCTTCCGCAGGCTGCGAGCCGAGCCAGCCCAGGAACACCGAGTTGATCACGAACAGCCAGAAGGCCAGCTTGTACCAGGGACGGTAGACCGCCGAGCGCACCTTGGACGTATCGAGCCAAGGCACGACGAACAGCACCAGAACCGCGCTGAACATGGCGATGACGCCGCCCAGCTTGGCCGTGATCGGGCCGATGTCGAACGTGATGGCGCGCAGGATCGCGTAAAACGGCAGGAAGTACCATTCGGGCACGATGTGCGCCGGCGTCACCATGGGATCGGCCGGGATGTAGTTGTCGGCGTGGCCCAGGAAGTTCGGCATGTAGAAGACGAAATAGGCATAGAGCGCCAGGAACAAGATCAGCGCGAACGCGTCCTTGATGGTCGCGTACGGCGTGAACGGCACCGTGTCTGTCTTCGACTTCACCTCGATGCCGGTCGGGTTCGTCTGCCCCGTCACATGCAGAGCCCAGACGTGCAGGATGACGACGCCGGCGATCATGAACGGCAGCAGATAGTGCAGCGAGAAGAAGCGGTTCAGCGTCGGATCGCCGACCGCGAACCCGCCGAGCAGCAGCTCCTGGATCGGAACGCCGATGACCGGGAAGGCGGTGAAGAAGCCGGTGATCACCGTGGCGCCCCAGAAGGACATCTGGCCCCAAGGCAGGACGTAACCCATGAAGGCGGTGGCCATCATCAACAGGTAGATGATGCAGCCCAGGATCCACAGAAGCTCGCGCGGCGCCTTGTAGGAGCCATAATAGAGCCCGCGGAATATGTGCAGATAGACCGCCAGGAAGAAGAAGTGGGCGCCATTCTGGTGCATGTAGCGCATCAGCCAGCCCGAGTTCACGTCGCGCATGATGTGCTCGACGCTGTCGAACGCCTTGGTCGCGTCCGGCACGTAATGCATTGCAAGAACGATGCCGGTCACGATCTGGATGACAAGGAAGATCGAGAGGATGCCGCCGAACGTGTAGGCATAATTGAGGTTGCGCGGCACCGGATAGGCCACGAAGCTGTCATACATCAGCCGCGGCAGCGGCATGCGCGCATCGATCCATTTGCCGACGCCGCTGGTCGGCGTGTAGGTGCCGTGATGCTCGAGTTTGCTCATCGGGCGGCCTCCTAGACCTGGTCGGAGCCGACGATCAGGGTCGACTCATCGGCAAAAACATAGGGCGGAAGCGGCAGGTTGGTCGCCGCCGGGCCGCGCAAGATGCGGCCGACCATGTCGAACACCGAGCCGTGGCACGGGCAGAACCAGCCCTCCGGCGCGTTGTCGACGATGTTGGGCACGCAGCCCAGATGGGTACAGGTGGCCGAGACGATCACCCAGTTGCGGGTTTCGGCGCCGTCAGGACCGGCGATGCGTTCGGCGGCCGGCTGGTATTCCTTCATGTCGCCCTCGCCCAGCGTGTCGGCGGCGGCGATCTCGTCGTCCAGCAGCTGCCGGATGAAATAGGGCTTGGAGCGCCAGGTGACGACAATGGTGCCGCCCGGCTCGATGGCGCTCAGATCGACCTCGATCGGCAGGCCGGCGGCGCGAACCGCCGCATCGGGGCGCATCTGGTCGATGAACGGCCAGGCAGCCGCAGCGGCGCCGACAACGCCCATCATCCCGGTGGCCACATAGATGAAATCCCGGCGGGTGGGCAGTTCGCCTTCCGGCTCCTGGGTCGCGTCTGTCACGGCGACGTCCTTTCCTTGCCAAAAATATTCGTCAAAAACTCAGGAATAATGCACGTCCCCGAGCGCAATCCGGCGCGTTAATAATGCCGGCTCACCGCCATTGTCTACCCCAGACCAAGGCATGATGACACTGTGTCGCGCACTATTCGGCAGCCTCGGCGAAGCTGAGGAAGCCGCCCGACTGGCGCGTCCACATCCGGGCGTAGAGACCGCCCTTGTCGCGCAGCAATTCGTCGTGCCGCCCGGTCTGGACGATACGGCCATTGTCCAGCACGACCAGCCGGTCCATCGCGGCGATCGTCGACAGGCGGTGGGCGATGGCGATTACCGTCTTGCCGTCCATCAGCGTCGCCAGATTGTCCTGGATCGCCGCCTCGATCTCCGAATCGAGCGCCGACGTCGCCTCGTCGAGGATCAGGATCGGCGCATCCTTGAGCATGACCCGCGCAATCGCCACCCGTTGCCGCTGGCCGCCCGACAGCTTGATGCCGCGCTCGCCGACATGGGCGTCATAGCCCGACCGCCCCTTGGGATCGCGCGCGTCGAGGATGAAATCATGGGCCTTGGCCTTCTTGGCCGCCGCCTCGATCATCGCCTGCGTCGGATCGGCGGCGCCATAGGCGATGTTGTCCCTGAGCGACCTGTGCAGCAGCGACGGTTCCTGACTGACGACGCCGAACTGCCGCCGGAGCGAGGTCTGCGTGACCGACGCGATGTCGGTGCCGTCGATCGCGATCCGGCCGGTTTCCGGTTCGAACAGGCGCAGCATCAGCGACACGATGGTGGACTTGCCGGCACCCGACGGGCCGACAAGGCCGACCTTCTCGCCCGGCTTGATGTCGAGATCGAGCCCGTCGAACAGGCCGATATCGCCCTTGCCGTAATTGAAGCGGACATCCTCGAACCGGATATGGCCCGATACGGGCGCCATGTCCGGCGCATCGGGCCGGTCACGGATCACCGGCTCGACGGAAATCGTCTCGATGGCGTCCTGAACGGTCGAAAAGGCGCGGATCAGCCCGTTGATGTTGAACATCATCCAGCCCGACATCTGGTTGAGCCGGAAAACGAGACCCATCGTTGCCGCGATCGCGCCGGTCGAGATCGTGCCGGCCATCCAGCCCGAAACGGCGAGCACCGCGACCGCGCTCATCATCAGCCCGTTCAGCACCGCGACCGAGGTGCGCACCAGGGTGATCATCCGCGTCAGATGCGTGACCGCGCCCAGATAGTTGCCCATCGCCTGCTTGACGTCGCCGTGCTCCCGGCGCCCGGTGTCGAACAGCTTGACCGTCAAAATGTTGGTGAAGATGTCGACCAGCCGGCCATTGAGGACGGAGCGCTCGTTGGCGTTGTTCTTGCCCGCCGCCCGCAGCCGCGGCAGCAGGTAACGCACCACCGCGCCATAGCCGAGCCCCCAGACGGCGACGACCACGCCCATGCGCCAGTCGAGCGTTGAAAGGACGATGAACGTCAGCGCGATGAAGGTCAGGAACGACCAGAGCGACTGCAGCGAGGTGATGATGAAGTCGCCGACCGATTCGCCCGCCTGCGCGATCTTGGTGGCGATGCGGCCGGCGAAATCGTCCTGGAAGAAGGCATAGGGCTGCTCGATCACCCGGCGGAACGACTGCCAGCGCACCATGGTGTAAAAGCGCGGCACGATCACCTGCTGCTCGATCAGCGCGGCGCCGACCATCACCAAGGCCCGCACGATCAGCAGCAGCGACAGAAGGCCGGCCAGCTCCCAGCCATGATCGGCCAGAAGCGTCGCCGGGGTCGAGCTGTCCAGAATGTCGATCAGCCAGCCGACGCCCCAGTAAAGCGCCGCATCGACCGCCCCGACCAGACCGCCGACGAGGAGCAACACGATGAACGGCCCGCGTGCCTGCCGCGCGAAATAGGCGATGAACTGCCAGGCGTTCTGCGGCAGCACCTCGCGGTCGGTGTCCCCGAACGGTTCGATGAACCGCTCCACCCGGTTCCACACCGGGTGTTCGGTCCGCCGGTAGGCCGGATCGGGGTCCTGGCCGGTGCTGCCGTAACGCGCCATCTACTCCGCCGCCTCCGCCTTGGCGTCGACGCCGATGAACCCGCCGGACTGGCGCGACCAGAGCTGGGCATAAAGCCCGCCTGCCGCGGCCAATTCGTCATGGCTGCCCTCCTCGATGATCGCGCCCTTGTCGAGCACGACGAGCCGGTCGAGATTGGCGATCGTCGACAGGCGGTGGGCGATGGCGATCACGGTCTTGCCTTCCATCAGCGCGTTCAGATTGTCCTGGATCGCAGCTTCCACTTCCGAATCGAGCGCCGACGTCGCTTCGTCCAGCACCAGGATCGGCGCGTTTTTGAGGAACACGCGTGCGATGGCGATGCGCTGGCGCTGGCCGCCGGACAGTTTCACGCCGCGCTCACCGACATGGGCGTCATAGCCGGTGCGGCCTTCAAGATCGACCAGATCCATGATGTAGTCATGGGCATTGGCGCGTTTGGCCGCCTCGATGATCTGCGCGTCGGTGGCATCAGGATTGCCATAGGCGATGTTGTCGCGCACCGAACGATGCAGCAGCGAGGTGTCCTGGGTGACGACACCGACCCGGCTGCGCAGGCTGTCCTGCGTCACCTGGGCGATGTCCTGCCCATCGACACGGATCACCCCGCCTTCCAGGTCGTAGAGCCGCAACAGCACATTCATCAGCGTCGACTTGCCGGCGCCGGACCGGCCGACCAAACCGACCTTTTCGCCCGGACGGACCGTCAGCGACAGATCGTCGATCACACCGCCTTCCTTGCCGTAATGGAAGCGGATGCGGTCGAACTCGATTTCGCCCCGTTCCACAACCAACGTCTTGGTACTGTCCGTGTCGGTCACCGCCTGCGGCCGGGCGATCGTGTGCATGCCGTCCTCGGCCATACCGATGTTCTCGAACAGGCCGGCCAGTTCCCACATCACCCAGTAGGACATGCCTTCGAGCCGCAGCACCAGGCCGACGGCCACCGCCAGCGCGCCGACGGTCGCGTTGCCCGCCGTCCAGCCCCAGATGCCGATCGCCGCCACCGAGAACAGCAGCAGCGCATTGGCGATGTCGAGGCTGACATTGAGCGTCGTGACAAGCCGCATCTGCGGATGAACGGTCTTGAGGAAGTCGTCCATCGCCTCGCGCGCATAGCCTTCCTCGCGGCCCGCATGGGCGAACAGCTTGACCGTCATGATGTTGGTGTAGCTGTCGACGACGCGGCCGGTCATCGTCGAGCGCGCATCGGACTGCCGTTCCGAGATGACCCGCATCTTCGGCAGATAATGCCACATCAGGAGAATGTAGGTGCCCAGCCAGACCAGGAACGGCACCATCAGCCACGCCTGAAGCGTCGCCACCAGAATGACGGCACCGCCGAAATAGACGCCCACATAGATGAAGATATCGACGATCTTGGTGACCGATTCGCGCACGCCGAGCGCCGCCTGCATCACCTTGGTGGCGACGCGGCCGGCGAACTCGTCCTGATAGAAGCCGAAGGACTGGCCCAGCATGTAGCGGTGCGCCTTCCAGCGGATCACCATCGGGAAGTTGCCGAAGATGGTCTGGTGCATGATCAGCGAGTGGAACAGGCCGGTCAGCGGCAGGCCGACCACGATGATCGCGGCCATCCAGAACAGCGACCAGCCTTCATCGGCCAGGAAGGTTTCCGGATTGGCGCCGGTCAGCCAGTCGACGATGTTGCCAAGAAAGCTGAAGATCAGAACCTGCAGGATGCTGATCAGCGCCGTCAGGACGGACGTGACCGCAAGCCACGGCCAGATATCCCTGGTGTAATGCCAGCAAAAGGCGAACAGCGTCGCCGGCGGTTGGACGGGCCGCTCGGGCGGAAACGGATTGATGCGATTTTCAAACCAGGCAAACATTTTTGGCCTCGAAGCGTAAGGATGTAGAGCCGCAAAACGCGAGCGCCAGCACCGGCACCGTGACCGGCGCGGTTTCATCAGGGGCGCGCGACGCGCGAAGGGCTGCAGACAGAATCATGGTCGTGAACCGTTTGGCGGAACCAAACCGGCGGTCACGACGCGATGTCTTGAATGGAAGGTGTCGGAACCGCTGGTGCTAGAAGTCGGACGGGGCCGTGCAGAAACGCGGCAGGCCGATCCGGGGCGCGAACAGGATGTTCGAGCTGACAAACATCATAATTTTCATGCCTGCCTCCTGTTCGGTGAGCACCAACGCGTCTGGCCATAGCGCAACGGGGCGCCTAAAGCAACGCACACTCGACCAAACCGGCACCCATACCGACATGACGCTGTCATCATCACCGCGCCCCGAACGCCTCTCCATCGCCCTCTACCAGCCGGACATTGCCGGCAATGCCGGCACGATTCTGCGCACCGCGGCGTGCCTCGACTTTGCCGTCCACATCATCGAACCGGCCGGGTTCGATCTGTCCGACCGTGCATTGAAACGCGCCGGCATGGACTATCTGGAGATGGCGGCGCTGATCCGGCACGTGACGTGGGATGCCTTCGAACAGTGGCGACGGCGTCAAGGATTGCGGCTGGTGCTGCTGACGACCAAGGCCGACACGCCCTACACCGCCCACCGGTTCACATCCGATGACATCCTGCTGTTCGGGTCGGAATCGGCGGGCGTGCCGGAGACCGTACACAGTGTGGCGGACGAACGCCTGGCCATCACGATGGCCGAAGGCGCCCGCTCGCTCAATCTGGCCGTCTCCGTCGGCATCGCCGCCGCCGAGGCGATCCGGCAGATCAGCGTCCATAGCTGACCACTTCGAACTCGATGCCGTTCTCGTCCTTGAAATAAAAACGCCGCCCGGGCTCGTAATCGTCATGGCTGTAAGGCTCGTGGCCCTCGGCCTTCACTCTCGCCTCCGTTGCGTCGAGATCGTCCACCACGACGCCGACATGGTTCAGATGCCCGGTGCGCATCCTGTCGAACGAAGCGGCATTCGGCTCCGCCGGCGGCGTGAAGACGGCCAGATAGCTCACCTGGTTGCCGACATGGACAGTGTGGCCATTGCCCAGCGCCGGACCCTCCCATCGCACATGCCAGCCAAACAGGCGGCAGAGCATGGCGGCCGTGGCCTTGGCATCGGGAACCGTCAGATTGACGTGCTCGAGGCGGGCGACATTGGCGTCGGACATGGTGGTCTCCTTCTTGATGATTGGCTCGCCGGGAGTCATACTTTCTCAAGTCAACTTGAGATCAAGGAGAAAATCGTTTGCCGCGCAAGAGCCCTTTCCTGACCATCGGCGAGGTGGCCGCACGCACCGGTCTCGCGGTCTCCGCGATCCGCTACTATGCCGACGAGGGCCTGATCACGGCGCTGCGCAGCGAAGGCGGCAACCGCCGCTTCACGCGCTCCGAAATCCGCAAAGTGTCGTTCATCGCGATATCGCAGCGCCTGGGCTTCTCGCTGGCCGAGATCAGGGGCCAACTGGACCGGCTTCCCGGCGACCGCCCGCCCACCAAGGCCGACTGGGCGCGGATCAGCACCGGCTTCCGGGACGCGATCGATGAACGGATGGCGCAGCTCGAACGCCTGCGCGACCGGCTCGACGGATGCATCGGCTGCGGCTGCCTCTCGCTCGACACCTGCGCGATCTACAATGGCGACGACAAGGCCGCCGCGCTCGGTCCCGGCGCCAACTGGGTGGAAAAGCGTGAATCGGACCTGGGCCGGCCGGTCAGGCCCCAGCCGGCGGGATGACCGGCGCCTGCATGTCCCGGTGCGGGATGCCCGCATCCATATAGACGCCGGAGCAGACCGAAAAGCCGAGCTTTTCGTAGAACGGCAGGGCATGCACCTGGCTCGACAGAAAGAAAGTGCGACCGGCCGCCTCGGCCTCGTTGGCCAGATCGGCCATCATGAAGCGCATCAGCGCCGCGCCAAGGCCGGTGCCCCGCGCCCGGGGCAGCACCGCGACGCGCTGGATTTTGTAGCGGTCTTCGAGCGGCATAACGCGGCCGGTGCCGACCGGCCCGTCGGCGCCCAAGGCCAGATAATGGATGCAGTCGCCGTCGCGGCCGTCGCGCTCCAGCGCTTCATCCACGCATTGCTCGCGCACGAACACCTGATGGCGGATCGCCACGCAGGCCGTCATGTCGTCTTCTCCCTGCGCCCGGCGCAGCGTCCAGTCATTGTCGAGTGTCATGGGTCAGTCCGCGGTCGGCAGGCGGCGCATGGTGAATTCGATGACATCGCCGTCGAGCACGCGCCAGCTCTCGACCTGCGTCCAATAGGCGGCCTTGGGGTATTGATCGAACCATTCGCGCGCCTTGCGCCGCGCTTCGGGCCGGCTCAACCGGTAGGTCTCCCGCACAAAGCCCGACGGGCCGCTTGAGCGGCTGGCTTCCAAATGGCGATTGACGAGCGCGCGCGGCGGCCTGGGCGGAGCCATCTGATACCTCCGCGTCAGACGATACCATATCGTTCCCGCGCGCCAAGTCCCCATCTGAAAGGTCACTGCTTGGCAAGGCCGGCGATGCGCGATAGGCACGACCCGATCGGGCACAAAGGGCAACGGGTTTGAAACATGGTTGAGCGGCCACAGCTGCCGGCGGGACTGCCGGCGGACATCGAGGACAAGAAGCGGCAGGCCAGCGCCTGGTTTGAGGAACTTCGCGACCGCATCTGCGCCGCTTTCGAGAAGATCGAGGACGATGTCACCGGCCCGTTCGCCGAATATGTGCCCGGCCGGTTCACCAGATCGCCCTGGGAACGCGACGACGGCAAGGGTGGCGGCGGCGTCATGTCGATGATGCATGGCCGCGTTTTCGAAAAGGTCGGCGTGCACACATCGACCGTGCATGGCGAGTTTTCCGAGGAGTTCCGCAAGCAGATCCCCGGCGCCGACGCCGACCCGCGCTTTTGGGCCTCGGGCATCTCGCTGATCGCCCATCCGCAAAACCCCAACGTGCCCGCCGTGCACATGAACACGCGCTTTGTCGTGACCACCTCCTGGTGGTTCGGCGGTGGCGCCGACCTGACGCCGGTACTCGATGCGCGCCGCACCCAGGACGATCCCGACAGCGTCGCCTTCCACAAGTCTTTCGAACTGGCCTGCTCCAAGCACGCGGTCGCCGATTATCCCAAATTCAAGGACTGGTGCGACGAGTACTTCCACCTCGCCCATCGCAACGAGCCGCGCGGCATTGGCGGCATCTTCTATGACTGGCAGCATTCGGACGATGCCGCCGGCGGCTGGGAGGCGGACTTCGCCCTGACCCAGGATGTCGGGCGCACTTTTCTGGTGGTCTATCCGCATCTCGTCCGGCGCAACTTCAACGACAACTGGACCGACGCCCAGCGCGAGGAACAGCTGGTCCGCCGCGGCCGTTATGTCGAGTTCAACCTGCTCTACGATCGCGGCACCATTTTCGGCCTGAAGACCGGCGGCAATGTGGATTCGATCCTCTCATCCATGCCTCCGGCGGTGAAATGGCCATGACGCCCTGTCCGTTCGCCACTTAACCTCAGGCAAGGCGCGCCGGCACAAAATCGTCAAAACTGCCCGTCATGATGACCTGGCGTCACCAGAGGAGGTGGATGATGAAGGAATTCAAGTGCGGCCAGCTTGTGCCGGGATGCCACTGGCACACCCATGATGACGACGAGGCCGAAATCGTCCGGCGCGCCGCCGAGCATCTGCGCTCGGCCCATGGCGAGGCGCGTCTGCGCGAGACCATGGTCGAAGAGATCAAAAAGCGCGTGCACGAGGTGCCCGCCTGACAAGAGCGGCCCCAAGGGTTACTCCGGCGCGGGCACGTCGGCCAAAAGCCTATCGCGGTCGAGCGAAAACCCGCTGTCGATCCAGCGCTTCTCGAGGGTCCGCAGGGCGTCGCCAAGCGCCGGCCCGCTGTCAAATCCCAGCGCCATCAGGTCGCGGCCGCTCAATGGAAAGGACGGTCGCGTCCATGAACCGGCATGATCGAGAAGGCGCACAAGGGATTGCGCGCCAACGTCGTCAGTGCCCAAAGCGGCGATGTCGAGCCGCATCCGGTCGGTGATCGCCTGCGCATTACCTTCATAAAGAAGCCGTTCGAAACCGCTGACCGGCGTGTCGGGCGCCACGCCATGCGCCTGGCTGACGGCGACCAACCGGTCGCGCACGCGGCTCCCCAGCTTCCAGCGCTCCGCAAGTCCCTGCACGACCTCCTTGCGCAGCGGGATCAGCACCATCAGCCGCAGCACCGCGTCCGCTGGCCAGCCAAGGGCCTGTTCCGCCGCCATCAGCCCGTGGATGCCGTCAATGCCCCACTTTTCGCTTTCCGGCAGCACCAGAGACAGGACACCGGCCTGCCGCATCCACAACAGCGCACGCGACGGGTCTGGCGCCGCAAGAAGCTTGCGCATTTCGGTCCATATCCGCTCGGCGGAAAGCCCGGCCAGGCCCTCTTTGAGCCGCGCGCACGCCTTCAGCCCGTCCGCGTCGGGCCGGCCATGGCCATACCAGGCAAAGAAGCGGAAAAACCGCAGGATGCGCAGATAATCCTCGCGGATGCGCTGCTCGGGATCGCCGATGAACCGCACCAGCCGCCCCTCGATGTCAGCACGTCCGCCGACGGGGTCACGAAGCGTGCCATCGGCATCGGCATAAAGCGCGTTGATCGTGAAGTCGCGCCGCTCGGCATCGTGCTGCCAGCTGCGCCCGAACCGAACCACCGCCCGCCGCCCGTCGGTCTCGGTATCCTCGCGCAGCGTCGTGATCTCATAGCCGTGCCCGTCGATGACCGCCGTCACCGTGCCGTGCTCCATGCCCGTGTCGACCGCCTTGACGCCGGCCGCCTGAAGCCGCCGCATCGTCTCGCCCGGCTCGCTTGTGGTGGCGATGTCGATGTCCGTCACCGGCTGTCCCAGAAGCGTGTTGCGAATTGCGCCGCCGACGATGCGCGCCTCCTCGCCATCGGCGCCAAGCAGCGCCAGAAGCCGCTGCAGGCCGGCATCGTTCAGCCAGGAGGCCTCCAGTCGTCCCGCGCTCACGCGTAGAGCCCTTCATAAACCGTGCGGATGATGCCCGCCGTCACGCCCCAGATGCGATGTTCGCCATAGGGCATTTCGAGGAAATAGCGGCGCTTGCCGTTCCAGACGACGCTGCCTTTCCGGTGATTGTCGCGGTTCATCAGAAACGCCATCGGCACCTCGAAAACGCTTTCAACCTCGTCCGGGTTCGGCCGCACCGGCGGGTCGCCCTCGATCACCGCCAGCACCGGGTGGATGCGAAAGCCCGATCCGCTCAGATAGACCGGCAGCCGTCCAACCGTCCGCACCGCGTCCTGCGGAATGCCGGTCTCTTCTTCGCATTCGCGCAGCGCCGCCGCCTCCGGCGTCAAGTCGTCAGGATCGATCCGTCCGCCGGGCAGCGCGATCTGCCCCGAATGGGTGCGCAGCGCCTCGGTGCGCTTGGTCAGCACCATGTGGGCGCCGTCGCCGCGCTCGATCACGCTGACCAGAACGGCGGCATCCTTGCGCGCCATCGCGCGGATGGCATCGGTCGCATCGGGATTGTAGCGGAAATCGCCGGCTTCGGGACCGGACCCGTCGCCGCGGCGGACGGCCCGGTCGGAAAAGTCGGCGACGCCGAACGGTGCGGAACGCATGTCCACCGTCACGATGCCGCCTCGAGATCGGCGCTCTTCATGACCGGGAACGCCTGCCCGCCCGAATGGACGACGAACATCGGCGTGCCGTCGATTGCCTCATGCGCGCCGAGCGCGATCAGATCGTACATCACCGCGCGGGTCACCAGCGCCTCAAGCCGGCCGCGCACATGCACATAGGGCTTGACGCCCATCGTCTCCGGCTCGATCTCAAAGCGAAGAGGATGGTCTTCACCCGCCTCGACGACATCGCCCACATGGGTGCGGAAGGTCAGAAGCTGCACACCATCCCGCGCACCCACATGCATCTCGACGGCCAGAAACGGCGCATCGGCAACGCGGATGCCGACCTTTTCGACCGGCGTGACCAGGTACGTCTTGCCGTCCTCGTCCTTGCGCAACACGCTCGAAAACAGCTTGACCAGCGCCGGGCGGCCGATCGGCGTGCCCATATAGAACCAGGTGCCGTCGGCAGCGATCTCCATGTCCAGATCGCCGCAAAAGGGCGGGTTCCACTGCTCGACCGGCGGCGTGCCGCGCCCCTCGCCGGCACGCGCGACGAGCGCTTCGAGCCCTTTGAGGTCCGCCGGTGCCGCCGCCTTTGATTCGCCGTTTTCCGCCATTCACCTTCCCGGAGCCTGTTCGCGGCCAAATGCTGTGAAGTCACGAAATAGTCACCCCCGGCGCACTTGTCAGCACCCGGCCTTGATTTACCTTCGGTCGGGCAACCCTGTGCGAAGCGCGTGCCACGGGTCGATGGGAGATTGAGATGAGCGTTCATGCCACCACCGAGACCGTCGACGAGGCCGCTATCGTCGCCCAGGCGGAAACCGCGCTCGGCGATATCGCCAACATCAAAAGCGAGATCGGCAACGTCATCTTCGGTCAGGAAGACGTCATCCAGAACGCGATCGTTGCCATCCTGTCGGGCGGCCACGCGCTGCTGGTCGGCGTGCCCGGTCTTGCCAAGACCAAGCTGGTCGACACGCTTGGCACGGTTCTGGGGCTCGACAGCGGCCGCATCCAGTTCACGCCCGACCTGATGCCTGCCGACATCCTTGGATCGGAAGTGCTCGAGGAAGCCGACGACGGCAAGCGCCATTTCCGCTTCGTCAAGGGACCGATCTTCACCCAGCTCCTGATGGCCGACGAGATCAACCGCGCCAGCCCGCGCACGCAATCGGCCCTGTTGCAGGCCATGCAGGAATACCACGTGACCGTCGCCGGCCAGCATTACGATCTGCCCGCCCCGTTCCACGTTCTGGCGACGCAGAACCCGCTCGAGCAGGAGGGCACCTATCCACTGCCCGAGGCACAGCTTGACCGGTTCCTGATGCAGATCGACATCACCTATCCCGAAGTGGAGGCCGAGCGCCGCATCCTGATCGACACGACCGGCATCGACGCGGCGGTCGCAAATCCGGTGGTCACCGCGCAACGCCTGCAGGAGTTGCAGACGCTGGTGCGCCGCATGCCGGTGCCCGAAAGCGTGGTCGAAGCGATCCTCAGGCTGGTGCGTTCGGCGCGCCCGGGCACCGGAACCGACGCCACCGACCGCCACGTGGCATGGGGCCCCGGACCGCGCGCCAGCCAGTCGCTGATGCTGTGTGCCCGCGCCCGCGCGCTTTACGAAGGCCGGTTCGCGCCGTCCGTCGACGATGTGCGCGCCCTTGCCGAGCCGATCCTCCAGCACCGCATGGCGCTGACCTTCGCCGCCCGCGCCGAGGGCATGAGCGTCGGCACGGTGATCGCCGGCCTCGTGGACGCGCTGGAGTAGCCGGCCCCGCATGGCGACCATCGGACAAAGAAGCGAACGGGCCAGCCAGGCGCACACCCTGCAAAGGGCCCGCCACCGCGCCTCGCTGGTGCCCGATCTTCTGGTCGATGCCCGCCGCATCGCCAACACGGTGATGGCCGGCTGGCACGGACGCCGCCGGCGCGGCATCGGTGAGACCTTCTGGCAGTACCGGCCCTATCAGGCAGGCGAGACGCTGGCCCGCATCGACTGGCGCCGTTCGGCCCGCGACGACCAAACCTATGTCCGCGATCTGGAATGGGAAGCGGCGCACACGGTCTGGATCTGGGTCGACCTGTCACCCTCCATGCTGTTCCAGTCGCGCGGTGCGCGCACATCGAAAGAAGAGCGCGCGCTGATCGTCGCCATCGCGATGGCCGATCTTCTGTCCCATGCCGGCGAACGCGTCGGCTATCCGGGACTGTTGCGGCCGCGGGCCTCGCGCAACGGCGCCGAGCGGCTCGCCACCGCGCTGATGGGCGATCTTGGCCATCCCAACGATGACTGGCCGCCGCTGACCATGGTGCGCCGCTTTTCCGAGATGCTCATCGTCAGCGACTTCCTGCGCCCGGTCGAAGAGTGCGAAGCCTTTCTCAACGACGTGGCCCAGCACGGACCGCGCCCGCATCTGGTCGAGGTGGCCGACCCGGCCGAAGAGGATTTTCCCTACAAGGGCCGCACCGAATTCCTCGATCCCGAAACCGGCGAACGTATCACCTCGGGCCGCGCCCAGGACTGGCAGGCCGACTATACCGAACTGCGCGCCGCGCGCCGAGACGCTCTGCGCCAGCGCGCCCATGCGCTCGGCGGCAGCTTCACGGTCAGCCGCACCGACCGGCTGGCCTCGGAGACGCTGGTGCGCCTGCACGGCCTGATGACCGGCAATCCCGAAGAAGTCGCCGCGACCGACGCACCAGGTGATTCGCCATGATCGGTGCGATCGGCTTCACCTTTCCCGCTGTGCTCGCCGCATTGGCGCTGCTGCCGCTGATCTGGTGGCTGCTGCGGCTGATCCCGCCGCGCCCGCAGACCGAACTGTTCCCGCCTCTCAGGATCCTTGCGCGCCTCGTCAAGAAAGAGGAGACGCCGGCCAAGAGCCCTTGGTGGCTGACGGCGCTACGCCTTGGTTTGACCGCGCTCGTGATCCTCGCGCTCGCCCGGCCGATCCTCAACCCGCAAAGCGAACTGGCTTCGGGCGACGGCCCGTTGCTGATCCTCATCGACAATGACTGGTCCGCGGCCCCCGACTGGGACGATCGGGTCCGGACGGCGCAGGCGCTCATCGCCCAGGCCGGCGATCAGGGCCGCCCGGTGGCCTTGGCGCCGACGGTGGCCGGACCGGCAGCGACCGTTCAGCTCACCGACGCGGGCGCCGCCGCCGACATGCTGGGCGCGATCGAGCCGATTGCCGGACGCGCCGAGCGCGACGCGACATTGGCGCGGCTGCTGGCCGCCACAGAGACCGCCGACGCGCCGCCGGTCCTCGCCATGATCGACACCGGGCTCGCCGAACCGGACGGCGAAGCGCTGAACGACCGGCTCGCCGGTGCCGGCCTGGATGGCCTGTTGCGCTTTACCGCCACCGACCGGGACCTCGTTGCGATCACCGCCGCCGACAACCGCACCGACGGTTTCGCCTTGAGCCTTGCGCGCACGCCGGCAGCCGCCGAAACCGCGAGCGTTGCACTCTACGACAGCCGCGAGCGGCTTCTGGGCCGGGGCGAAACCACGTTCGAGGCCGGCGCCGCCGAAACCATTATCACCTTCGACATCCCGTTCGAGCTGCGCAACGACATCGCCACGGCGCGGATCGACGACGCGCCCCATGCCGGCGCGGCGTTCCTTCTGGACGAGAACAATCGCCGCCGCCGCGTCGCGCTTCTGACCGGTCTTGCCGGCGACGAGGCGCAGCCGCTGCTGTCGCCGCTTTTCTACATTTCGCGGGCACTCGCCCCGTTTGCCGACCTGATCGAGCCGCGCACCGGCGATCTGAGCGTCGACGTTCCCGAGATGATCGACCAGGGCCCGGCGATGATCGTCATGGCCGATATCGGCGTTCTGCCTGCGGCGGCCGCCGACCGGATCGATGAATGGCTGGCCGCCGGCGGAACGCTTGTCCGCTTCGCGGGTCCGCGCCTTGCCGCCTCGGCCCAAGACGATCCCTACCTGCCCGTGACGCTCCGCGCCGGCGAGCGCGCCCTTGGCGGAGCCCTCTCGTGGAGCGAGCCGCAGGCGGTCGCCGCCTTTGCCGCCGAAAGCCCGTTCGCCGGGCTCGAAGCGCCGCGCGATGTGACCGTGACACGCCAGATCCTTGCCCAGCCCGATGCCGACCTCGCCGACCGCACATGGGCGAGCCTCGCCGACGGCACGCCGCTTGTCACCGGCGTCCGGCGCGGCGAGGGTGCGATCGTCCTGTTCCATGTCACCGCCGAGGCGACCTGGTCGAACCTGCCGATCAGCGGCACCTTCGTCGACATGCTCCGGCGGATCACCGATTTCGCGCGCAACACCGAACCGGGTCAGGCGCCGGTGACCGCTGCGGCCGAGAGCACGGCCGCCTTGCCCCCGCTGCGCATCCTGCGCGCCGACGGCACGCTCGCCATTCCGCCCGCCCATGTCCGCCCGCTCGACGCCGAAGCCGACGCCCGGCCCGGTTTCGAGAACCCCGCGGGCCTTTACGGCACGCCTGAGGGTTTCGTTGCACGCAACGTGCTTGCCCGCGACGAGACGCTGACGGCGTTTGCACCCGCGCCACCCGGCCTGGACGTGGCCGAGCAATCGCTGGTCGCCGAGGACGAGGCGGATCTGAGCGGCTGGCTGTTCCTCGCCGCCTTCGTCCTGCTGATCGCCGACACGCTCGCGGTCCTGTGGATCAATGGCCGCCTGTCGTTCGGCACCGCGCCGCGCCGCCGCGCGCCGGCAAGCGCTGCCATCGCGCTTGCCGCCGGCCTTGTCGTCATATTCGGCGCCGGCACCTCGCGGGCCGACGACACGCGGCCCGGCGACGATCTGATCCTCGATGCGCTGGAGACGACCCGCATTGCCTATGTGCTGACAGGCGACCGGACCGTCGACGAGACGACCCGCGCCGGCATTGACGGGCTGACCCGCTTTCTGGCCTCGCGCACGGCATTCGAGCCCGGCGCGCCGGTCGGCCTCGATATCGAGGCGGACGAACTGGCCTTCTATCCGCTGATCTATTTTCCGATGAGCGCGCAAGGCGACATGCCGTCCGAAACCGCCGTGGCGCGGCTCGACGCCTACATGCAGAACGGCGGCACCATCCTGTTCGACACGCGCGACCAGCTCACCGGATCGTTCACCGACGGCGCGACACCCGAAACAGAACGGCTGCGCGACATTCTCGGCGGCCTCAACGTGCCGCCGCTCGAGCCCGTGCCCACCGATCACGTGCTGACCAAGGCGTTCTACATCCTCGACAATTTCCCCGGCCGCTATGCCGGCTCGCCGCTCTGGGTCGAGGCGTCGGCGCTCGATGACGGACGCGCCGACCGCCCCGTGCGCAGCGGCGACGGCGTGACGCCGATCATGATCACCGGCAACGATCTGGCCGCCGCATGGGCGCTCGACGATGCCGGCCGGCCGCTGCACGCCATCGCCACGGGCGATCCGCTGCAGCGCATCTATGCGTTCCGGTCGGGGGTCAACATCATGATGTACATGCTGACCGGCAATTACAAAGCCGATCAGGTGCACATTCCCGCCCTGCTCGAACGGCTGGGGCAGTAGATGGAAACCAACACGCTTTCGCTGACCTTCGAGCCGTTCCTGGCCTGGCCGCTGATCGCCGTGGCGGCGCTGCTGGCGGCGGCGCTTTGCGCGACGATCATCGTCATGGGCCTGCGCGGCGCGTGGCTGCGGACGCTCGCCGCCGCCTGCCTTGTCCTCGCGCTCGCCAATCCCGTGATCCTCAACGAGGAGCGCGCCGCGCTGCCGACGACGGTCGCCATGGTGCTCGACACCTCGCAAAGCCAGCGGCTCGGCGAGCGGCTCGACCAGACAGATGCGGCAGCAAGCGAGCTCGAACGGGCATTCGAACGGTTCGGCCAATTCGATCTGCGCATCGTCGAGACCGGCGCGGCGGCGACGGGAACGGCCACCGAAACCCGCCTGTTCGACGCGCTGCGTTCGGCCCTGCGCGACGTGCCGCCCGCGCAGGTCGGCGGTGCCGTGATGATCACGGACGGCCAGATCCACGATCTTCCCGAGACGCTCGCCGAACTGGGGTTCGATGCGCCGGTTCACGGGCTGATCACTGGGCGCGACGATGAGTTCGACCGCAAGATCGAACTGGTCGAAGCGCCGCGCTTTGCCATCGTCGGCACGCCGGTCGAGATGAGCTACCGCGTCACCGATCAGGGCGCGATGCCCGCCGCCGGCCAGGTGGTCAATGTCGAACTTTTCCTCAACGGCGAACTGCATGCGACGGCGCAGGCGGTGCCCGGACAGGTCTATCCGATCGACATCGAGCTGGACCGGGGCGGCGCCAACATCGTCGAATTGCGCGTCGCCGAACTGGACGGCGAACTGACCGGTAACAACAACCGCGCCATCATGCGCATGGAGGGCATTCGCGAGAACCTGCGCGTGCTTCTGGTTTCGGGCGAACCCCATTCGGGCGAACGCACCTGGCGCAATCTCTTGAAGTCCGACGCCTCGGTCGATCTGGTCCACTTCACCATTCTGCGCCCGCCCGAAAAGCAGGACGGCACGCCGATCAACGAACTGTCGCTGATCGCCTTTCCGACGCGCGAACTGTTCGTCGAAAGGATCGACGATTTCGACCTGATCATCTTCGACCGCTACCAGAACCGCAACGTGCTGCCGACGCTCTACTACGATTTCATCGCCCAATATGTGCGTGGCGGCGGCGCGCTGCTCGTTGCCTCGGGCCCCGAATATGCGGGCCCGAACTCGGTCGCCCGCACGCCGCTCGTCAGCGCGCTGCCCGCCGCGCCGACCGGCGGTGTCGTCCAGGCGGGGTTCTATCCGAGGCTGACCGACGACGGCGCGCGCCACCCTGTGACCCGCGATCTGGAAGGCGCCGGCAGCGAGCCGCCGCAATGGGGCCGTTGGTTCCGCAATGTCGGCGTCACCGACATCGAGGGTACCACGGTGATGCAGGCCGGCGGCGACGCGCCGCTTCTGGTGCTCAACACCTATGAGGAAGGCCGCGTCGGGCTGATGCTGTCGGACCATGGCTGGCTGTGGGCGCGCGGCTTCGAGGGTGGCGGCCCCCATGTCGGCCTTTACCGGCGCCTCGCCCACTGGCTGATGAAGGAACCCGAACTGGAAGAGGAGGCGCTGACGGCGACCTCCGAGGGCGACCGCCTCTCCATCCGCCGCCAGACCATGGCCGAGACCGCCGGGCCGGTGACCGTGACCACGCCATCGGGCGATGTGCTGACGCTCGATCTTGTCGAGCGCGCGCCGGGCCTGTTCGAGGCGGAGCTGCAGACCGACGAAATCGGCCTGTTCAACCTCGAAAATGGCGACCTCACCGCGCTTGCCCATGTCGGGCGCACCGACGCGCCGGAGTTCCGGGACATGATCTCGACGGCAGAACCGTTGGCCGAAGCGGTGCGCGAAACGGGCGGCACGGTGCGGCGTGTCGCAGGCAATGGGAGTGTCGATGTGCCCTCAATCCTGCCCGTGCGCTCGACCGCCGATGCCAGCGGCCGCGACTTCATGGGGTTCAGGACGTCGGCGGAAACCGAACTGCGCGGCGTCGGCCGTCAGGCGCTGTTCGGCGGGTTTCTCGGGCTCGGGCTGATGATCCTCGTCATCGCCTCGATGTGGTACCGCGAAGGCCGGTAGGTTCCAGTTCGCCCTACTCGGCCGCCACCGGCAACGCGTCGCGGCCGGCAAAGGCGCGGATTTCGGCAATCACGCGGTCCTGATCGGCTTCGCTCAGATAAGGGTGCATCGGCAGGCACAGGATCGTAGCGGGCTTGGCTTCGGTGACCGGCAGCCCGCCCGGCGCAACCGGAAAACGGTCATAGGCGGCCTGCTGATGCAGCGGCTTGACGTAATAGACGACCGACGGAATGTCCTTCGAGCCCAGATGCGCCTTAAGCGCATCGCGCTCGCTGCTCTCGATGGCATATTGCGCCCAGGCCGAGCGCATGCCGTCGGGATTGCGCGCGGTCTTCACCACATCCTTCAGCCCATCATGATAGCGCTGCGCCACGCGCTGGCGCGCTTCCATCTCGTCTTCGAGAATGTCCAGTTTGAGGTTCAGGATCGCCGCCTGGATCGTGTCCAGCCGCGAGGTCAGGCCGATCCGCACATTGTCGTACTGGTTTTCGCCCTTGCCGTGGAAGGCGACCGACCGCATCACCTCGGCCAGATCGTCATCGTCGGTCATCACCGCGCCGCCATCGCCGTAACAGCCCAGCGGCTTGGCCGGATAAAAGCTGGTGGTCGCCACATCGCCGAAGGCGCCGCAGAACGCGCCATCCTTCTTGGCGCCCGCCGCCTGGGCGGCATCGGAAATCACCTTGAGCCCGTGCGCCCGCGCAACCGGCATGATCGCGTCATAATCGGCCACCATGCCGAACAAATCGACCGGAATGACCGCGCGCGGCGTCAGCCGGCCTTCGGCCTCGATCATCGCGATCGCGCTTTCCAGCGACCGAACATCCATCAGGTAGGTTTCCGGATCGATGTCGACGAAGACAGGCTCGGCGCCCAGAAGCGCTACCACTTCGGCGGTCGACGCGAAGGTGAAGGAGGGCACGAACACCGCGTCGCCGGGACCCACACCCCACGCCATCAGCGGGATCTGCAGCGCGTCCGTGCCACTGGCGCAGCCGATCACATGCTTGACGCCCAGATAGTCGGCGAACCGTTTTTCGAACTCGGCGACCTGCGGCCCAAGAATGTAGGCGCCGCCATGCACCGCCGTGCTGACGGCCTCGTCCAGCGCCGAGCCCAAACGTGTGCGCTGCGCTGCCAAATCGATAAACTGCATCCGAACCCCATGCCCCCGGGACAATTGTTGTTGTGAACGCGCCCCGTTCAGCCCTAGCCTGACCTATCGCCACCGCCCATTGAAATAAAGTATACGTCCGGTCACACATGCGCCCGGCCTGTAACCGGCGGTGATCGCTTGGTTTTCCGGGCTCACGGCGCCGTCGAGAGGATGCGGACCACGTCGAGCCCCTGCATGCCTGACGAGAGCGGCGTCGCGCCGGTGCGCACGCAATCGAGGAAATGGACCAACTCGTCGGTCAGCGCCATGCCGGGCTCGACGGCGACAGGCTGCGCCTCGCCCTTGTCCTGCTGCCAGCGCCCATCGTCGCCGCGCCGCACCGTGTGGGGCACCAGATGCAGCTTGTCGGGCCAGTCGGCCAGATCGTCCCAGACCAGCGTACCGGTTTCCCCCGTCGCCGCAAAGCGCCGCTCGCCATAGGCGGAATGGCGCGAAACGAAGATGTGCGCCGTCGGTCCGCCGGCGAAATCGAGGTGCACATGGGCCATGTCCGTCTGACCGCCGGTGACCGACACGGGCCGCACATCGACCGACCGCGGCGCCCCCTCGGCCAGGCTGAGCACCAGCGACAGGTCGTGCGGCGCGAGATCCCACAGCGCGTCGAACCGGTCATAGAATTTGCCGAAGCCGAGCCGGTGGCTCTGAATGTGCCGGACCTTGCCGATCCGGCCGGCTTCGATTGCCCCGACCAGCGCACGGAACGCGTTGTGATAGCGCAGGACATGACCGACCATCAGCACCCGGCCGCAATCGCGCGCGGCGGCGACCATCTTCTCGGCATCGGCGACGGTCAGCGCGATCGGCTTTTCGACCAGCACATGCTTGCCCGCCTCCAGCGCCGCACAGGCAAGCGCGGCATTTTCTTCGGCCGGCAGCGCCAGAACCAGCGCTTTCACCGCCCTGTCGGCGACGAGCGCCTCGACCGGAGCCGCATGCGCGCCGTGCTCTTGGGCAAGCGCTGCCGCGCGCTCCGGATGCCGGTCGGCGACGGCGGCGAGCGCGCCCAGCCCGGCCAGCGTTCGCACATGGTTTCGGCCCCATTGGCCGCAGCCGATGACGGCGACGGATGGTTGGTCTGACACGAGTGGCGGAACTCCTGATCGCGAAACTGGCGCGGTGGTAGCGGCGCCGGTGCGCCGGCGCAAGCCGCATGATCTGCGAACCTGCGCGCAAGACGTCGGGCGGGGCCGGCGCCTCCGGTCGCCGATTGCGCCCCGTGACCGCCTTTGCGGCAAGCGATTGTGCGCCCCCCGAACGGCACCGGAAACCGGCACAAAAACCCAGGGCCTGCTCGCTTGACAGCGCAAAGGCCCGGCCCTTATATCCGCCACGCTTCAGATGGGCACAAGCGCCCCTTTGGCGGAGTAGCTCAGTCGGTTAGAGCAGTGGAATCATAATCCATGTGTCGGGGGTTCGAGTCCCTCCTCCGCTACCACCACTCCACACATCCGTTTGACACCGTCCGGATAGGCGCGTTCGCCAAGGATCGTGTGGCGCGGCGGCAGCTTCTGGAAATTTTGCCCTTGGCTTTTGGACACCAAATCGAGGCGCCCGCTCCACACGCTGCATGGATAGCCCCACCTATTGACCGTCCTCGAACCGCTCGATGCGCTCAAACCGCGTCGTGAAGCCGGGGTCTCGGAGCGAGCCCGACAATGTCAGGCTCTGTTCTTCGAAACAGTCCGGCCCATCAGGGGTCCGGAACAGGGTCGCGTCGAACCTCACGCGATCGCCACGGGACAGCTGCGCAAGCCGATCGAACATGGGATTGGTTGGCTCGATGAGCGTCGCGTCGAACGTATCGGAGAACGCGTTGTTCCAGGTCTTCAAGACCGCATCGCCACCAATCGCGACGCCCAGCACACCCTTGCCCTCGCCGTTCGTCGTCAGCGTCCGGATCGTCCCGGTCCAGCCCCGAACCGCGGAGCCGGAAACCACCGCGCACATGGCCGCCTTTCGGTCCCGGCGCGCAGCGCCCCTTTGGAGGTCGTTCTCGGCTTCACGTGCGGTCGCGGCGGCAGCCGTGACAGCCTCGACGAACCTGCGTTGATCGTCAGGCACCGAATAGAAGGCATCACGTTCAGCCGCCTGGGCCACTTCGATCTCGGCCTGGCGTGCGGCTTCTGCTTCCTGTTGGGCACGCGCGGCCGCTGCCGCCTCGGCCGCCTCGGCGGCCTCCTGATCCCGGCGTGCCTGGTCGGCGGCTTCGCTTTCGGCCCGACGCGCCGCCTCGGCCTGACGCTCGGCCAGAACGGCGGCCCATTGAGCCGGATCGTCAATGCCGGCATCTCGTGCCGCTCTGTAGCTTGCCGCATCTGCAAAACCGGCCTCCAGGGCCAGCTGACTGTCCTGGTTGCCGATCAAAAACCCGAACGCGCCGAACGACACGATCATTGCAAGAAGGGCGAGCAGAAACCGGGATCGGAACGCCTTCTTGCGCTCTTTCCTGACAAACAGCCAACGCAGCAAAAACCAAACCGTCGCAAGCAATGCGACCAGCACAATCAACGCCAAAGCAATATCCATGGTCGTCCCATCCCAAATCAGCCAAGTACATCAGACAGCAGCGCCCATCGACGTCAATTGGTCCGACCAGGTCAGCTTCTACGTCCGATGTCACATCTGCGGTGTGCCGGCCGGAAGCAGCTGAATGCCGCAATTGACGCTGCCGCGGGACGTGCAACGAAGCTTGTACGCCAGATCGCGGTGCATGCATCCGTGATTGCGGCCAAAACGGGTTATCATGGGCTACAGATCGATCTCGGCGGAGTGATGGCAGGACGGATCGCGATAGACGGTCACGGTTTCGACCAGCACCGGTGTTTGCTTCTGCGCATTCCTGATCGCCTGAACGGATGCCTGCCGCCAATGCGCGCTGCAGGTTTTCGAGCAGCTCTTCATGACGTTTCAGGATGGCGGGATGCGGTGATACGACCTGCAAGGCGCGTCGGACCTTCTCCGGTTCTGCAAGAACCGCCTCGCGTTCATGAAAGAGATCCGTCGAGCGGAAACCGATCGCGTACGGATCGCCAATACCGTTGGCGAGGCGATCGATCAGCCGGTCGATCTCGCGCTTGAGCTGATCGGAAGGGCGTTCAAACCGCATTCGATTGGCACCGGCCTCGGCCGGCGGTGGCGGTGCATGGCGGAGATTGGCCGACGCGCAATTGCTCGCCGCCCCGGCAAGACATCATCGCCGCAAGGCGGCGCATTTCAGCCGATGTCTGGAAATCGCGAAACGGATAGGGCCCGTTCAGGTCCCATCGCCGCGACATGCGCTCGGCAACGGTGTCTTCCGACACAGTCGGCCGGTGATTGCTCCGCATTTTCGGGTGCCCGGAATGCGGCGATCGAGACATTGCCCGCGCCGTGGCGAATTGACATCCGTCAAGGAAGGCAGCGCGCCCTTGCTTTACCTTGCCATCATGTCACCCAGCCACCACGGCACCGAGCCTGTTTTTGACGTTACCGGGGTCACCAAGGTCTACACGTCGGGCGAGGTCGAGGTGCGTGCGCTCGCCGGCATCGATCTCCAGCTCTTTGCGGGTGAGATCGCCGTCCTTCTGGGACCGTCCGGCAGCGGCAAGTCGACACTGCTGAACATAATCGGCGGTCTGGACCGCGCCACCTCGGGATCGGTTCTGTTCAACGGCCGCGACCTGAACGACTTCAGCGATCGCCAACTGACCCGCTTTCGCCGAGATCACATCGGCTTCGTGTTCCAGTTCTACAATCTCATCCCGAGCCTGACGGCCTGGGAGAACGTCTCTCTGGTCACCGAGGTCGCGCGTGATCCGATGACGCCCGACGAAGCGCTGGCCATGGTGAACTTGACAGATCGAATGTCGCATTTTCCCGCGCAGCTGTCGGGAGGAGAGCAGCAGCGCGTGGCAATAGCGCGCGCGATTGCCAAACGCCCCGAAGTGCTCCTTTGCGACGAGCCGACCGGCGCGCTGGATTCAAAGACCGGCGTGATCGTCCTCGAAGCGCTCACCCGGATCAACACCGAATTCGGCACGACCACCGCGATCATCACCCACAATGCCGGGATCCAGCAGATCGCCCACCGCGTCTTCCAGTTCCTCGACGGACGCATTGCATCAATGCATGTCAACGAAGCACGGATTGCGGCGACGGAGGTCGAATGGTGAGATGCTGAGCGCACTCGACCGCAAACTCGTCCGCGACCTGACGCGCCTCTGGGCGCAGGTGCTTGCGGTCGGGCTCGTCATTGCCTGCGGCGTCATGACGATTGTGCTGTTCGTCGGTGCGACCCGGTCACTCGATGAGACCCGGTCCGCCTTCTACGAACGTTACCGGTTCGCGAGCGTTTTCGCGTCGGCCAATCGCGCACCGGAGCGGCTCAAGCGTGATCTGGCCGCCATAGAAGGGGTAGCGGCCGTTGAAACGCGGATCGTCAAGGATCTGATTCTCGATATTGACGGCATGATAGAGCCGGCCGCCGGCATCGCCGTGTCGCTGCCGGACGCAGGCGAGACACGCGTCAACAGGCTTTACCTGCGTCAGGGCAGGCTGCCGGAACCGGACCGGTCTGACGAAGTCGCGGTGGTCGAGACATTTGCATCCGCGCACGGTTTCCGCCCGGGTGACCGCTTCCGCGCCCAGATAAACGGCAAGAGCCGGGAGCTGACGATAACGGGCGTCGTTCTGTCGCCTGAGTTCATCTACGCGATCGGGCCCGGAGACATGGTTCCCGACCAGCGCCGATACGGGATCTTGTTCATGCCGCGCAAGACGCTTGCCGCCGCATTCGACATGACCGGATCGTTCAACAGCGCGGTCCTGACAACATTGCGCAATGCCGATGTCGAGGTCATCACGGAAGCCGTTGACGACCTGCTTCGGCACTATGGCGGCACCGGTGCGTATGGACGCGAAGACCAGACGTCGCATGCCTTTCTCGATGCCGAATTGACGCAGCTCGAGGCCATGGCGGGCGTCATTCCGCCGATTTTCCTGTTTGTTTCCGCCTTCCTGGTCAACATGATCCTGTCGCGCCTGATCGCCTTGGAACGCGAACAAATCGGCCTGCTCAAGGCAAGCGGCTACACAAGTGTCGGCGTTGCCTGGCACTACGCGAAGATGGTGCTCGCCATCGTCCTCGTCGGGCTCGTGATCGGCAGTGTCGCGGGCGCATGGCTGGGCGGATCGCTGGCGCGCCTCTACGCCCAGTTCTTCTCGTTTCCGTTCCTTGTCTTTGCCGGCAGCGCCGATCTCTATGTCATTGCGGCCGTCGTATCGGTGATCGCGGCGCTCGCCGGCGCTGCGAGCGCCATACGAACCGTTGTCGCCTTGCCGCCTGCAGTCGCAATGCGGCCGCCGGCGCCGGCGAACTACAGGAGCCTTGGTCTTAACCTTGGCATTCTGCATTCCGTCTTTTCACAGCTGACGACGATGGCGCTGCGCCACCTGTGGCGGAACCCGGTGCGCACCGGCCTCACCGCGTTGGGTACATCATTCTCGGTGGCACTGCTTGTGACGGCGCTGTTTTCATTCGACTCCATTGACCACATGATCGACCAGATCTTCTTCCAGACCTCGCGCGAGGACGCGGTCATTGCTTTCGCCGGCGACCGGCACCCCGATGCCTTGCGTGCGGTGCGCCGCATGCCGGGCATTCTTGCCGCCGAGCCCTACCGTCAGGTACCCGTCACGATGTCCAACCGCCACATCGAAGAGCGGCTGGTCCTCGAGGGCCTGCCGTCGATGACGGATCTGACGCGTGTGCTGGACCGGGATCAGCTTCCGCTTGCCCTTCCGTCGAACGGAATCGTGCTCTCTGATCGGGTCGCCGAGCGGCTTGACCTGCGGGTGGGCGACCTCGCGTCCATCGAGGTCATGCAGCAAGATGACAGGATCGTCCACGTTCCCGTCGCCGGTACGATCCAGAGCCTCGTCGGTCTGACCGCATATATGGACCTCGAAGCCTTGAACAGGCTTGTGCGCGACGGCGACCGCATCAGCGGCGCCCGCGTCAAGCTCGATGCAGACCGGCTCGGCCAGACCTACGCGGCAGTCAAGGAAACACCCGGCATTTCCTCGATCGCACTGACCAACCTGTCGCGCGCGAATTTCCGCGCGACCATCGAAGAGAACATCGTCATCAGTATCACCATCTATACCGTGCTCGCGGTGATCATCACCTTCGGCGTGATCTACAACTCCGCACGTATCCAGCTTTCCGAACGCGGCAGGGAGCTTGCCAGCCTCAGGGTCTTTGGCTTCACGCGCGGCGAAGTCTCCTCGATTCTGATGATCGAACTGGGGGTCGTTGTCCTCTTTGCCCAGCCTCTCGGCTGGGCGCTCGGATACGGCTTCGCATGGTCGGTAGCGCAGGGATTTGAAAGCGATCTCTACAGGATTCCATTGGTGGTCGAGCAGTCGACCTATACGACCGCGAGCCTGGTCGTGACCGCAGCGGCCGTCGTCTCTGCGCTGGCCGTGCGCAGGCGCATCGATCGTCTCGACCTTATCGAAGTACTCAAGACACGGGAATAGTCTGATGAAAGGCACCTGGTCGAAATGGTTGTTTGGTCTGATCGCGATCGGCGTGATCGCTTACGGTGCGTTCCTTTCGCTGCGCGAGCGACCGGTGCTCGTCGATCTGGGGCAGGTCACCCGCGGACAGATGGTCGTCTTCGTTGACGAGGAAGGCGTAACCAGGGTGCGGGACGTTTATGCCGTCTCGTCCACGCTCGCCGGACATCTCGACCGCATCGATCTTGAGGAAGGCGATCTTGTCTCAAAGGGTGACGTCATCGCCACGATCCACCCGCTCGCTCCGCCGTTCATCGACGAGCGCACCAGAACCGAACTCGAGGCCGCGATCGAAGCCTCACGCGCCGCCGTGGCGCTGGCCAATGTCGAACATGCGCGCGCGCAGACCGCACTCCGGCTGGCGCAATCCGCATACGATCGTGCGTCACAACTCGCCAAGACGAGAATCGTCTCCGACAGCGATCTTGAGCGGGCCTATGGCGAACTCCAGATCAAGCAGGCCGAGGTTGAGAGCGCAATGGCGGGCATCAACCTGCGCCTGGCAGAGCTTGCCAGCGCCCAGGCCCGCCTCGCCCAGCCGGTCGACATGGCCGGAACCGGTGAAAACGGCCGATGCTGCGTCTCATTGCTCGCACCGATCGACGGCGTCACGCTTGCCATCAAGGTTCGCAGCGAACAGGCGGTCGCGGTTGGCACTGTCGTGGCCGAATTCGGGCGCCCCGACAATCTCGAGATCGCCGTCGATCTGCTGTCTTCAGATGCCGTTCGCATCGGTCCGGGCACCGAGGCCGTCATTTCGGACTGGGGTGGCGACCAGGACCTGCATGCCACCGTCCGGAAGATCGAGCCGGCCGCGTTCACGCAAGTGTCGGCGCTGGGCATTGAGGAACAGCGTGTCAATGCGGTTCTCGACATCGACGAGGTACCGGAAGGACTTGGCCATGGCTACCGCATCGTGGCGCGGCTTGCCCTCTGGCGGGGCGAAGACGTGCTTCAGGTTCCCATCAGCGCACTGTACCGTGACCAGGGCGAATGGGCGGTCTTCGTCGCCGAGAACGGGCGCGCGCGTATCAGGAGCGTTGAACTTGGACATCTGAACGATAGCGCTGCCCAGGTCTTGTCGGGACTGTCGGAGGGAGACGCGGTTATCCTGTTTCCGAGCGATGTATTGGCCGACGGCCGCGTGATTGCCGACCGGGCAAGCGAAGGCCGCTGACAACCGAGGGCGGCCTTGCGCGTTTGCTTGCCCGGTCTGTGTGCTTTTCCGGCAGCGAAACGGCTCTATCCGTGGCGCACGGCGTCGAAGACGGCTTCGTGCAATCGACGGTTTCGGAAACCGCTGGTTATACCGCTGGAGACTCCCCCGGGATATCGGAGGCACGGACTGAGCGGCCCGTTCAAAGCGGGAGACTTCGTTTTGCTCGCGTCGACAATCGCTCCTGACTGTCGGACATCGCCCGCCGCAATTTGGTCCGGTCGAGCTGATTGCCAGCATCTGCGAGGGCGGCAGTGCGATTCAAGACGATCTCTTCGGGTTCGTATCGCATCGCGCGCACGCCGCTTGTGCCTCGAACAAGCCAATCTGTCACTCGAGGTGGCTGCGTTCAAAAGGGTACGGGTCACGGCAGCGTGGCTTGGGACCGGATCAGAGCCCCCCGGCGTCCGGAGGCACTGCAACGGTTACGTCCGACGGCAGCCGCCCGCTGACGACCCGGCGCGCGTTTGCGAGGTCGTTGCCCTCGGCCCGGGCGCGTGCCGCCTCGGGCGTGTGATCATGCGCCAGCCAACGTTCGACGGTGCGCTTAAGCACCAGTTCCTCGGGTGTATCGATCCAGATCGACAGATCCCACAGCGGGGCAAGCGCATTCCATGGCGGTTCGTCGAACAGCAGATAGTTGCCTTCGACAATCGCCAGATCGCAGTCGGGCCCCACCCTGCCCGCTCCCGCCACCGCCAGATCCCGGCCACGGTCGAACAGCGGAAAGCAGACCTCTTCCTCGGACTTCAGGCGGCGCATCATTGCGACGAACCCGCCCGCATCGAATGTCTCGGGCGCGCCCTTGCGGGCGCGCAGACCGGCCTCGTCCAATAGGCGGTTGTCGAGGTGAAAACCGTCCATCGGGACGTTCGCACTTGTGTGGCCGGCCTGCGCCAGGTGTTCCGTGAGTGCCGCGGCCAGGGTCGACTTGCCGCTTGCCGGCGCGCCGGCGATAGCCACCAGCCGACGCCGTCCCTTCAAGGGCAGGGCGGCGATGCGCTCCACAAGTTGCGCCGGCGGCTTGAGCGAATGTGACGCCAATAGCACGGTCATCGGCTATCCGCTCACGCCCGTGCCCGCGCGCCCCGAAGTCACGGAGGCGTGTCCGACGTAGCACTCAAGCGCCGCTTCACACCCGTCCGACCAGATCAGGCCGAGCCACCGGGCAAAGCTCTCGCGTAAGCCTTCATTGCCAGCCAGATCGCCGTAGAACTGCCGCTGTTCGAGCCATGCCGTCGGCCGGTCCCTGGCAGCCCTGGCGGCACCGACAAGTTCGTCCCAGAACGGATCGTTGGGCGCGATCGCCGAGCCGTCCTCACGCGTGCCGTCACACATGCGGGCCCAGAGGGCCTCGACCAACGCCAAGCCCTCAATCGGCGCGCCTGCGGCGAGGGCATCGCGGACGATCGGCAGGACAAAGCCGGTGTGCCGCGACGACCCATCGAACGCGACACGCCGGGTCGTGTCGACGACGGCCGTGTTGCTGAAGCGCCGCTCGACCAAATCGATGTAGGCCGCGGGCGTCATGTTGGGAACGGCGGCCACGTGGGGGGCGATCTCCTCTCGCTGGACCTTGTGGAACAGCGACGAAACCAGGGGGTGGGCCATGCATTCGGCGATCGTTCCGATTGCCAGGATCTCGCCGGCGTTGGCGATCACCTGATGCCCCGCATTGAGAATGCGCAGTTTCATCGTCTCGTAGGCGTGCACATCGTCCGAAAAGGTCACCCCGACGCGATGCAGATCGGGCCGGCCGGCGCAGAAGTCGTCCTCCACCACCCACTGGCGGAAATCTTCGTGGGTCACCGGTGCGTCGTCCTCGATACCGAACGCTTGGACCAGCGCGATCTCCTGCGTTCCCGTTGCCGGGACAATGCAATCGACCATGGAGTTCGGAAATGTGCAGTGCGTGTCGATCCAGTCCGCCAGATCCGGGTCGGACAGGCGGGCCAATGACACGACGGTCCGGCGCAACACCCGGCCGTTTTCCTGAAGGTTGTCGCAGCTCAGTCCGGTGAACGGGCCGTCGCCCGCTGCCCGACGGCGCGCGAGGGCCGCGACCATCGCGCCAAAGGCGGTTCGGGGCCGATCCGGGTTGGCTGCGTCATGGCGGATGTCGGGATGGCCGGCATCGAAGCCCTGGCTGACCGGGTCGATGTAGTAGCCGCCTTCGGTGACGGTCAAAGCGACGATGCGGATGCCCGGATCGGCCAGTTGATCGATGAGCGGCCCGTTGCCGTCCTCGATCGGCAGATAATCGATCATCGGTCCGATGACTTCCGCCGATTTCCCCGACGGATCGAGCTCGATCAGCGTCGTCAGACAGTCCTGCGCCAGCAGTTTCTCGCGCATCTGCGCGTCATAGGGCCGAACCCCCGCGCCGATGATCGCCCAATCGAGCGCTTCGCCCTGCTGCATCAGCCGGTGCAGATACCAGGCCTGATGCGCCCGGTGAAAATTCCCGACGCCGATGTGGACGATGCCGGGGCGGAGCGCGCCCCGGTCGTAATGCGGGCGCGCGACGGAGGCCGGCAATTGGCCAAGTGTCGCCTGCGATAGCCGCATCAGTTCATCCAGTTCCCGCCATCGACATTGTAGGTCTGGGCGACGATGTAGTCGGCCTCGTCCGTGGCCAGAAAGATCGCCATCCCGGTCAGGTCGTCGGCCCGCCCCATCCGGCCAAAGGGAACCGCTTCGCCGACTTCCTTCTTCTTCTGGCCAAGCGGCTTGTTCTCATACCTGGAAAAAAACGCATCGACGCCATCCCAATGCTCGCCATCCACCACACCAGGCGCGATGGCGTTCACATTGATCCCGTGCCGGATCAGGTTGAGCGCGGCCGACTGGGTCAGGCTGATGACCGCGGCCTTCGTCGCGCAATAGACGGCGACGAGCGGCTCGCCCCGGCGGCCGGCCTGGCTGGCCATATTGATGATCTTGCCGCCTGCGCCGCCTTCGATCATGTGCCGTGCGACCGCCTGCAGCGTGAACAGCGTCCCGGCCACGTTGATGTCGAAGGCGCGCGCATAGTCCTCGCGGGTGATCTCGACGATCGGCGCGGCGGTGAAGACGGCGGCGTTGTTGATCAGGATGTCGATGCGGCCGAGTGCGGCCACGGTTTCGGCGACGGCCGTGTCGATGCTGTCCTGCCGCGTGACATCCATTTCGATTGCCACTGCCGCATCGCCCAATGCTTGAGCGGAGGAACGTGCGCGCCCGATGTCGATGTCGGCGATCGCCACCCGCGCCCCTTCGCGCGCATAGGCTTCGGCAAGTGCAAGACCGATCCCCCGCGCTGCGCCGGTGATCAGCGCAGTCTTCCCCTCAAGGCGCATCAGTCGATCCTCAGCCCTTGTGCGTCGAACCGGTGCATGTGCTCGCGTCGGGGCGTCAGATGCACGTCCGCCCCGTAACTCAGGGCCCGCTCGCCAGGCGCCCGCACCGTCAACGGCTCGGCCAAGCCGTCACACTGCACATGAAAAAACGTGTCGGATCCGAGGTGTTCCGACACGCCGATCGTGCCCTTCCACGCCCCATCGGTCTCCGAGATGTCGATGTGCTCGGGCCGGATGCCGATCGTGGCGGCGTCGTGCTTGGCCGCTTCCGGCCCGCAGATGAGGTTCATCTTCGGCGAGCCGATGAAGCCGGCGACAAACGTGTTGCGTGGACGCCGGTAGAGCTCGAGCGGCGATCCCACCTGTTCGATCACGCCGGCCTGCAGAACGACGATCTTGTCGGCCATGGTCATCGCCTCCACCTGATCGTGGGTGACATAGATCATCGTGGTCTTCAGGCGCTTGTGCAGTTCGGAGATTTCCAGCCGCATGCCAACGCGCAGCGCGGCATCGAGGTTCGACAGCGGCTCGTCAAACAGAAATGCGGACGGCTCCCGCACGATCGCGCGGCCGATCGCGACACGCTGGCGCTGACCGCCGGAGAGCTGGCCCGGCCGGCGGTCGAGATAGTCCGTCAGGTTGAGCACCTCGGCCGCCTGCTCCACGCGGCGCTTCTGTTCGGCGGGGGCGAGCCGGGCCATGCGCAGCGGGAATGCGATGTTCTTGCGCACGCTCATATGCGGATAAAGCGCATAGGACTGGAACACCATGGCCAAGCCCCGCCTGGCGGGCGGCACCTCGGTCGCGTCGGTGCCGTCGATGACGATCTTGCCGTCGGTCACGTCTTCGAGTCCGGCGATCAGGCGCAACAGGGTCGACTTGCCGCAGCCTGAAGGGCCGACAAAAACGACAAACTCCCCGTCCTCGATTTCGAGGTCCAGCTCCGGGATGACGGTGACATCACCGAACCTCTTCTTCACCTGGTCGAGCACAATGCGTCCCATGGTGGGTCCCCTTACTTCACCGCGCCGAATGTCAGGCCGCGGACGAGTTGTTTCTGGCTGAACCAGCCGAGCACCAGGATCGGCGCGATCGCCATGGTCGAGGCGGCGCTGAGCTTGGCGAAGAACAGACCCTCGGGGCTGGAATAGCTGGCGATGAAGGCCGTCAGCGGCCCGGCTTTGGCCGCGGTCAGGTTGAGGGTCCAAAAGGCCTCGTTCCAGGCGAGGATGAAGTTCAAAAGGATGGTCGAGGCGATGCCCGGAACGGCCATCGGCGTCAGGATGTAGAGGATCTCTTCGCGCAGCGACGCCCCGTCCATCCGCGCCGCCTCGAGGATCTCGACCGGGATTTCCTTGAAGTAGGTGTAGAGCATCCAGACGATGATCGGCAGGTTGATCAGCATCAGCACCACGACAAGGCCGATGCGCGTGTCGAGCAGGTTGAACTGCACGAAGATGAGGGAGATCGGATAGAGCACGCCGACTGCGGGCAGCATCTTGGTCGACAGCATCCAGAGCAGGATGTCCTTGGTGCGCTTGGACGGCACGAAGGCCATCGACCAGGCCGCCGGCACCGCGACGAGAATGCCCAGAAGCGTGGACCCGCCGGCAAGGATTACCGAGTTCCACAAGAAGCGCATATAGTCCGACCGCTCCTGCACGATGGCGTAGTTTTCCAGCGTCCAGTCGAAGAAGAAGAACAGCGGCGGGTCGTTGATCGCCTGGGCTTCCGTCTTGAAGCTGGTCAGGATCGTCCAGTAGATCGGGAAGAAGATCAGCAGTCCGATCGCCCATGCGACGGCGGTTGTGATGACCTTGCGGCGTGTTGTGGTTGCCCGTGCCATGTCTTCGCCCTACCGATCGAGGTTCTTGCCGACGATGCGCATCAGGAAGATGGCGATGATGTTGGCGAGGATGATGGCGTAGACGCCGCCGGCCGAACCAAGGCCGATGTTCTGACTGTCGACGACGCGCTGGAAGATCAGATAGGTGAGCGTCCGTGTGCCGAAGGACCCGCCGGTCGTCACGAAGATTTCCGCGAAGATCGACAACAGGAAGATCGTCTGGATCAGGATCACGATGGTGATCGCCCGCGCCAGATGCGGCAGGATGATGAAACCGAACCGCGCGAACGCCGGCGCGCCATCCATCTCGGCCGCCTCGAGCTGTTCGCTGTCGAGCGATTGAACCGCGGTCAGCAGAATGAGCGTCGCGAACGGCAGCCACTGCCAGGACACGATCAGGATGATCGACTGGACCGAGGCATCGGAAAGCCACGACACCGGTTCGGCGCCGAAGAAGCGCCACAGATGTGCAAGAATCCCGTTGACCGGATCCATGAACATGTTCTTCCAGACCAGCGCGGACACGGTCGGCATCACGAAGAAAGGCGCGATCACCAGGATGCGGACGATCCCCTGACCCCAGAATGGCTGATCCAGCAGCAAAGCGAGCAGAACGCCGAGCACGACGGTAACCACGAGCACGCCGCCGACGATGACCAGCGTCGCCTGGACGCTGGGCCAGAAGGAACTCGAACTCAGGAACCGTGCATAGTTCTCGAAACCGACCCAGTCGAGACCCCGCTCGAGGGAGTCGCCGCGCAGCGGAAGATATCGCTTGAACGAGAAGAACAGTGTCATCGTCAGCGGCACCAGCATCCAGCCCAGAAGCAGGATCACGGCCGGTGCCATCATCAATCTGGCTGCGGAACGCGAATGCTGGGTTGCCATGGATGCATCTCCCCCGTTGACGGTCCAAGCCCGTCTCAGACGATGCGACGATTAAAGGTGTTTGAGCGCCGGGGGGCAACGTGCGGCCGCCCCCCGGGAAATGCGGCGGAAGGGCCTAGCGGTAGCCGGCGGCTTCCATCGCGTCGTTGGTGATTGCCTGCGCCTTTTCCAGCGCTTCCTCGACCGATTGCTGGCCGGCATAGACAGCCGAGAACTCCTGGCTGACCTCTGTGGCGATACCGGCAAACTCCGGAATGGCGACGAACTGGATGCCGACATAGGGCACGGGCTTGACGGTCGGGTTGGTCGGATCGGCCGCGTTGATGGAGTCAAGCGTCATCTGGGCGAACGGCACGGCCTGATACTCCGGATTCTCGTAGAGCGAGGTCCGGGCGCCGGGCGGCACGTTGGCCCAGCCCTCGTTCGCGGCCACGAGCTCGATGTACTCCTTCGAGGTCGCCCACTCGATGAACTGCTTGGCCTCGGCTTCCTTCTGCGTGCCCGCCGGGATTGCCAGCGCCCAGGCCCACAGCCAGTTGGAGCGTTTGCCCATGCCCGTGTCGGGCGCCAGCGCGAAACCGACCGAGTCGGCCACGGTGGAGTCATCGGGATTGGTCACGAAGGACGCCGCAACCGTGGCATCGATCCACATGCCGCATTTGCCCTGCTGGAACAGCGACAGGTTCTCGTTGAAGCCGTTGGTGGAGTATCCGGGAGGGCCGGCCTCGGCCATCAGGTCAACGAAGAAGTTGAGCGCATTGGCCCACTCCGGCTGATCGAACTGGGCTTTCCAGTCCTCGTCGAACCAGCGCGCGCCGAACGAGTTCGCCGTGACCGTGATGAAGGCACCGCCCTCACCCCATCCGGCCTTGCCACGCAGGCAGATGCCGTTGATGTCGTTCTCGCGGTCGGTCATCGCAATCGCCGCTTCACGAATGAACTCCCAGGTCGGCGCCTCGGGCATTTCGAGCCCGGCGGCTTCCATCAGGTCGGTGCGGTACATCACCATGGAGCTTTCGCCATAGAACGGCGCGGCATAGAGCGTGCCATCGTGGGAAAGGCCACCGCGCATCGCCGGCAGGATATCGTCCACATCGTACTCGGCCGACAAATCGTCCAGCGGGATCAGCCAGCCGTTTGCGCCCCAGATCGGCGTCTCGTACATGCCGATGGTCATGATGTCGAACTGGCCGCCCTTGGTGGTGATGTCGGTCGTGACGCGCTGGCGCAGGACGTTCTCTTCCAGTGTCACCCACTCGACGCCGATGCCGGTCGCCTCGGTGAATTGATCCGTATAGCCCTGCATCCGGATCATGTCGCCATTGTTGACGGTGGCGACGGTGATGGTGGAGTGGTTATCAGCAAAGGCGCTGCCGGCCGCAAAGACCGAAAGCGCGGTTGCCGCACAAAGTGCGTTCTTTCTCAACATCCTCTTCCTCCCTGACATGGATGTGGTCGGGAGGTTAGCCATCAAAATTGTCTGGCGTCAAGAAAAGTTTTTCGCGCGTAAATTTTTGGATCGCGTCATGCGGAGGCTCTCAGCACGAGGCGCGCAGCAAAAAGCGTCTCCGTGCGCTTCTGGAACCGGCCGCCCGCCTCGATCAGATCGTTCAGTGTCCCGATCGCGCAATTGGCCACCGCATCATAATCGTGTGCGGCGGTTGTCAGCGACGGACAGGTGAAGCGCGAGAACGGATGATCGTCATGCGAGGCGACGCGCAGCGCGCAGCCCTCGCCGCGTCCGACCCGGAAGCCCCGTTCGTAGCATGCCGACAGCAGCCCGATCGCCAGACGGTCATTGCTGCACAGAACGATGTTCGTGGGGAAACCGCCGGCGTCGAGGATCCGCAGCGCACCTTGGCGCCCGATCTCCTCGAAGGCCCATCCTTCACCCTCGATCTTGATGACATGCGGTTCAAGCCCGAGGCGCTCCATCATTTCAAGATAGGCCAGACGCCGCTTGTTGGCGTTCGGATTTGCCGGTGTCATCATCTCGAAGAAGCAGGGCGGGTCGCCCGTGCGGGTCAGATACTCCACCGTCTGCGACACGAAGCTGAAATTGTCCGAACCGACAAAGGCTTCGCCGACACCTTCGATGTTGCTGTCGAACAGGACCGTCGGCACATCCGCACAGAAGCTCTCGACCGTCTTGCGGTCCGAGGCGCGGCCAAGCGGCGCCAAAAGGACGCCGGCGGGCTTGAGCGACCGGAGGCTGTCGAGAATGTCGTTTTCCAGGTCCTGCTGGCCATGGGCGCTGAAAAGGGTCGGCCGGAACCCGGCTTCGATGCAGCGCTGCTCCAGCTGACGCGCGATTTCGGCGAAGAACGGATCGGCCAGATAAGGAACCACGATGCCGACATTCTTGGTCAACTTCCGGTTCTGGTTCATCGCGAAAATGTTTGGACGGTAATCGTACCTTTCGAGCGCCCGCTCAATTCGCTCGCGCGTCGATGGCCGGACACTGTCGGGATCATGGAAATATTTGGAGATCGTCGGACGCGAAATGCCGCTCACCGCGGCAAACTCCTCCATGTTCCGGATCTTCGTGTCTGACATGCTGCTCCGCCGAGCGCCCAACTCGGCACAGGATCGGTACCATTACAGAAACTTACCATTTCTTATCGCGCGCAAATTTTCAACCATTTCGTCCACCGGCAGCCGGCGGCAGTCCGTAGGCAACGCCCCGGTGCAGTTCCCAGGAGCCCGCAGGCCTTCCATTTCCATGCGGTATATCCGGACAGTCCTTCGGGATCGCGGAAGACCGGAGCGCGCGCCGCGATGGGACCTGCCGATGTTCTGGAAGCGCTCTGTCCGCTCCCGCTTCAGCGCGGGAGATCGCCGCGCCTATGGGACGAGCAGCCATGCAATCGGGCGGCGCGCACGCGGCATCCGGTCGAACTCGACGGTCCCGCCGCAAAGGCCGACATGCCGGACCTGACGGACGACGCCGGAATTGCAGCCGACAGAGCAAGAGGCCCGCACAAGGCGGGCCCTCCAAATTCCGGACCAGGCCGGCACGGATCAGCAAGCCGGCACGGATCAGAATGCCGGCTCGACACTGTCGACATTCGCCTTCGTCACGACGGTGAGCGGGATCGGCAGGCGGGCGCCGACCTCCTGACCGTCGAGGATCCGGGCCATGGTCTCGATCGCAAGCTTGCCGTCTTCCACCGGCGACTGGACGATCGTCGAATACATCTCGCCGGACTTGATCGACTCGAAGGCATCCCTCTGGCCGTTGATCCCGACGATCGGCGGCATCGGCTCGCCGGGCCTGGCTTCCTTCCATGCGTCGATGAAACCGCGCGCCATCGTGTCGTCATTGGCGTAGACGCCGTCGATACCGTCGCCGAAGCGGGTGATCAGGTCGCGGCTGACGACGAGCGCCTTCTGCTGATCGAAGTCCGCGTTAACCGTATCGAGCACCTCGATCTTGCTGTCGATCTCGGCCAGCCGATCGACGAAGCCGCCGACGCGGCCGATTGTGGTGCCATTGCCCGCCTGTCCGGCGATCACGACGACCGAGCCCTCGCCGCCCAAAACGTCGGTGAGCGAGTCGGCGGCCATCCCGCCTTGCTCGTAGACATCGGGGCCGGTGAAAGACAGGATGAACTGGTTGGCCTGCTCGTCCATCGGCGAGTTGATCAGGATGGCCGGGATCTCGGCCTGCTGGGCCCTTGCCAGGCCGGGGATGTAGGCCTGCGGGTCAAGCGGCCACAGGATGATGCCGTCGGCGTTGCGCGCGATGCAGGTGTTGAGCTGCTGCGTGCCGGTCTGCACGTCGAAATTCTGGCTCAGCGTGATGACTTCGATGCCGAGTTCCTCGGCGCGTGCCTCCAGAGCCTCGTTGGCCGGGGTGGCATAGGCGTGCGCGTCGGCAGCGGTAACGTAGCAGACCGTCCTTGCCTCCGCCCAGCCAACAGAGGCGAGCAGCGCCAGCGCGCTGACGATCGTTCCGGTTTTCGCTTTGGTCATGGTTTCCTCCTGGTGATTGTGGGATTTCAGCCCGGGACGCCTGCCGCCGCATGTGTGCGCGGGCCCGGCCGCACGGTACGGTCGAGAACGACAAGCAGAATGAGAATGAGGCCGACGACGACCTGCTGGATGTAGGCGGGCACCGACTGGAACTCCATCGCGGTCGTCAGCGCGGCGATCGTCAGCACGCCGCCCAGCGTGCCGAGCGCGGAGCCGCGCCCGCCCTCGATGCGCGTCCCGCCGACCACCACCGCCGCGATCACGGTGACGATCAGCTCGGCGCCGAAAACGGGCGAGCCCGTATTGGTCGTCAGGCTCTGGAGCACACCGGCCACGCCGGCCAGCGTTCCGGCGAAGACGAAGGCCAGGAACACGGTCCGGCCGGGCGCGATGCCGCTTGCCTCCGCCGCATCGGCATTGGAGCCGACCGCGAACAGGTTGCGTCCCGCCACCGTGCGCGTCAGCCAGAAATGAAGCAGCAGGATCGAGCCGACGAACAGCGCGCTGCGCAGCGTGAAAATCTCAAGATGGACCGTCGACAGAGCCAGCGACAGCATGATGTCGGTGCCGGGAACGGGCTGGCTGTCGGTCAGCCAGTGCGCGACCGAACGGAAGATCAGCATGGTGGCAAGCGTGGCCACCAGCGCATTGACCTTGAAGACAACCGAGAGCAGCCCGTTGAAGGCGCCCGCCGCCGCCCCTGCCAGCACGCCGGCAAGGGCGGCTGGCCAGATGCCGATGACGGGCTGAAGCATGATGGCGGTGATGCCGGCCAGCGCAAAGGTCGAGCCGACCGAAAGATCGATCTGGCGCGCGATGAGCAGCACCGTCATGCCGATCGCGATGATGCCGATCGTCGCGCTGCGGTCGAGCCCCAGGCCGAGCGTGGTGACGCTTGGAAATCCCGAAACCGTCAGCGAGGCGATCAGCAGCGTCAGGCCGAGAATGACGGCGACGCGATAGCGGACGAGCCGCACAAGCACTGTCAT